GCTTGGCACGCCATGTGTTGCGCGAGTTGGATCAGATTATGGATTGATATTCGCCTGCCATTGGGCTCCATTTACCGACCATTTTTGGGGTATTGCCTTATATAACAAAAATAAATATTTTTCTAATTACTATAATATTTATAATATATATATATATGTACAACCTGCTATTCTGTAGGGTTCGGGAGTACAAGAAGAGAACTTGCGTTGATGCCAGTCCGACGCTGGGCTGCGATCCCGGTCGGCAACGACGGCAGGTTGATCCGCTGGAGGCGACGTCGTCCCCGGACTTTACGCCTTGCAACAGCAAAAACGGCCAAAGCGGTCATGTACCAGGACGGACAATTATACCCTGTAACCCCTTAGAAAGAAAACGTTTATAGGGTTGATTGTCGCACACGCAACGGTGGTCCTAGGAGGGGTCCATCAGGAAGGTCATCGCTTTGGGGTCCGGCGCGGGCAGAACGAAGATCATGGACCCCATGTGTCGCGAAGAATGCATGACTTTGAAAGTTGTTTTTTTTGAAGTTTTTGTCACGAATGCCTTTGACGCGTTCGATTTTCGGAATTTGCCAGCTTCCTCCATCCCCTTGTGCGGGTACGTGCACGTCGAGCGTGAGGATGCGTGAGGTCTCCGGCAGACTGGCATCATCTCTGTCGCAGCGCGCAGCGCGCTCTCGCAGCGCGTGCTCGCAGCGAATTAATTCGCCTCGACCTCTAGCAAACAACAAAGCAAACCAGAATCTGGTCTCCTTCCCAGATTTTCTGTTCCCCCCCCGCCACCAGCCTTGTGGCGCCTGCTCCAATTTGCGTGGGCGAGCCGAAATCCGATGTCGGGTGGAGTGGACTTCTCCCTCCCCACGTGCGAAACTTACGCACGAGCCTTGATTCCTACTAAACCACATGGTGTTCTGCATTTCGCAACAACCGCGCACGACGAGGACCCAATAGCGACGACTGCTTGTGATTCACGACGAACATGTGCGGAGGACCAAGGCACGAGATTGTCTTCCTCCGGCACACGAGCACGAGATTGTCTTCCTCCGGCACACGAGCATGCCTGTGATTTGTATGATACTAGGACAAGTCGTCATTTCGATACACAGTTCGGCCTTGCCGTGCACAACGACTCCTTTTCAGGGTGCTGCATTTCGGTCTCAGTTCGGTCTCCAAGGAGGCATGTGCGGGGACCGAGGCAAGAACGTCATATCGTCAGATACGTTCATGTGTCATGAGTTTGCACGACAACATCCGACGGTGTATCGTCTCAACTTGACCTTGCATGACATCGTGTCCCATCTCACATGTCTCGAGGTGCTTGGCAAACTGCGGCTAGAATTTGGAAATTGCGCGCCATCGGTCTCGTTATGGATTGCACCATGAGTGTTGAAATAACTCGCAAACGCTGGAGCCAGTTCGGGATCGCCACTTTCGTGCAGTGCATTGCTCAAAAGTGTGGGACGAGGTCTTGCCGAACCACCCAAATCATCCGTTTTGCCATCCGAAACCATGGAGCTTGTCTCGCTAGTGTTTCGCTTTTGGGAAGGACATGCTCCTGTTCAACTTTAGATGCACGAAAGCATGTAGCAGTGGTGATGTCGCTAACACACTGCCAGCATTCATTCATTCACGTGCAAGGTACTCGGTGAAGCTGCGTGCGACGAATTCGCTCGATGGACGAGCAGCACGCCATTCAAACATAGCCTGAACATAGCCGCGTGGTGCCCCTTCTCTGGCCTACTGGGTTTGCCTTTTTCATCGCTTGCTGAGCGTATGGGATCGTATGGGCCCGCTTGATTTGCCTGCCTGTTTGGGACATCGCCGGGCTTGAGTAAATGTCCCTGGGGATCACAGACGCTTTCGATGTGCCTTCGTTTGGTATTCATCCTGATGCGCCCAGCTGCCCAGCAATGCAGTTGTTTTGATGGTTTGCATGTCAAAGCCATGGTCGCTGCGCATTCCCATGCGCAACAGCACTAGTACTTGCAGCGGCAACCATGGGCACCCGATGGACCCTGCTAACCCTTCCCAGGTTCACGTGTACAAGGTTTTAGGCAAACCGCAAGCACGGCAGCACGGGTGCCGTCACGCTCTAGGGAAAACACGGAGGCCCAGTCAATACCACGCTCAGTACCGCTCGTAATACACGGGCGTCGTCCACGCACGCCCTGCCGCTGCAGCGTTTGTACAGTGTTACCAGTGGTTGGTCGTTAGTGGTGGTGATCGCAGTGCAGCTGTTTGCATGCCAGTTTAGCCGACTGGCTGGACTGGGCCGCAACTGCACATGCTGCCGGAGGCTTCAAAGCAAGGGCGCTGCGCTGCCCGGCAAAGCAAAGAGCACACATACCCCGAATTATCCGAGCTGCTCGGCTCGCGGTATTGCCCTTTGCCGTTCTGGGCATTGAAGTCCGTGGCCATTGAAGCGCCAAGGCAGCATCGTTCATCCACTTGTTCGCCCGTTGCTGCGCCCGGGCTGCGCGTCCGCCTTCGCAGCGGCCAAGGTCCTCGCCGCCGGTCTTCTTGCTTTGCCCCTTGGCCGAGATCGATGGCAAAAGATGGCAAACCTCGATCGCTCCTCAGTGACATCCTGGCCGACTCTGAGGGCCCCGCCCTTGCCTCCCCCGCATGTAGGCATGTGCATCGCCTCCTGCACTGAGACTGCGCTGACAGTGCGCGCGCACAAAGACAAGAAAACCTGCTTCATCAGCCTGGGCATGGCAGTGGTGGTGCATGCCCTCGTGTCATCCTCGTGTCGCCGTCCAGCACACGTTCATTGTGCTTTGCTGCAACGGACTGGAAAGCTGACCAACCTGCGACATAAGGGAGCGTGGCGCTAGAGTGCCGTAGAGGAAGCTTTGCGCGGCCGCAGGTGCCGGATGCCGCACGGGCTGCAGCTGTTTTCGACGATCGCTGCAGCTGCGGTACAGTCGCCGCGATCGGTGCGCCCCAGCTTTTTGGCCGACAAACCCACCGCAACCCACTGGTGAGTTTCTGTGCTTGCCGACCGCCGACTGTTTCAGCGCGCAAGTGGCCATAGACACCGCGCTCGTGAGTCCGGTCTGGCGGGACGGCATCATCATATGACGTCCGAGGACTGCCGCACATCACGGGGCCCCAAGTGGCAAATCACAATTTCAGCATCCCCCCCCCCCCCTCTAAGGGTTCGGGGCGCGGAAGCGCCAGGATACGTACCCCGAGCCCCGAGCTCCTGGCAGCTTGCCGGTTGGTTGTCATCGGCCTTGAGGCCAGGGCAGTGTCCACAGATAGACTGGCATGCCGGCGGTGGCGGGTCAGCGTGCGTGTGCCATGTCGCTGTTCGAGTTGCCGTTGGGGGACCTGCTCGCGGACGCGCGAGGGACGGAACCGGTCCCGGATAGTCGGCAGCGCTGACAGAGGCACGTTGCCATTGTTGTTGCTTTCGTGCTTGCAAGTTGATATCATGATCATGACGTATGCGGTTTCACTTCTGACTGTGTCTCACGGTCGTTCAAGGACATGTCTCTGGCGGGCAAAAGAAAGACGCTAAACAATAACATAAAAAAAGACGCGAAAAAAAAAACGCGAAAACATGATCGACAAAACACCTCCGTATGTGGTGCTTAAGATTTGTTAAATTAATCATAGGCTTAGATCTTTGTTTTATTCAACATTATTTTTTAACAAGTTTTTTTGTAAAAAATAATTTCAAAAATTAGTTTATTTTGATTATTAATAAATTATTTTATAAATAAATTTATTATAAAAATATACTTCCGTGTGCGGACCAATTTCGAGAGGCGAGAGTTTACAACACTGGGACCGCTTACTTTTCGATGCCTGTAAAAAGGTGGTTAAAAAAAAAACAAAATGCGTTCCGTTCGTGAAGCTCCACGAGGTTTGGCTGCGCATGTTCCGAACCTGTCGCCGTCACAACCATTGTTCGGCGGGCCGTGCGCAGGTCATCGAAAGCGACCCGCTCGAGACCAACTTCGGGATGGGGTTGGCGCAGTGCGATGGCTGAACTGCAGCATGGGTATACGTACTCATTGTGTCGTTGCTTAGTTGCTGGTTCAATGCCCCTTCCCCAAATGCATTGACTTGCAATATCTTGCAATGGTAGTGCCGTGAGCTGTAATGTGTCGTGCCCAGGTTCGAGGAGGCACTTGCCCAGCACCTTGGTATCAGCATGCAGGAACTTTTTTTCATGTGATTTTTCATGGGCACAGTCAATGTGAACGCGATTCATTTTTGCGAGTTCGCCACGTTTTCCCCTATTGTGTAGATGGTACGCACATACATATACATGCACATATACATAGACCTACACCTGTAACATCCTGTAACTAATCGAGCGAAAGTCCTCACGAGCCAAAACACCAAGGATCGCCCGGAAGAAACGTTTGGCCGCCGATGCGTTGAGGCGGGCCGTGGCGCTGGCAGGCGGCCTGCGAGCTGCGCTACGCAACCGATATGGTGTCTCCATGCGTGTGGTGGAGTAGTCCATAATTCCTTCTGTGAATTTTGAAACCTGAAAGCAAATCTGTTTGTTCGGATGGCGCAAACTTGCGAGATGGTTCGGGATTTTGGAGGTTGAGGGCAGATCCATGTGGGACGAGCTGAAGGTCCATTGTAATGGGCGGCATACTGTAGTGCTAGGACATGCCAGAACATCAACATGTGCATTCTAAATTTGTCTACACATATATCTTTGTATGTATATACTATGCACATACATATATACATACATATATGGATATAGAGTTATACATAGCGTATGTATCGTTGGTGTTTCTTTTTCTGCGCTTTGAAATTCATCTTTTCTACCCGACTGCCGCAGCTTGATTTGCAGCTTGAGCCACGCAACTGGTTTTGTCAGCGTTGGCCAACGGGTCGAGCCAGAACTTATTGCTAGTCGCTGCTAGCCAACACCATCTAACACCTGAACCATGAAATCATGCAGTCCACATCAAACAAGCCTTCCATTCAACAACCGTTCCCCGACGTGAGCCTCGAACTCAGCGATGTGGCAGTGCTGCATTCTGTTTTGGCTGCTCGCGCTGGGTGTGTATAGCGCCGCTTGGAATAGGCAAAGTCCGGAAGGAAGTTTCCCTAACCCCTAAACCCTAAAGTTTCCTGTTGCAAATGCCTCATTCCTTCTTCATCGATCATGTGTTTCTGAGCTGAAAGATGCCTTTGTGTACCAACTTAGGGTTTAGGGTTTAGGGTTGAGGGTTGAGGGTTGAGGGTTTAGGGTGGAGCAAGACGATGCCTGGACAGTGCCCGAAAATGCTGGAACCCTAAGGACGAAACTACCACCACCTCCACGACTGCCGCAAATGTGACTGCCACAACCACAACGACGACATTGCCAGCTTTTTGTACATCTGCTCCTTGACCACCTGAAAGGGTTGCGTACGAGCATTTCGTTTTGTTGCTAGCAGTTGAGGTTACAAATTGCTTAAGAACCCCCAAAACAGAAAAGATTCTTCCTTCTAAGGGTAATGTATTTTATTGTTTGGGGGGGGTTCTTAAGCAAATCGTGGTTTAGAGTAGACAGTATTTGGCAATTTATGCTTTTGCGACCCGCCTCGGCCTGGGCCTTCGCAACCCGAACAAGAAACCCACGGTTGTGAAGCCTGCTGAAATGAGCAGTTAGGGCGGGGTGGGAAGGGCCCGAGACCTCGGCGGCAAGCGAGAGAGAGAGCGAGAGAAGAAAGAGAGAGAGAGAGAGAGAGAGAAAGATAGAGATAGAGATAGAGATAGAGATAGAGATAGAGATAGAGATAGAGATAGAGATAGAGATAGAGATAGAGATAGAGATAGAGATAGAGATAGAGATAGAGATAGAGATAGAGATAGAGATAGAGATAGAGATAGAGATAGAGATAGAGATAGAGATAGTACTAAAGAAAGAGATACAGATACAGATACAGATACAGATACAGATACAGATACAGATACAGATACATCAGATACAGAAACAGATACAGATACAGATAGAGAGATGTGTACATATATATATATATGTATATAGAATACATAGTATGGTATAGCATATAGTATGTATAGATGTCGTACAAATGCACATTTTTTAGAGTTCAGCCCAGGTCGAAGGCAGAGAATGCACTTTGAATCCGCAGTTTGACAAGGCACTGGCCGGATTTGTCCGCTGCTTTGTTGGCGTGAGTGAGAGCCACGGTTAGTTTAGGGTTTAGGGTTTAGGGCTTGGAGGTTCAGAGTACTCATAACCGCAATTTTAACTGCACTTACAAGCCCTCTAAGATAAATACCTTATAATTCGGGCTCTAAGTACCCATGAACCTCCCAGCGGTGCCAGGTCATGAGCTGGGATGGCGACATCGTGCTCCCTGAGAAGAGTTCGTATTCGTACCCGCACAACGCGGCATCTTGGCTTCCCAAGGCGCACCTTGATGCCGCAAAGCAAAAAAATGCATTTCCTAAAGGGTCCTATATGTACCTCTATGGGAAACACTTGCCCAAACCATAGAATCTACTGTGTAGGTGTGTTTAAAAGTCACAAGGTGGCACGTGGGAAAGCGTAGGAACGCGTAGCACACTCAGCAGTTGCTTTTGTCCGGCAGGGCAGGCGATTCTCCAAAAAGGTTGGCCTGGTAGATGTAGACCGTTGAGACTTGCATGTCGTGTGGGGAGCTTTCTTTATCCAGTCCACCCGCTTGCCGATTTGTTATTTCTTTTGCACATAGTCCACCTCTCTCAAGCCCATCCTAAACCCTAAAAATTCGCCCTATAGATAGACATATATATATACCTTTAACTTAAAGGCTTTAAGGGATTATGTAGGGTACCTCATTCCCCCATTCCCTACTAACCAACAGTAAGTAGTCCATGCGGGCCGAAAGCCCCTCGATGTGCTCCTGCTGAACAAAGACCCTCCTTGAACTAACCCTAAACCCGAAACCCTAAACCCTAAACCCTAAGCCCTAAACCCTAAGCCCTAAACCCTAAGCCCTAAACCCTAAACCCTAAACCCTAACTAAACCCTACACCCTCCTTGAACTACACCAGTGATTCCCCCACTCAGGGATGTTTCCACACAGTCCGGCTTGCAAAAAAGCGTGTCAGGTCCACCAACTCAATTTTCATAAAAGGCTGCACCCTAACCCTAAGCTAAGCCCTTAGCTTAGCACCTTTCACCCAGATTCGCCTTCTGCGACACAGAAGCAAGCCGCGTACAGCACCTAGTGCGTACAGACGCCTAAACATGCGCCAACATGGTGCCGATACCCTAAACCCTAAACCCTACACCCTAACCCCTAAACCCTAAACCCAAAAACTGGGTTTTTGTTGGGCACCCTGAATATGAGGGCCGCCGTATCCCTAAACCCCAAACCCAAAACCCTAAAAGGCACCACAACTATTCGAGAAAGGACCATATGTGCATGACCTACCCAAAGCAAGGTTCTCCACATGATCGACTGCGAACAGCACGCCCTGGAACCTCGATCATGGATTTCGGCCCTCACCTCCCGCATGCTTGCACCCAGGAATTCCACGTGACCGGAAAGATTATCCTCCGCTTCTCCTCAAGGCAGCGACAGACTGCGTGGACCCTAAACCCTAAACCCTAAAACCTAAACCCTAAACCAGGGATCAGAATCCCGAAGCCTTGATGTGTTCGCGTCGTGCCAGGCTAATCACTCCAGTCGAGCGAGAGTTGGGGTTAAAGGGTGCTACGGTGCGAATCCCTTCCCACAAATACTAATCCCCCCCCCCTCCCCCTCTCTCCCTTGTTTTTAATATTACGAGGGCATTAATGATTAATGGTAGTGCGGATCAAAAGGGCTTAGGGTTTGTAGGGTTTAGGGTTTAGGGTTTAGGGTTTCACAGCCTGGCTCAACTCTACGCAAACATTCTTGAAAGTGGTTTGGTCCCGGGTGCGGCCTCTCATGTGCATGCGCCACGTTATAACTCGAAGCAGGCAACCCAACAGGGTTTAGGGTTTAAGGTTTAGGGTTTAGGGTTTAGGGTTTAGGACCAACACCTCCAAGTAAAAACCTGACACTTGCAGAACAAGCTCCTTTAACGAAACCTCGCTCAACTTCATTGCTGGCTTATAAACTGTATAAGACCGAGTGGGATGGATTCTGTAGCCGTCGCAGGCTGATCGCGGCGAACGGTTTGAAGATCTTCTCCTCAGGACACTCCGATGAAAGCACTTCCTTGGGGACCACATGAAGCCTAAAAGGGTTTATGGTTTATTATACCTTAATTGGAATCGTTGTAGTATTTGTAGGGTTCGTTTGGTCCCCATGGTGTCTTGTTATGTGTAGTGGCTGCAGTGTCCATCGAACACTCAGCACTTATTGTTTAGGGCTTAGGGCTTGGGGTTAATATATGCAGCTGAGTCGTCCCGAACCCTAAACCCTAAACCCTGAACCCTAAACCCTAAACCCTCAAGACCAGGTTAAATAGAAATTGTATGTGGTATCATCATGAATGCCCCATGTTATTCTGACAAGCCGAGCTTAAGTAAATGAATCCAACACGCCTTCGGCAGGCCAAATAGTCAACTCATTCAAACCTTTGGGTTCCAAGCTATTTGTCTAAACAGCTGACAAGCAGAGCTTAAGTCAATTCATCCAAAGTGGTTGTATCATTCTGAATTATCCCAAACTATTTATCTAAGCAGCCAAGTTTGACTCGATGACAGCGCCTCCGCCCCAGCCCCAGCCCCCCAGCCCCACAGCCCCAGCCCCAGCCCCCCCAGCCCCAGCCCCCCCAGCCCAAGCCCACCAGCGCAGCCCCCCGCCCCCCAGCCCCAGCCCCAGTCCAAAGCAAAAAACAACACTTTCGCACAAAACTTTCGGTCAAAACTCCGGACATGAACCTTAGACATTTTCTATAACCCTAAACCCTAAACCCTAAACCCTAACCCCTAAACCCTAAACCCTAAACCCTAAACCCTAAACCCTAAACCCTAAACCCTAAACCCTAAACCCTAAACCCAACAAACTCGAGGCTGGGTGTGCGAGTCGTGCTGGATGGAGGCCAGCTACGTGGCGCCGCTTGCCCGAGAAAGGTTTGAAGGTTAGGGTTTAGGGTTTAGGGTTTAGGGTTTAGGGTTTAGGGTTTGGGGTTATGCATTCTAAGGGCTGCAGGGGGCCGTTCAAAGAGTCCAGATGCAAATAGGGTTTAGGGTTTAGGGTTCAGGGTTTAGGGTTTAGGGTTTGGGGCTTAGGGTTTAGGGTTTCGGGTACCCAAGCATCAGATGACTTGGATGGAGCCGCAACAACCTACCTCACCGGCAGATCCTTGTGTGAGAGTCGAACCCCGAACACGATAAACCCTGCAGGGCTGACAGTTTTTGTTTCAGGGTTTAGGGTTTAGTGTTTAGGGTTTAGGGTTTAGGGTTTAGGGTTCGGTGAAAAAGGGTTTAGGGTATAGGCTTAGGGGTTACGTGGTTAGTCTAAGGGTAGTCCTTTAACATTCCTTTAAGATTGTCCCTTGCCTCCTCTAAAGCTTTCTGAAGTCTGGGGCCCTTGGATTGCATAGGGCATTCGAGGGGTATGTAAGGGGTCCCCTTTGAAGGGACCATGTAGCTAACCCCTAAACCCTACACCCTAGGCCCTAGGCTCGAAACCCTTTGAAACCTGGACCCTCAACAGCCCAGGGAACCGATTGAACGTTGAAAGGGCTTAGGGTTCATATTGCCTTAGTCGGAATTATAGTAGCGGTTTGTAATCGGTCATAGTACCTTATTAGGAATTATGGAGTTGTGGGTCACATTGCCTTACGAAGAATCATCGTTGTGGTTTCTGGTAAAGGGTTTAGGGTTTAGGGTTTAGGGTTTCGGATTTAGTGTTTAGGGTTTAGTAGTCGCGGTTTCTGGTTTGGGGTATATGATCCCAATTTCAGGGTTCACTTGGTCCCCAAGGCACAGCTCTACAGAGTTGCGAGTTCAGCTTTCAGAACCTGGGGGTTTAGGGTTTAGGGTTTAGGGTTTAGGGTTTAGGGTTTAGGGTTGAGGAGTTTTCGTCGACAACGCGAGCAGCTCCTGGGGTGGTTCAACTCGCCGAGAAACTGCCCGAATCCGAAAACTCGCGTTTAGGGTCTAGGGTTTTGGGTTTAGGCCTGTAGGGTTTAGGGTTTAGGGTTTAGGGTTAGGGTTCAGGGTGGACAAACCGTAACCCCAAAAGGCCATAGTACGAATCGATGCCCCAACAGGCCTATGCATCCAAACTCCAACATCTGCTCTCTTCTCTAGAAATATGGTCCCTTTTGGGGTCCTGATTCTCAGGCGGCCCCTAAAAAATTAGGGTACGCAAGAACGGTTTAGGGTTTAGGGTTTAGGGTTTAGGGTTTAGGGTTTAGGGTTTAGGGTTTAGGGTTTGGAACTAACCATCCGAAGCTCCTCCCACTGCACTGAGGACATCAACAGCGCCAGGAAACTTGGTAGCCCATTGCCCTTTGTCCTTTTGTTGGTTCAAGGTTCCCTTATAGAGTATCCTGAACCCTAAACCCTAAACCCTAAACCCTAAACCCTAAACCCTAAACCCTAAACCCTAAACCCTAAACCCTAAGCCCTAAGCCCTAAGCCCTAAGCCCTAAGCCCTAAGCCCTAAGCCCTAAGCCCTAAGCCCTAAGCCCTAAGCCCTAAACCTACCCTCATTCTAGTCGAGTTTGCTGGGGCCACCAAGGAAACTGCAGTCAGGGCGTCAACATTTCAAGTGGCATCCTCACTGCAAAGATTCTCGGCCGAGGGTCTTCAGGCTTTTAGGGTTTAGGGTTTAGGGCTTGGGGTTTTAGGGTTTAGGGTTCAGGCCCCCGAAGCCTAAACCCTAAACCCTAAACGTGGTATGTCCTGAAGGTCAGACCAGCAGCCCTACAGGCTTGATAAGAACTCCCGACACCCTTCCATCCTAAAGAAGCCCTAGTAAGCTCTAAGCCCTAAACCCTACACCCTCCACCAATCCGAGCCCCCCGAAGCCCTAGACCCTGAACTCCTTAATTTTGAACCCCAAGTGCTCGAAGCCCGAAACGATGAGATTTTCACACCCTGAAGCCTCAAGCCCGTCAGGCCATTGACCCTGATGGGACGTTTCATGGCTCCTTAATCTGTTCCCTTTAAGATGGTGTGCTTGGAGGTTCATGGTACTTATGAACCAACTATAACTGTACTTATAACTGTACTTACTTATAACCATACTAGGGCACTTAAGGGGCTTATAACTGGGTTTTAAGTACAGTCGTGATTGATCCTGAAGCTCCAAGTAGGGAGCCCTGGTGCAAAAAGGGTCTTACTATGGGCCCTGGGGCTTTATGGGGTATCAGGGTTGGGGTTTAGGGTTGAGGGTTTAGGGTTGAGGGTTTAGGGTTTAGGGTTTCGGTTTGGGGTTTAGGGTTTAGGGTTTAGGGTTTAGGGTTTAGGGTTTAGGTTTGGGGTTTAGGGTTTAGGAGGGTTTAGGGTCCAGTACTCACCGACTCTTCTAAGAAGGGTTTCGGCATCCTGGCAGCAAGGAGTCCAGTTGCAAAAGGGTTTAGGGTTCAGGGACCAAAGACCTGAACCTCGGAGGCTCTTCGAGACAACAAAACCAAAGGGCTTCAGGGCATAGGAGTTTGGGGCCTGGGGGCTTCGGGGCCAGGCCCCAAACCCTAAACCCTAACCCCTACGCCCCTAAGCCCCCGAATCGGATACCAGGGCTTAGCCCCTCTGTGTTTCTTTCGTGTTGCGGGTCTGCCTGCTCGTTTTGAGCAGGGAATGAGGGAACCTTGGGGGCACCTCCTTCCCTTATCCCTCACAAAAAAAAAACCTAAACGCTAGCCCAGGGGCTCCAAACCTTGACGGCCTAAACCCTAACCCCTAAACCCCAAAACCCCTAAATCCTAAACCCGAAACCCTAAACCCTAAACCCTCAAGCCTTCACCCTAAACCCTAGCCCTCTAGGGTTCAACAGGTCGAGGCTTCCGAGTTTTGAGAGCCAATCCTTGGTCCACTGCAGGCGAGGTTTCACGATCGCCTGCCATGATGGCGTTGTCAACATCACTGGCATGCCGCCTCGCCTCTGCTTGGGGGTGTAGGTTTTAGGGTTTAGGGTCCCTAAACCCTAAACCCTAAACCCCTAAACCCCTAAACCCCTAAACCCCTAAACCCCTAAACCCCTAAACCCCTAAACCCCTAAACCCCTAAACCCCTAAACCCTAAACCCTAAACCCTAAACCCTAACCCTAAACCCTACAAACCCTAAGCTCCCTTTTGCAAAACGGGTATAGGGTTTACAGAGGTTAGGGTCTGGGCCTCGCCTGCCCTACATCCTCTTCAACCAAGGCCCCCTCCCCCCCGCACTGAAAAAAAGTCTGCACTCGCCATGAGCCCTGCTGGAGCCCCAGGGTTTAGGGTTTAGGGTTTTTAGGGTTTTTAGGGTTTTTAGGGTTTTTAGGGTTTTTAGGGTTTTTAGGGTTTTTAGGGCTTTTAGGGTTTTTAGGATTTTTAGGGTTTTTAGGGTTTTTAGGGTTTAGGGCTTGTGGCCCTAACCCTACACAATCCTTAGCGCCCCCTATAGATGCAGCCCCTTGTAGAAATCCTCCGAAGGCGAAGTATGGGGGGGGTGCACAAAAGGCTCCAGGGCTCCTACCTGCCAAGATCTTTGTCGCACCCTAAGCCCTAGAACCCAAACCTTCCTCGTTAAGCACACACTGAAGACCCTGAACCCTAAAGCCTAAACCCTAAACCCTAGCAAACCCTCCAACCCTGAAGCAACACAACCTCACATGGCAAGCTCCGAAAGACCCCTCGGCCGTCCCCTTGTAAATAGCAATCAGCCCACACAAAGGGTACCCTTGTCAGAATATGCTTAGTGGGCTACCAAGCTTAAGCCTTCCTTGTCAACCTTGACCCCTCAACCCCACGACCTCCCTACACCCTACACCCTAAACCCTAAACCCTACACCCTAAACCCTAAACCCTAAACCCCGTCGTCCTCCAAAACATCCCAGGACAATCGTTAAAGTGGGCACCCCGCAGAGCTTGAAGCCCAGGAAGCCCCGAGACGCGGTTTGGGGCGGATGGGAGGGAGGTTGGTGGTTGCCATTATCACAGTTTAGGGTTTAGGGTTTAGGGTTGTAGGGTTTGTTGGTTGAAACAAATCTTTTTTTTTGAGGGGAGGGGGGAGGGTCTAGGGTTAGGGTTTCAAGTTTGGGGTTTGGATTTAAGGCTTTTGGGGTTTGGGGGTGTAGCTTGGTTGCTCACCCTATTAAGGAGTTTTGGGGGGTCGGGGATTTTGTTTCTGGGCCCTAGAGTTTCAGATTTTAGGGGTTACATAGGGGTCTGGGTTTCGTGCCGAGGGGGCTTGTGCGGCTTCTTTTACAAGGCTTACCTGAACCCTAAACCCCCAAAAACCCTAAACCATAAACCGATAATCATAACCGACTTAGAGGACGCTTAAAGGTAGAGTTATACTTGGGGGTTGGGCTGACGGTCCGACCCTTGGGTCTAGGGTTGAGGGGTTTAGAGTTCGCGGTTTAGGGTTTCGCGTTTAGGGCGGGCCCACGCATATGAGTATGCTGACATGGCGATAGCCGGACTATACAGGACTGTGGACATGATGCTCCGCTATCGAAACGAGCTGTCCAGTGGTTTCTCAAGTTGCACCATGGAAAAGTGAAGAGAATGGTCAATAGCCCAAAAGTAGTATTCCCTCAGAATAAGGACCCAAAAAGGTACCCTGAATTTCGGAAACCCTCAAATAGAGATGGGTTTAGGGTTTAGGTTTAGGGTTTGTGCTTTGCCTTTTGGGGTTCTTGGGTTTCTGGAGCCTATGCACTTCAACTCGGCTAAGGCTTTGGTTGTTGCTGGGTGGGGAGGGAGTTGGAGGGGTTTAGGGTGTAGGGTTGAGGGTTTAGAAATTTAGGGTTGAGGGTTGAGGGTTGAGGGTTGAGAGCTGGGGGTTTTCCAGGGTCTAGTTTGGGGATTGCTTTCTAGGAGGCTTCCGGACACTGCCGAAAGGTTTGTCGTGGTGGCGAACGATCTGCTGTGCGCGGACGGGCATTGTTGAGCATATTACACCCGCACGAGCCGAGCATGAACCGCGTGAACATGTACTTCTTCATAAGGTTTAAAAGTTGCAGGGAGCGCAAGCAAGGACCTCTTGAGCCATATTTGAGGATAAATGTTGACTTCGCATTAATAAACCCCCCCCCCCCCTTCATTGATCAATCTCTCCGGCCAGGGCCTCCTCAATAATGTTCGCCTAAATCCTGGTAGGACGTACTATTAGTTTTAGTATTAGGTAGTAGCACCACGCCCGTAAAAACCGGATTTCCCGGGTCGGATTTTACAATTGTGGCGGGTTACAATATTGTGTTCCGGCAGCGGGATTTTACAATTGCGGCGGGAATCACTAATGTGAAGTCAACATTATGCGCCCTTAGCACGCCTCTACGGGTAGGTATGATACTTCACACCTCCAGGCGTACGTTAGTTGTCCCGGCCAGCCTCCTCAACCCCCCCCCCCCCCCCCTCCCCACCCTCCCCCGCCCACAGCACACAAAAAGCTACTTGACACGGCATGCCCGAAACCCTAAACCCTAAACCCTAAAGCCTAAAGCCCTAAACCCTAAACCCCTAAACCCTAAACCTCAAACCCTAAACCCTAAACCCTAAGCCCTAAGCCCTAAAGCCCTAAATCCCTGAGTAAGGCATTGCCAGTGAAATAGGGGACTTTGGAGCCCCTGATCCCCTGCAGCCTGGGTGTAGGGTTGAGGGTTCAGGGTTTAGGGTTCAGGGTTTAGGGTTTAGGGTTTAGGGTTTGGGGTTTAGGGTTTCGGGTTTGGGGTTTAGGGTTTGGGGTTTAGGGTTTCGGGGCAACCATCCCCCCCCCCCCCCTCCCCCCGCCTCAAACCCGATGTACACTGGAGTCATGGAGCCCTAAGGTTGCACCCTTGGCTGTGTGGACCCTGTTTATAACTCTTCGGGGTACATTTTGAGATGCTCCCCCCTTAAACTAACAGTCCTTAATAATAATAATAATAATAATATAATAATAATACTAACAATAATAGGGGGTATCATAATCTCTCTTAAGGACTGTTAGTATAAGGGGGAACATCGCAAGGTGCGCCCTTAGGGGTCCAAGTTCGACTTCCTTTGATGGAGGACAACAATGTGAACGTCCAAGCCGACATCATGGACCTCTACGCCTACCAACACCTACACCTGGCCGGGGGTTGGTCTTAGCGTTTTGCCCTAAACCCTGAACCCTAGAGCCTAAACCGTACGTCCCAAACCCTAAACCCTAAACCCTTTTGGGACTATAGGGTCTCGGGCTCAACAACCAAGAGGCTCGGGGTTTAGGGCTTGGCCCTCAGCGCTGAACCCGAGACTCTGAAACAAGCCCAGTCCTCAACTTGGACCGAAAGTTAGTAAGCGTTTAGGGTTTAGGGTTTAGGGTTTGGGGTTTAAGGTTCAGGATGTAGGGTTTATGGAACCCTGAAGCTCCGAAAGGCCCCCAGAAAACCTCAGCACCCCGACCAGGCGGCGATCCCGGACGCGAAATCCGACCTGCAACTTCGTAGCGCTCCCCTGGCCCAGTTAAGGGGTTAGGGTTTCGGGTTTGGGGTTAGGGTTTAGGGTTTAGGGTTTTAGGGTTTTAGGGTTTTAGGCTTTTAGAGTTTTAGGGTTTTAGGCTTTTAGGCGTTTAGGCTTTATTAGGGTTTAATTAGGGTTTTTGTACGAAGATATACCTGAATCATGGATTCGCAAGGCTTTCGGTCGTAGCCGCGAGTGCTAGGGTCTGAGAGTGCTGCTGAGACTCACCGGCCAGGACATCATCATAGCCTTGATGGTTTTGGGTTTAGGGTTTAGGGTCTAGGGCAGTCGTCAAGTCCGGTTTCAAAAATGGTTTAGGGCCTTAGGGGGGGAGATGTTCGATTCCCAAAATAGCCCTAAAAACCTCCAAAAGAACCCCAAAAAAAACCCTAAACCCTACACCCTAAACCCTAAACCCTAAACCCTAAACCCTAAACCCATGCGAGGCAGGTTCGATGATCCTTGGCTGGGATGGAGGTGGGTGGTCGGTGCACTCGCTGACGGCGGTGGCCTACAGGCGCCTCAAGCTGCAACTGGGTGGAGGTGTAGGGTTTAGGGTTTAGGGTTTAGGGTTTAGGGTTTGGGGTTTGGGGTTTGGGGTTTGGGGTTTGGGGTTTGGGGTTTGGGGTTTGGGGTTCACGTTTTTTTTTTTTTGCCGTCGTTGGTGAGGGTATATAGGTTTCTTTTCAATCATTGGTGAGTGTGTCTTGGGGGCGTCCTTTTGGGATCCCAGCCATAAATGCCCGACTCCATTTGATGTGCGGGGCTGTTGGCGTTGTAGGGCTTAAGTAGGGGCCGATTTGGATCAGGGCATGCACACGAATGCATTAAAACCCGAGGCCTACACCGCGCACAGCAAGCTGTCCAAATCTGGGGTGCCCTCATCCCAAGAACCATCGGCTGGGTACTTGTTGGTTTTGGATTTAGGGCCTTTAGGGTTTGGGGTTTAGGCTTCATGCGCAGCATAGACGTAGAAGAACCTCCCAATACATAAGACGCTGCTGTGCAGCTGCTGAAGCGAACCTTTGCGGTTTGGCATATTGGGGGTTTCCGAAATTAAGGGTACCTTGCGCGGGTCCTTCTGATAAGGGATGCTACTAGTTGGGGATCTATACTGGGGGGGGGGGGGTCCCCGATTTTCGGAAGCCCCCCCCCCCGCCCACTGTCATCTTCCACCCAAACAGGCTGAGCGTTGCGGATGACCATCGCATCGAGGTCGTTGGCACTGACAGCATCCCAGCACCTGCTAGAGCCTGTGGGGGGCGGTAGGGACGGAAGGCACAGGCTTCCATAATATAGGGGCCATAGTACTTAGAACCGTTTTTTTTTGAGTTATTGTAGTAATATATTTACCAAAGGGACCGTAGGGGAATACCACTACAAAATATTCCGACCCCTATATTAATCTCACTGCTCTTTGCTTAAGAACCCCATGCTTCCTCCTTAGGGCAATTTAGGGATTAAATCTATTTCTTTTTCGGGGTTTCTAAAATAGTAGTAACTAAAACAGCCGCATCTTCCCCTTAGCCCAGAGATCATGTCCTTCAAGACTTCTCCGTGAAACGCTAAAGCAGGAAACCCCTCAACGACTATGAACAAGTAACCTCATATGTTTACATGCGACACACGCATGTGTATATACATGTGCATAAGGTGTGTATTTATGTAGACTATTTATGTATTTCTGTTATATATATATATCTAAGATATGTGCAAAAATATATATATATATATATATATACATACATACATAGTCTGTCAGTCTGTACACTTATGTATAGATCTCTCTCTCTCTCTCTCTCTCTCTTTTGACCTTATTGTACATCCATAAAAGACTTCAGGCTGCTTCACCCGCCATGCCATGGCCGGACATGACCCCTGCCAGCGAGCGATCGAAGTGGCGCGGAAGTATTCGGGGAAGTTGAACCCGAGTTCCATGCATCTCGGCAGGCCTTGCTGGGTATAGGGTTTAGGTTTAGGGTTTAGGTTTAGGGTTTAGGGTTTAGCGTTGAGGGTTTAGGGTTTAGGGTTTAGGGTTAGCTGGGCGAACTTGCTACCATGTGAGATGGGATCATTGTTGCTGCACGTCCCCTTGTGGGGTTCCCAAACCCTAGGCCCTAGACCCTAAACCCTAAACCCTAAACCCTAAACCTCGCTGTCACGAATGTGAGACTGTTTAATCCAACTCTGGCCAGTCCGGCCCTCAGCTAAGTTGGTGATTTCTCTAGCTTATGGTCCTTTTTGGGTCGTTATTCTCAGGCGTACCCTTTATTTAGGGTACTCAAAAAGGGACACCATGTAGTCAGGGGTCGGATCTGGCTAGTCCTCCAGCCCAGTTGCAAAGGGCGAACCTTGAATTCTTCGCTGCCTTTTGCAATTGTGGTCTTGGAGACTCCTCTGCTGTAGACTCCTCTGCTACTGCCCAAGTCAAGCTTGAACCCTTCCCCTAAACCCTAAACCCTGAAACCTCCAAATCCTGAACCCCAAACCACAAACTCTGTCATCTGAGCTTGAAGCCTACCCTGCAACCCCTTTGTGCAACTCTGGTTTCCTGGAACATTGCCTTGAACACATTTTCTGCGTTTTCCTTTAAAGGCACGAATTCCCCCCTTTTCTACCAACAGTCATTTCCAGAATAAGTCCCTGCAACGTGGCCTGGTGTCAGCTCGGCGGGCGGCAGCAAAAAAACGCCGCGAAACCCCAAAGAATGCGTTTGGCCAAGCGCGATTTTGTTTTTGACATGCTTGAGCGTAGGGCTTTGGGGGTCTGAGGGCGGCCTCAATCTCCCCCCCCTGTAAGCACTCAACCCCTCAACCCCTGAACCTCGAGAACCAGCTGAAGGCCAAAAATTGGGGTCATCTACCCTACGCTACTATCATCTCTATTAAGGCAATACTATCATCTCTATTAAGGCATATGAACCACATGAACCGTGAACCCTTTTGGGGTTCATTTGGTCCCCAAAGCAACCCCAAAACTCTGAGGGACTTGTCCAAGCTGCATTTGGAGATGGTGCTTGTGGCCGAGGAGGCCATGACAGGTGTAAGGGATGAGCATCTAACCCTATGAAACCTAGAAAAACTCCATAAGACTCTAAACCCCACAAACCCTACAGACCCTTTAAAACGCGGAAAAAAACCCTATCAACCCTATCAGAAGCTCGTAAACCCGAAGTTGTGGGCACTTTGCGGCTTAGGGTTTAGGGGGGTTCTGATGTATGGGCCCTTGGGATGCACAGACCCTAAACCCTAAACCCTAAACCCTACACCGTGGCTGAGTTTTCCGTGTCCGAAGCGTGTCCACTCGGAGACCGGCTCTCACTCTCATCTGCAGGGAACCCAATCATTCTGCTGATGGCAGATCAAGACAGGGTTTAGGGTTCAGGGTTCAGGGTTCAGGGTCCAGGGTTCAGGGTTTAGGGTTTAGGGTTGAGGGTTTAGGGTTTAGGGTTTAGGGTTTAGGGTTTAGGGTTTAGGGCAGATGTCAAGCACGCCCAGTTGAAACCTCGAAACCCAAGTTGTCCTCCTTCGGCAAGTGGCCTGCCAAGCCCGACTCCTCTCCTCCCCCAACGTCTGCAGGTTCTTAGTAGGGAATGAGGGAACCCTGTATCCCTGTCTCCCACATATATATATATATCTATATATTGTTTTTTTATGGTACTTATATTTATCATCTTTATTTTTTAAATACAACCCTTTAAGGGAGTATGCAGGGTGCCGAGTTTCCCCATTTCCCACTAAGAACCCGAGGGACTGCTGCAGGATCTCACCATGGGTTCTCGCAGTCGTCTCCTCACGGCAGCAGCCTTGCGTGATGGCTGCATTTTGAGGTAGGGTTTAGGGTCTAGGGTCTAGGGTTTAGGGTTTAGGGTTTAGGGCTTAGGGTTTAGGGTTTAGGCTAGTCCAGTCAGTAGCACTGGAAGCCTGTGCTTGGGCAGTTTCTGGCAGCACCTACGGGAGTCCGGATGCAAAAAGGGTTTAGGGCTTAGGGCTTAGCGGGTTTTTTTGGTGGTGGCAAGTAGACAGATGTACTATACTAGAAAAGTAACATCAGCGTGCAATGCAATGCAATGTAGTGTGGCGTGTTGTAATGCAGATAGATACACATAAGAAATAATAGTAACCATGTATATATATATATATATGTGTATATGCATACACATACATACATATGTGTGTATAGATGGAGATGCGGGGAGTGGGAGAGGGTGCCGCAAGCACACTAGAGGCTGAATGGGGGCTTAAGGTCCTTACAAAGGCTTAAGGTCTCAGAGTTCGGTGTCTAGAAGCTCAGAAGCTGCTGTGGCCAAAGCTTGGCGATGGCTTTGGGTGTTCAGCTCTATAAACCCTGTAAACCCTAGCTGCACCCCGTTTCGCCTATCTCCCCCCCCCCCCAGAACCCTTTTCGGTCCTCTATTTAGACCCCAAACCCCCTGAGCTCTTAGGGTTTAGGGTTTAGGGTTTAGGGTTTAGGGTTTAGGGTTTAGGGTTTAGGGTTTAGGGTTTAGGGTTTAGGGGGCTAGCTTCTGACCGCCTGGAGTCGTCACCCCTCCCAATTCACCATGGTTGGTGTGGTTTAGGGACGCTGCAGAGTTCCGGATTAACGTTTCAAGCATGCGCCAATCTGCAGTGGCAAACGCGATTGGGTCTCCGAAGGCCTCAGCCCCTAGGGTTTAGGGTTTGGGGTTTAGGGTTTGGGGTTTAGGGTTTAGGGTTTAGGGTTTAGGGTTTAGGGTTTAGGGTTTAGGGCTTGCCGTGCAGCCTGTGCGACGACACCACCAACAGAAAACCGAACCTACTCTAAGCATGTTTCTTTTAAACTTCAAACCCTGAACCCTAAACCCTACCCCCCAGTGCGTGGCTAGTCGGGTGGCAAACAAAGCCCTAACCCTAAACCCCAAACCCCAAACCCCAGACCCTAAACCCTAAACCCTAAACCCTATTCAGGCTTTGTTCCGGACGCAAGTTGCACCTCCGGCAGTCTGTCACGGCTCTTCTCCTGCACAAGTCTTGCTGCGCTTCCGAGTGGGTTTAGGGTTTTGGGTTTTGGGTTTGGGGTTTAGGGTTTAGGGTTTAGGGTTTAGGGAATGAGGGAATTAGGGCCCTATACCCTTTAAGGTATTCTATAGGGTACCTCATTCTCCTCATTCCCTACTAGGAGCCAGCCAGGCTTGGGTTTGTGCAGTTCAGGGTGTTGAGGTTTTTACGGGTTAGGGTTTAGGGTCTAGGGTTTACGATTGTTTACGGTAGTTTTAGGGTCTTTAGGCTTCAGGGTTTGACAGTAGTTTTGAGGCTTTTTGGGGTTTACAGGGTTTTAGGGTAGTTTTGGGACTTAGGGTGGTTTTAGGGAGGGTTTGGGTTCATAGCTGTGTGGTTCAATCTTAGGTCTCTAGTGAGGCCATGGTACCATCGCCGCAGGTCTTGGCGCTCCTAAACCCTAAGCCCTGCAACCCCTCAAAGCCTGAAACCTCCAAAGCTCTTAAAACCCTCACCCCTAAACCCTAAGGCCTAAACCCTAAACCCTATAAACCCTACACCCTAAGCCACCCAAAGCCCGAAATCCCCCAAACTCCCTATTCCACAAGCCCCGGGTGCTGCAAACGCCTGGCTGGTTCTTAGTAGGTGAATGAGGGAAAGGAGGTACCCACATAATCCCCTTGGAGCCAAGGGTATATATAGGGCCCTACTTGGTGGCCCTATTAGCGTACTGAAGGGGCCGATATGTGGGTTATAGCTACACTGACAATGAGTTACTAATACCCAGAACCTCCAAGTAGGGTTTAGGGTTATGAAGGGTTTAGGGTTTAATTAGGGTTTAGGGATAATTCCTTAAAGGGTATATATATATATATATACATAACCCTAATTAATTCCCTCATTCCCTAGTAAGAACCAGGGAAAAAAACGCTCCAGGTCTCCAGCTATGGTCGTGGATGCCCACCGGGGCAAGGGGGTGCGGGACGAGGACATGTTGGCAGCCCAGAAAGTTCGGAAGCTTACAGCTAGGGTTTAGGGTTAGGGTTTAGGGTTTAGGGTTTAGGGTTTAGGGTTTAGGGTTTAGGGTTTAGGGTTTAGGGTTTAGGGTTTAGGGTTTAGGGGGTTTAGGGTCGGCACGTTCCCCATGTACTAGCAGTCCTTAGATGGGGATTTGAATCGGGGGGAATTACTACAATCCCAAGGACTGTTGGCAGCCCAAAAAGGCTCGAGGGTTCATATGGGGGTTGAGGGTTTAGGATTTGGGGGCTAGTGGGGTATAGGGTTTAGGGTTTAGGATTGAGGGAGTTCGGGGTTCAATGCTCCACGCTGAAGGCTTAGCGCCCTGACGTTTAGGGTCTTGGGATGAAGGTGTGTTTCTTGTTCAGGCTTGAGGGTCTAAGGTTTAGTATCGGAGTCCTGTTGCGAAAAGGGTTTACGGGTAGTAACCCTGCGTTCCCTGCTAAACCCCAAACCCTCAACCTCAAAAACTGCCGCGTGCAACGCGGACAGGAAACAACGCCAGTTCATCACTGGTAAGACTGGAGCTCAAAAGGCTTTTTGACAAGTTGGCCCCATACATCCATGCACATACATATATACACATACACATACATGTATACACATACACATACATATATACACATACACATACACATACATATACATATACATATACATATACATATACATATACATATACATATACATGTATATATATGTGTATATATATATAGTTGTTTTTCTTTGTCTTTGTCATATGTTGTTCTGTTCCTGCATCACCCCAGAGGCTGAACATTTATCATTTGGGCCCCCACGCCAGTCCAAAGGAGAGACTCGCAGCCATCGGAAATGTGGCGGGGGAGGCTAATCCGGCCGTGTTCAACATTTGTAGGGTTTGGGGTCCGTGGGTTGTGCTTTGAGATCATTTTGTATGTCTCCTTTTCCTTGTAAAGGAAAAAGAGCCGGCTCAGCACTAGGTTCAATGGAAATTAAATGACAAAACAACACAGTTAGTTTCCGAAGCCTTGGTAGCCCGGTGGTGCCCTTTTGCCGCTATAATTGGGGTTGTAAGTACCTTGAACTTCCAAGTTAGGGAATTCTTTGTCATAGTTGGGTACCATTTTACATGTTGAGGGGTACTTAAACCCTCTAAGGAATATGAAAAACCAAAATTCTAATATTATCCCAACCATGAACTAGAATTCACAAAACTGTAATCTGAGAACTGCCGCACTGGGGCTCTCGGGCTGCGATTCACACATCCGCCACCACACCCGAAACCCCGATTTTCGAAATTCTGGCCTCGGAACCCCTAAGCCCTAAGCCCTAGGGGTTTACAGTAGGGTTTAGGGTTTAGGGTTTAGGGTTTAGGGTAAGTCTTGAGTTTATCTTACATTGTTGTTGAACCAGCTCCCGATGGAGGTGCTTCCAACCTTGGGCGCGGGGGCGACGGCGCCTCGACGTTGAACCAGTTTGTTAAAAGTGTTCGGGTCTTCGGGTTTAGGGTTTGGGGTTTAGGGTTTAGGGTTAGGAGTTTAGGGTTAAGAGTTTGGGGCGCTTTGAAAGTTGTAGGGTTCTCAGGGTTTCGGAGCTCAGGGTTTAAGATTCTGGCCGGCTTCAGGAGCCTTAGGGAGTTTAGGGTTTTCAGGGTTTCGGGTTCTTAGGGTCCAGGTGTTTAGGGCTTAAGAGATACGAGGCCTGGATGTAAAAGGGCTTAAGATCCTGGGGCTTCTCGGAGCTTAAGGGCTTAGGGTTTAGGGTTTAGGGTTAGAGTTTCGGTTTGTTTGGGTTTAGGACTTTGTGCTGTCCGGCTTGCAGCTCAGATCCGAGTTCAACAAGGGGCTAAACCCTAAACCCTAAACCCTAAACCCTAAACCCTAAACCCTAAACCCTAACCCCCCCCCCCCTAGCGATCTCCTTTCACGAAGTTGCAAGTACACTTTTGCCAGCAATCATCGGGTTTAGGTCTGAGGGTTTCGAGGGTCTCCAACCCAAACCCCCCCAAAGTTGTTCACCCCCCCAAAAATGTATTCCTACTGTTCGAAGTCGGTCTGTTGGGAAGGGCCGAGCACAGCTCTGAACATCACTTCTTTCCAACACCGAAAGTCAAACCCTAAACCCAAAACCTTTGGATCCCAGAAATCGCAAACCCTGGAAACTCTTAAAACCTCTATTTCCCTAATTCCTCTCCCAGCCAACAAAACCACCACGCCTTGAATACCCCTAACTGGTTTAGGGTTTAGGGTTTAGGGTTTGGGGTTTGGGGCTCAGCCTCCCCAACCAAAAGCTGCAAACCGACAACTTCAGACTCGTACATGTAAGCCCTAAGCCCTAAACCCTAAACCCTAAACCCTAAACCTTAGGAGCGCACTGGATGGCAACGGGCTCCCAATCTCTTGCCTTTTGGCCCCTTATGGCTTTGGGGATTTAGGGTTTAGGGTTTAGGGTTTAGAGCTTGAGGTTTAGGGTTCAGGGTTTAGAGCTTGGGGTTTGGGGTTTAGGGTTTGGGGTTTGGGGTTTAGGGTTCAGGGTTTAGGGTTTAGGGTTTAGGGTTCAGGGTTTAGGGTTTAGGGTTTAGGGGGGGACATGTTTCGAGTTTTAGAGGAGGAAAGGCGGCAGGGGTATCGATGGGGCTTGAGGGGGAGTGGAGGGTTGCAGGCTTAGGGTTGCACCGGAAATTCAGCAAGTGTCGACTTCAAAAAAGGGGTTTTCAAGGTTTAGGGTTTAGGGTTTAGAGTTTAGGGTTTAGGATTTAGGGTTTAGGGTTAGGGTTTAGGGTTTAGGGCTGCAAAAGGGTTCTTAGGGTGGATTGCGCCCAGAGACTCTGTTACCCCTTCCTCAGGCTGCGACAAGGATCCTAACATTCCCGAATTCAGGGCCATGAGTAGTTCTCTAAACCAGGATCCCCTTTTGCGCGCCCTATGTAGTGCGTCACCTTGTAAGAAGCCCCTAAGGTCGTACCATAAGAGGTTTCCTGCATATGCTCCTGACTCCGATTATGGCCCGTATATTCCCGTTGAGGATCTCTTTCAAAAAGGGTCCCCAAACCCATGGGTACAATTGAAGGGGTCCGCGGTAAAACCCCTAGAGCTCAGGGTTTAGGGTTTAGGGTTCTTGCTCTGGGGCCCCTCGCAGGTCACGGCGCAACAAGAAGTTTCCGCACTGTCCCTAAGGGTCCCATAACTAGGTAGGGTTTAGGGTTTAGGGTTTAGGGTTTAGAGTAATGGGTGCTGCGCTTAAGTGATATTGACCCACCAGATGGAGGGTGGGCCCGTGTGTACACGGATGGTGGGTGCAAAGCCCTATGCCCTAAACCTTGAACCCCCGAACCCTAAACCCTAAACCCTAAGCCCCATTCCCTAAGAGGCAAAATTCGGGCCATTCCCATTGTTCCGGGCGAGGTCCCTTGCAAGCCCTTCAAACGGGGTCCGCATAAACCCCATAAAGCCTGTAAATTTCATAAATCCAAGAAACCCTGCAAAGCATACAAACCCTAAACCCTATCAACCCTATATCAACCCTATATCAACCCTATATAAACCCTATATAAACCCTATATCAACCCTGTATCAACCCTATATAAACCCTATATCAACCCTATATAAACCCTATATAAACCCTACATAAACCCTATATAAACCCTAATATAAACCCTATATCAACCCTATATAAACCCTATGTAAACCCTATATCAACCCTATAACAAACCCTATATCAACCCTATCCTAAACCCTAAACCCTATAAAGCCTGTCTAAACCCCAAGCCGCATGATCAACCCTAGTTCAGGTGCCTTGCGCCACGCCTGGCCAGCAGGCACTGACAGCCCTAATCCCCTAATCCCCTAAACCCTAAACCCTAAGCCCCTAAACCCTAAACCCTAAACCCTAAAGGGTTTAGAGGGTTTGTTGAGTTTAGGGCGTATGGAGTTCGGAGCTGAAGGTTTAGTGCCGGGCTTTGGGGGTTGCAAGCTTTTGGGTTGAAGAAGTGCTCAAGGAGTTGTTCCATTTTGACGCCGTTTGGATCTTAAACCCTTAGCCCTAAGCCCCAGACCCTTAACCCCCAAACCCCTAAGCCCTTAACCCTTAACCGTGGCCCTGCCTAAACCGCAAAGCGACGAGTCGCAAAGCCGCGATCACACGAAACTCGGACTCGGAGTGGGCCCTCATTTCCTTTTTTAGGGTTTGGGGTTGATCTATCATCCCCTTGAAACCCAAAAGTGCGCCCTTTCTATTCCTAGGTTGCTCCTGGGTCTAGGAACTCCTTTCTTGGAGGTTCATGGGTACTTATGGTTTAGGGTTTAGAGTCTCGGGTTTCGGGATTCGGGTTTCGGGTACCCCCACTTCTAAGTCTGGTTCTTGTTGGAGTTAGAACTGCAAAGCACGAAGCACAATAGGCCTCAGAATGTCATGCGTAGACGCTGGTTTTTAGGATTTTTGGGTTTACAGGGTTGAGGGTTTCTAGGGTTCACGGCCCCAACCCCCTTTAAACCCTAAACCGCCCCCGCACACATCGCTCGAGAAGTGTACCAAGAGAACTGAAACCCTAAACCCCCTCCTCACTAGTCTAAATGCTAAACAGGGGCAGGTTTGAACGTACTGTTGTCATGTTGATTACCCCTGATTTTGCATAAAGTCCTTACACAGCCATAGAGAGTGCATTTATATAGGGCCCCCAAGCCTACCCAGGAAACCCGAAACCCTAAACCCGAAACCCTAAACCCGAAACCCCAAACCCTAAACCCTAAACCCTAAACCCTAAACCCTAAACCCTAAACCCAAAACCCAAAACCCAAAACCCAAAACCCAAAACCTTAACCTTCGAAGACGACTTTCGAGCGTCCTCGGCTCCCGCTGGACAGCGCTCCGGGAGGAGGCGCCTCGGCGCGCGCCGATTTGCCTTTTAGGGTGTAGGGTTGAGGGTGTATGGGGTATGGGGTTTAGGGGTTTAGAGGGGTTTAGGCTTGAGGACCCACAGTCCAGTTGCAAAAAGGTTTTCGGGCTGGAGAGAATGCTGCTTGAGCTGTGAGTTTCTGACAGCACGTTTTGGACGCCCTGCGGCTAGGGTTTAGGGTTTAGGGTTTAGGGTTTACGTTTGGGGCTGCGGTTTCGGGTTTATAGGGCTTATGAGCGGTACGGAATTCACCTTCGGCTGTTGAGGATGTTACCACTTGGTCCTTTCTAGGCAGGGCTTAGGGGGACCCCAAGAGAGATCCCACACAGGCAGCCACCAGGTTAAATAGGGTTTAGGGTTTTCTAGGGTTTAGGCGGGTTTTAGGGTTTAGGGTTTAGGGTAGAGGGTGTAAGGTGTGGGGATTAACAGCTACCCAGAGGGTGGGGCCACGGAGTTTTTTTTGGCTTCGCTTGGAGTTTCGGGTGCAGGAGCGTTGAGGGTAGATGTACAACCCTAGTCCTTACATCGAGGTAGGGCAAAGGTGCCCTCACAACGGCAAAAAGGGGCCCTCACAGGGCCCCATTGAGGCAGGGGGTTTTGGATTGAGGGTCTCGGCTTTGTTCATTGGTCCTCCCCGCGTAAAAAAGAAGAATCTAAATACCTAGAGACCTAGAGGCCCTGGGACCTTAAACCACAAGCAACCTTTAAACCCTCAACCCTAAACAGCCTAAACCTTAAACCCCAAACCGGCTGAGCATCAAGGTTGTGGCGTCGAGGCGAACTACTGCTACAAGCTGCATCCCGCCCTCACGGGGTTTCGGAGTTCAGAGGGACGTAGGGTTGAGGGCTTAGGGCTTACGTATGAGCCCCTAAACCCTAAACCCTAAACCCTAAACCCTAAACCCGAAACCCGAAGCCCTTTTCCTTAGGTTTTTTGAGGGCCAGCTTAGGGTTGAGGGCTTCGAGCTCAGGGCTGTTGAGCCCTACACCCTTAGGGTTTAGGGCTTAGGGTTTGGGGTTTTAGGGTTTTTGAGGGCCAACGGGGCATGTTTGACGTTGACGGTTGTCCAGTTGTCCTACTGACTGGTTCGTAGTAGGGAGTGAGAGAATTAGGTACCTTAGGGTTTAGGGTTGAAACCCGAAAGCCCAAAGCCTGTGAATCCCAATCCCTGAACCTTACACGGAAGCCGCGCAAATTGATGGAGGTTCAGGGTACTCATCCTGTACTTATAAACCCCCCCCAAGTCCCCTAACCCCCCTAAGTAGGTTATAAGTAGCGTTAGGGTTATAAGTACTCATCTCGAAGTGGACAAGCGAGTTTCACAGCCTTGCGCCCAGCCTCTCCCCATCCGAACCCTGCGTTTAGGGTTTTATCGGCACAGGCACAGGGGGGTTTACCCCTCCACAGAGAGACCCGACAATTGATCTTGAAGTCGCGCGCCACCCTAAACCCTAAACCCTAAACCCTAAACTCTAAACCCTAAACCCCTATTCGCGAAAGATTTGGCGTCATGGCTGAGGCGCGGCACCGCCCAAAGAGTGTAGGGCGGGATGTCCCCAACCCTAAACCCCAAAACCCCAAACCCCAAACCCCAAACCCTAAACCCTAAACCCTAAACCCTAAACCCGCGAAAGCGGATCCAACATCAGAGTTTGGGCTCTGGGCTCTGGGTGGTGGACTCTGGGCCTCTGGTTTAGGGTTTAGGGTTTAGGGTTCAGGGTTCAGGGTTCAGGGTTTAGGGTTTTGGGGGGGTTGGGGGGTTGGGTGGTTTGCGGGTTTGCTGTTTTGGCGGTTAGGTGTTGGGATGTAGGGTTTTTGGGCCCGGGGTCTCCTAACCATCCAAACCCTAAACTTTAAACCCTAAACCCTAAACCCTAAATCCCTCTTAAGGGTTAGTACAAGGGGGAACATCCCAAAATGCCCCACCCTAAGCCCTAAACCCTAAACCCTAAACCTAAACCCTAAACCCTAAACCCCCGGCCTGGGGATGTTTTCAGTCCCGTCCCAGAGTCGTACAGCTTCAAGCCCTCATGTGCCCAGCAGCACAAGAGCCAGACGAACCCTAAACCCTAAACCCTACACCCTAAACCAGTTTTACCCCAGCAAGTTTTGGGAAGTTGTTTTTTGCCTTCCAGCGCTTTAGTTGCAGCATCCGCTTGGAAAGCTTGACCTCGTCATGACCTCCGGAATGCTCATGGCCAAGCCGATTCTCTACCTGAACATGGGCGGAGAGATGCTTTACGTCCTCTGGAAGCGAATGGTTTCGATGCAGGTGCCCGCGGACAAGGCCCAAAAAGCGATGGCCCAGTTGGTGCGGAATATGTTTGCGCCGAGCATGATCGACACGATGCTCCAGCCCCAAGATGACCTCGGTTCGCTGGGGTCTTGGAAGAAGGTGTTCCAGCAACTGACGCAACACACCACGATGAGGCTGAATGAACAATCCATGGGGAAACTCTTTGAGCTTATGCAGATGACCTTCAAGCTGCAGGTGATGTTCACCAGCCCACAGGAAATCCTGGATGTCACCAGCAACCACTTGGAGGGCATACAGCGCATCATTGCAGAGGATGAGGAACTCTTAGCTTTGGTGGAGGGGTGCTCGGCGCGAGTGAGGCACACCTATGCTCAGCTGGGCACAGCAGACCTGTGTACTTTGCGGCACACCTTGGCGGTTTTCCTGCAAGAGAGTCACCAGAGGGTCTCTTTTCTCTTGTCTGAAGGACCTAAGCCTTAAACCCAAACCCTAGGCCCTCAAACATGAACCCTAAACCCAAACCTTAAACCCTAAACCCCAAACCCTCAACCCGAAACCCCGAAACTGAAGAGTTGTCTGAAGGACTGCAGAAGTCGAAAGATGGATCTTTCTCCATACCCTCGTCTGGGGAGCTCCCGGCAGGAGCTCTGCAACCAGGACTGGGTTGGATTTTGGGGACATCTTTTATTTTTCCTTATTTGGGCTTATAAGGGACCCTATATGTAAATTTTAGAACCCTAAACCCGAAACCCTAAACCCTAAACCCTAAACCTTTGTTCAGAGGGTTTTTAATCGGCCAACCCCAGAGGAGCCGTGCGCTACTTCCGTGAGGCCTTGACCTCCCGGGAGATCAAGATTCGGCACCTTAGTAGTAGAGTAGGTAACCTTTAACCTTTTTGGGGTTTAGGGTTTAGGGTTTAGGGTTTAGGGTTTTAGGGTTTAGGGTTTAGGGTTTAGGGTTTAGGGTTTAGGGTTTAGGGTTTAGGGCTACTAAGGCATCAGGACCTCACGACTGCCACGAGCGTTTCATGGCAGCCTTCCTCGGGGGAATACAGAACCACGCAAGGCACCAACATCTATACAGCTCAAGTTACTTGAAGCAGGGGGTTTAGGGTTTAGGGTTTAGGGTTTAGGGTTTAGGGTTTAGGGTGTATGTTACTGTTAGGTTACTTATAGGGATTCTTGGGAATAGTTTTTTTCGTTTTTGGGTACCATAATTCCTAAGAAGCAGCTAAAAAAGATCATTTTCCCAGGGCTCCAATCACTATCAGCTCAAGTTACTTGAAGAAGGGTATATATTACTGTTTTTGGTGAGTGTATAGTAAGGTTCCTTTTTTGATTTTGGTGGTGTCCTTTTGGGGGGTACAAGAAGGATATACCCTACTTCACTTATAGGGATTCTTGGGAATGGTTTTTCATTTTTGGGGTACTACAGCTCCTAGAAACAGCTAAAAAGATACCTTTTTCCTGAGCTTCCAAAAACCCTAAACCCCAAACCCCAAACCCTAAACCCTAAACCCTAAACCCTAAACCCTAAACCCAGGTTAGGCGACCTTCGAAGTCCGTTCGGGTGGCTTTGATGAGTGGCCGCGAGGTGCTGTGCTCGGGAGCCCCTATTCGCAGAGCAACTTACTAGCTGAGTGGGTACACTTTGCACTTTTTGCTTAGTAGCCCAGTGGTACCCTTTTCCCTTTTTTGGTTCTGGGTTCCAGTAACTAACCCAAAAAAGGGTGCCCTTCTTAGAACATGGTTGCTGGGCTACGAAGTTTGGGATACTCTAACTCCATATAGAACCGAAAGTGCACATTTTTTAGGGGGCTTGTGAACCCAGTGAGTAAGGTAAAGGCTTTGAGAGAAGAGGCCGAGCAACTCTTCGAGGGGAAGATCAAAAAGCTGATTACGTGCTCAGGCGAGGTTCTTCGTGATGACATGACGCTTGGAGACGCAGGGATCGAATGTGGCAGTTCGGTTCATGCCGTGATGCTGTCACCCTGAAGGGGTGGAAGCAGCTGCTTGAATTGCAGACCCCAGAACTCCATAACACTCACCCCTACCTTGCCCCTGGGACCCACGCAAGAGTCCTGGCAATAGGGTTTAGGGTTTAGGGTTTAGGGTTTAGGGTTTAGGGTTTAGGGTTTAGGGCAGATACTTGCAGACGTGCCAGGCATGCCGTGATGGCCCCCTTCAGGAAGTTGCATACCACCCCCCCCCCCTAGAACCTGAGAACCCTAAGCAGCTCCATGAGAATTGAACCCTAAACCCTATACCCCAAATCCGAAACCCTAAACCCTAAACCCTAAGCCACAATTTCAGAGCTACTTCGACCTGCCGAAGCCTGGCCCTGCGCGAGAAACCCTTAGCTGTGCCAGATCTGACTTTTGTCTAAGGTTAGTTGCATAGGCCGTTCATGTGGTCCCTTGCTTTCTTGAAAGGGTTCTGAAGTACGGGCCCTTGGGTCTTTTGGGGTATATAAGGGGTCCCCGTTCAAGTGCCCATATGAGCCTTCAAACTACCCTACGATGTTCTTGGCTGTAGCTTTCTCTCTCTGGGTCAGCGTGGGCTTAGGGATGTCTAGGGCTTGTCGCTTTGGGAAGTCGCTGTCAAAGCCGCGGGGGTCTTGTTAGCGTTTGGAGGGTTTTGGGTCTTACAGGTTTCAGCAGAACCCTTCCTTACCTGAAGCAACTTGTGTAGCCCGATGGACCCTAAGGCCTAGACCCTAAATCCTATTCCCTACACCCTAAACCCTAAACCCTACACTCTAAACCCTAAACCCTAAACCCTAAACCCTAAACCCTAAACCCTAAACCCTAAACCCTAAAACCCTAAAACCCTAAACCCCTAAAGGGCGTTCCCTGCAATTTAGGTTTCGGGGTTTAGAGGTTTAGGGTTTAGGGTTTGGGGTTCAGGGTTTAGGGTTGGGGTTTCGGTTTAATTAGGGTTTAGGGTTTAAGTGCGAAGCCTGTTGCAAAAGGGTTCCGGGTTTAGGGTTTAGGGTTTCGGCATTTGCTCCCCCTTTTTTTTGTCGTGAAAGATGCGGCTACTGTCAGCATGAAGTTACCAGAAACGGGTTGCGCAGTAAAGAACACAGCACCCTTATTGCGGCCACTTCATGAACTCAAGTTCCTGAAGCCAGGGCCCAGGGTTTGCGGTATAGGGTTTGGGGTTCAGGGTTTAGGGCCTTCAAAGCGCATTGCGTGGAAACAAAGTTGGCCCGAATCACCTGGGTCTTCCTAAGCCATCGTAGGGTTTAGGGCTGGGGGTCGCCCCCCCGGTTTGGCTAGGAAACACTGAGGTTGAAGGTTTAGGGTTTTGGGGTTTAGGGTTTAGGGTTGTCAAGAATGGGACTTAATGGGGCTTTAGGGGTTTCGCGTGCTGAGGTATGAGAAAGCACATAGCATACGATGCTCGGCCGGCATGTGCGGGTTTTCGGATTGACGGTTCCGCGTTGAAGTAGATCTACATGCTGATAGAGGGGCGTGGAGTTTAGGGTATAGGCTTTCAGCTGCGCATGCTGAGAATTCATGATTGGGGTTCTCTATATGCTATGGGCCCCTCATTTATAACGGCTCCACTTCAACCGGTACCATCTTTTTCAGAGCCTCCTATGAATATTCGGTGACACCCTCAGCTGGAAAACCCCAAGCGTGCTTAAGGACCCCAAAAGCCTTGCAGAAGCCTTAGAACAAGTTGAAGTTGTAGGGTCTAGGATCTAGGGTTTAGGGTTCATATAGGGTTTAGGGTTTAGGGGCCCCTGACAAAAAGGGTTCAGGGGCAAGACCCCGGCAGCAATGAGTCCGGATGCACAAGGGTTGAGGGGCTTAAGGGTTTACGTGAACCGGGCCAAAAATAAGGGGCAGCAGCCGAGTCCCTCGTGAAGAACGGTTTGCACGTTTGCAAACCCTACACTTTGGCTGCGACCATGACTGCTGAGGCTATTCGGCTGGGGGTGGCCTCATTTGGCTCTCTGCCCCAGCGACGCGGATGGCGGGCGGCGTGCGAGACGACTGGCTTCGTTTGGGCTTAGACCCTAAATCCTCAACCCTTTCGTAGGGGATTTTAGGTTTTAGTGTTTGGGGTCTATAGGGTCAGGGGCAAAGTGGGCTTGAGGTGAACTGAGTAGGGTGCAGGGTGCGAAGCCCCAAGCCTTTAAGACTTATAGCTGGGTTTTGGAGTTCTACACTTTAATACTTTTTTTGGTTCTGGGTTCCTATTATAGCTACTTGTTACCTAAAAAGCATATACTTTGTTCCAGGGTCTACTCCAAAGTATGGATAGGGACTTCATAGGTTTGGGACTCTGGGGTTACAATTTAAAGTCGTGGCCCTCAAGTCATCTTAACTGTTCACGCCATGCCCTCACCCTAAGCTCTGAAGCCTGAACCCTAAACCCCGAACTGAACCCTGAACCCTAAGCCCTAAGCCCTAAACCCTAAGCCCTAAACCGTAAACCCTAAACCCTAAATCCTAAATCCTAAACCCTAGGCCCTAAACCCAAGTCAGGTCATCTCAGATGGTGCGTTCGGCAGCTTTACCATCAAAGACAACACGAATGGAGACGCAGGCCTGTCAGCATCAGTCGCTTTTGAGGGTTGAGGGTTTAGGGTTTGGGGTTTAGGGTTGAGGGTTTAGGGGTTAGGGTTTAGGGTTTAGGGTTTAGGACCCTAAACCCTGAAACCCAAGCGAAACTGAGGCTCAAGGCCTTCCTAAGCCGGTTCCTTCCCCCCTGCATGATGCTTTTGGCTTGGCACGAAAACGCGGTACGATTGACAACGACCAGCTCCCAATAAATTCCGTCAGCAGAACAACCGACCAGAGAGACACAACGAACCGCTGCTGTATCCGGGCAGAAGTTATAGGGTCCCCTTATATGGCACGGCACCCTAAAGGGAACCCCCCCTCCCCGCCCCCCTCCTTCAATCTAGAGAACCACCCATCGGTATGTGCTCACAGTATTCTTGGTCGCCACGCCCGTAGAATGCACTTGTGCTGGCTTAGTCGTTCGTCTTAGTGAGGCGCGCTTGTAATTCGTTGACGGGGCGAACATTCATCGGTGTCTCTTCATGGTATTTGGTGCATGTGAAGCTTGCACCTTAACCCTAAACCCTAAACCTCTAAACCCTCAACCCTATAAGCCCTAAACCCCAAACCTTAAACCCCTAACCCTGAACCCCAAACTCAAAAACCTCAACTAGAAAAGCCCTAAACCTTAAACGTTAAACCCCAAAGCCCTAAACCTCTAAAACCTCAACCCTATAAGCCTTAAACCCCTAACCCTAAACCCTAAACCCCCTAAACCCCTAACCTAGGCCGCTAACCCTACCCCCTAAACCCTAAACCATAGCCCTAAACCCTAAGCCCCAAACCCTACAACAAGCCCCGAGCAGCTTCACTCCAGCGCCGTTGTCTTCCTGAAATCATTGCAGCCCTGAGCGCCACAGTTTCCAGGGTTGAGGGTTTAGGGTTGGGTTTAGGGTTTAGGGTTTAGGGTTTAGGGTTTAGGGCTTAGGGCTTAGGGCTTAGGGCTTAGGGCTTAGGGCTTAGGGCTTAGGGCTTAGGGCTTAGGGCTTAGGGTTTATAGGGTTTAGGGTTTAGGGTTTAGGGTTTAGGGTTTAGGGTTTAGGGTTCAGGGTTTAGGGTTTAGGGTTTAGGGTTGAGGCTGCAAACCTCGAGCCCTCTAAACTTCAGCCCCCAAGCCCGGAACTTTTTCCTCGGGCAGCCAGGCCCTCCTGTGATATTGTACATCTTTCCGTGACGGGTTGAAGGAGATGGTCTGTAAGGCCTCGCCCCTAAACCCTATAAACTAGCAGCCCTAAACCCTAAACCCTAAACCCTAAACCCTAAACCCTAAACCCTAAACCCTAAACCCTAAACCCTAAACCCTAAACCCTAAACCCTAAACCCTAAACCCTAAACCCTCCCGGAGGGTTCAAGGGCCAACATAGGGCCCCCACCCGCGAGATCAACCGGACACTTCCGGTGGCGGTGCTGGCGGCCAGGTCATTGTCTACACGGACAACCTGACTCCCGGCAAGAACCGTCAAGAAGCTTTTTGTTTAGGGTTAGGGTTTAGGGTTTTAGGGTTTTAGGGTTTTAGGGTTTTAGGGTTTTAGGGTTTTAGGGTTTTAGGGTTTTAGGGTTTTAGGGTTTTAGGGTTTTAGGGTTTTAGGGTTTTAGGGTTTTAGGGTTTTAGGGTTTAGGGTTTTAGGGTTTAGTTTTAGGGTTTTAGGGTTTTAGGGTTTTAGGGTTTTAGGGTTTTAGGGTTTTAGGGTTTTAGGGTTTTAGGGTTTTAGGGTTTTAGGGTTTTAGGGTTTTAGGGTTTTAGGGTTCTAGGGTTCTAGGGTTTTAGGGTTTTAGGGTTTTAGGGCTTTAGGGCTTTAGGGCTTTAGGGCTTTAGGGCTTAGGCCTTCGCCGCCAAGTCTTCTGTGCCTTAGGAGGCCCTAGAAGAGTTTCGTCTTTAGGGTTTATAGGGTTTAGGGTTTAGGGCTACGGGCTAGGCCTTAGGATGGGTTAGGCTCCAGGTGTGGCTGGATTCAGGGCACTCGGATGGCTGTTGGGGAGTGTGCGCATGTTGTTTCCTTGTAAAAGGGCGCTGAAGAAGGGTTTAGGGTTTCGGGTTTGGGGTTTAGGGTTTAGGGTTTAGGGTTTAGGGTTTGGGGTTTAGGGTTTAGGGTTTGGGGTTTGGGGTTTAGGGTTTGGGACTGGGGTTTAGGATTCGGGTTGATAGGGTTTATAGGGTTGGGACGGTTTAGGGGCTGAAGAAGCCGACAAACCGAAATGCCCCAAAGCCCCATAAACCGCGAGCCCGCAATTTTCAAGCTCTAAACTCTAAACCCTAAACCTAAACCCTAAACCCTAAACCCTAAACCCTAAACCCTAAACCCTAAACCCTAAACCCTAAACCCTAAACCCTAAACCCTAAACCCTAAACCCTAAACCCTAAACCCTAAACCCTAAACCCTACCTCTAAACCCTAAACCCTTAAAGCCTAGACACGACAGCGATGAGGCTGGTGCCGTCCTCTGCATCTGAGTTGGGATGGCCTAGGCGAGGGCGATGTGCATGTGGCTTTTGTTCGGCCCTGCTGGCTAAACGTAGGGTTTAGGGTTTAGGGTTTAGGGTTAGGGTTTAGGGTTTAGGGTTAGGGTTTAGGGTTTAGGGTTTAGGGTTTAGGGTTTAGGGCTTAGGGCTTAGGGCTTAGGGTTTAGGGTTTAGGGTTTAGGGTTTAGGGGACCACATCCCCCGAAGTCCTAGGGCTGATATGGCCCTAGACCCTAAACTCCTCAATCCTCAACCGGTTTAGGGTTTGCTTACTAAACTCGTTTCTACTTTCCTAAACCCTAAACCCTAAACCCTAAACCCTAAACCCTAAACCCTTTTTGGTTCCAAGTGCAGTATAGGTTCCGAGTGTAGGGTTTGTGGTGTTTTTTTCTCGGTCGAGTTTTAGTTGAAGACTTGCCCGTGGGCGGTGGTGTTTAGGGCCTGGGGCTTCGTATGTATCAGAAAGTAAACCCTAAAGTCCTTCTTGTTGCGACCCAAAGCTGTGAACCCCTCAACCTCGAATGCCTAAACCTAAAGTAGAAGCGGAGGAAGGTTTGTGCAAGTTCTCAGTCCCTTTTTGCGCACTAAATGTTCATCGCCGCTTTAGAATAGCAATTCCACAAAGGGACCCTACACCCTAAGCCTTAAACCCTAAACCCTAAACCCAGTGTCCTAACTTTGAGAGAACTACCCAAATAGTGCACAGAGGGTGCGGGATGTACGGGGTTTCGGGTTTTCGGGTTTAGGGTTTAGGTTTAGGGTTTAGGGCTAGTGTTTAGAGCTGATTAGAGTCCAGCCCCACCGAACTTGCAGGCTGTCAGCCAAAGGCGGTGATGCGTCTTGACTGGAAGGATCTGTGTGCTCTCCTCGTAACAGAAACTCTCCGAAGACAGGATTTCGGGCGACAAATGTTTCCAGGTTCGGCTGAAAAAAACGAAGGGCTCAAGACGAAGAATGACGTAATCTTTTGGGGGGGTTAACCCTAAACCCTAAACCCTAAACCCTAAACCCTAAACCCTAAACCCTAAACCCTAAACCCTAAACCCTAAACCCTAAACCCTAAACCCTAAACCCTAAACCCTAAACCTTGGGGGGGGTTTACTTTTTGGATCCTCCCAAGGGGTCTGGCTCTTTGGGCCGTAAGTCCTTAGCACCTTAGGCAACCCGAACCTGCCGAACCCCAACAGGAACTCCTGGAGTCCTCTAAGCCCTGAGTCCCAAACCCTAAACCCTAAACCCTACACCCCAAACCCTAAACCCCAAACCCTAAACCCTAAACCCTAGCCCTAAACCCTAAACCCTACCCCCTCAAGCGAAGGCGCAATGCAGCAGCCAGACGGCCTCTGTGGGCGGTGCCGGCGGCGGTGGCTTTATAGGACCGGTCCTGGCTTGCCCTTAATCGGGTTTAGGGTTTAGGGTTTACGGTTGGGTTTCGGGTTTAGGGTTTAGGGTTTAGGGTTTAGGGGTTGACGGAGATGATCGGGGTTTGAATGACCATGCAGGGAGAATGCACCCCTAAACCCTAAACCTGAAACGCTGAAACTTTCAGAGCTCCAGCTCCTGCGGGACCCACAAAAGCTCTAAAGCCACAGACCCTAAACCCTAACCCCGCTAAATCCCTCTCATGGCGCTCGACCAAGCCACATGTGTGGTGCTGGATGGCTCGTCGGACGAAGGGCCTGTCCCAGTCCGGGAGTCCTTGCTGGCTCTCAGGCGGGCGCTCGGTCCACCAGGCAACCCGGACGAGCCCCCGTCTTGACACCTGGCCGCCCCTAAACCCTAAACCCTAAACCCTAAACCCTGGGAACCAGTGCGCCATCTGCCAGTCATGTACTACAGTACACAAGGCGAGCTTCCAACTTCATCTCTCACCCTAAACCCTAAGACTAGGTAGGCCCTTGGGACATTTTATATTTTCCCTTATTGGGTTTAAGAGGATCATATTCAGGAATATTTTTTGGAGGGTTCTTATGGCCATCCTAGAAGAGTATGAAACCTGTAACCCCTAAAAATCCTCTAAACCCCATACACCCCATAATTCCTATATGCACCCTATAAACCCCCTGAAGCCCCTAAACTCCATAAAACCCCTATAAAACCCTTTAAACCCCATAATCCCTATAAACCCTACAAACCCTATAAGCCCTAGACCAATCCCCGTTTCTACCTAGAAGGGGACCAGCTGGGCCTGACTCCCCAGCCCACTTCGGTGAAGGCAAGGGTCAGGGGTTCGGATTGGTTTAGGCCCCTTCGAGTAATCAATGGGGTACTAGTATGATTATTCATGAGAACCATAAAAAATCATCTGAAGAACAAACACTGATACAAGTAGTCAAAATAGGGACTGAAGGATATGACTTCGTTATGACGGGGGTACGCCGAAACCGAAGGTTGAGGGCGTCTTTGGGGTTTAGGGTTTCGGGTTTCGGGTTTCGGGTTTGGGAACCCTTCTATAACCCTTTACCCTATGAAGCCCAAGTGTTGGAGACCGTAATGAGGGACTATGGAATTTCCCTTGCGGGCATACCCTAAACCCTAAACCCTATACCCTATACCCTATAAACCCTAAACCCTAAACCCTAACCCAAACCCAGCCTATGTGGCTTCTGACAGGCCTGGAATGGCGAAGCAGCTTGGCTCCAGAGGGGATCTTGGGACGTGGGTAGGCTTAAGGGTGTTTTGAGTTTTTTGGGTTTAGAGGGTACACAGGGTTTAGAGGGTTCGGAGGGTTTACCCAAAGGGTATAGAGATTAAATGCCACACCCACATCATGGCTTGACAAACTTAGGGTTTTCAATCCATACGTACATGGCTGGATTGCCTTCTTCATGGTGAGGGAATTAGGCGCCGTATGGAACCTGGCTTTCTAGAGAGATATGAGGTACCTAGGGCCCAGCTTCCCAAAACGGCACCCGACATACCCCTTGGCCTTAAAATCCGAAACCCTAAGCCCGAATGGGGATGGCTAAAGCCATGTAGGGTTTAGGGTTTAGGGTTTAGTGTTTAGGGTTTAGGGCGTTTACGAGGCGCACCCTAAGCCCCCCCCCCCCCCCAAAGGCAAAACGCAAGCAAGAAGTCCGGTGAAAGATCCGACCCGGCTGCTATTGGACGTGGGCGGCGGGCGCGTGACGGACCGGCTTCTTTGGGGACAAGCCTGGCACGTGGGGCCACATGAAGTTTTGGGGTTTGGGGTTTAGGATGTAGGGCATTGACTGAGAGGGCCTGAGAGAGGGAGAGAGAGAGAGCGGGTTTAGGGTTCTGGGTGGTTCTGTAAATGAGGGTCACCTTTTTGTTGGGGTCCACGTTTTGAAGGTGCCGTACTGTAGAAGGGACCCACATGGGGACACTAATTCAGAGCGTTAGATTTAGGGTTTAGGGTTGCGGGGTGCTGTGGCTTGGGGACGAAAGGTGTATGGCTTGCGACGTGAGATGTTGTTTTAAAGCCTTCGCTTCAGAGGCCCCTGCATACCCCCTCCCCTAAGAAAGCACTTCCCCCAAGCCTAAACCGTAAACCGTAAACCCCAAACCCTAAACCCTAAACCCCAAACCGAAGGTTTTGGAGTTCAGGGATTTCGGCTTTGGCGCCCCATCGCCAGGAGAAATGCGCCGACTTTCTCCCGCAGAAATTCCAGGCGCCTCATGTTTAGTTGAGATGGGTTGAGGGTTTGGGGGTTTGAGGTAGGGTTGTGGGGTTTGGGGATTTGGGGTTCAGGCCTTTGGGGTTCAGGGTTTAAGGGGTGTACGGTTTCGGGGTTTAGGGTATTGAATTTGGGGTTTCAATTTTGGGTTTTGGGTTGTAGCGTTTTAGGGTTTATCCTAGGTAGGAGAAGGGGGACCCTTAAAAGGGAACCCTTAAAAGGGAACCCTTCTTAACCTTCTTCTGGCTCTCTTAAACAGGGACCTTATTCAGAGGGTCTATGTCCCCAAGGGTCACCCTAATCCTATCCTCTAGTTTAAGGTTTAGGGGTTACAGGTGTAGTAGCAGCTGTCCTGGTAGGCCTCCGACCATGCCATTTTTCAGCCCAAAGGGCTCAACAAGGGTTGAGGGTTTAGGGTTTAGGGTTTAGGGTTTAGCGTTTAGGACTTAGAGTTAGGCTTCTCAAGTCTCCGGGATGTGGGGCTTAGGGTTTAGGGTTTAGGGTTTAGGGTTTAGGGTTTAAGGTTTAGGGTAAACAGCCCCTAACCCTACACCCCAAAAACCCTCTCAACCCTGCAAAACGAAACCCTACATAACCCTAGACCCTAAACCCCAGATACCCATAAACCCTAAAACCCTGAAACAACAAACCCTTAAAACTCAACCCTATACACCCTAACCCCAAGCCCTAAACCCTAAACCCTAGCCCTAAACCCTAAACCCTAAACCCTAAACCCTAAACCCTAAACCCTAAACCCTAAACCCTAAACCCTAAACCCTAAACCCTAAACCCTACAAACCCGAAACCTCTTCCCAGAGGACAGCGTGCTTGGCGGCCCGGGCCTTGCCACCACCCTGACACCGTGCCAGCCAGGTGACGCTTCCTTCCTAGGGTTTTAGGGTTTAGGGTTTGGGGTTTAGGGTTTAGGGCTTTGGAGTTTCTATGGTTTCTAAGGTTTCTAGGGTTTCTAGGTTTCAGCCTAGGGTTTAGGGTGTGCGGTTTCGGGTTTTAGAGTTTAGGGTTTCGGGTTTCGGGTTTTAGGGTTTAGGGCTTTTGGATTTTAATTAGGGTTCAGGGTTTGGGGCTTTGTGGGGGTTGATGGTTTAGGGTTTCGGGTTTTGGTTGTATGTAGCGTTTAGGGTTGGTCGGTTCAAGTTTTGGGTGTTTAGGGCTCCACCAACGGCAAACCCTCTACGGAACTGACAGCCTGAGAAATCTGGGATGCGGAGCCCTAAGCCCTCAAAACCTACCTAAACGATCCCAAACCTTACTGTATGTTCCCTTAGTAGCTGATGGAGTACACTTTACACTTTCTGGGATAGTATTATCCCCTATGGAACTGACAGTGTACACTTTGTGGGGGCTCATGAACTCAGCAACTAAGGTCCTACAAACCCTAAACCCTAAACCCCAGTTGGCTTTTCAGTGGCGCCCCCAAGCCCTGCTCCAGCAGCTTAGGGTTTAGGGCCCATTCTGGGCCCAGTTCTAAAGCCCAGATGCAAATAAGGTTTAGGGTTTAGGGTTTTAGACTCTTATTGGGGGGGGTGAACTTCTTTCCCGCTGCCGCTTGGGAAGCCGCCCTAGACCCCTAAACCAAAAACCTTAAACTCTAAACCATAAACCCTCAACCCTAGCCCTAAACCCTAAACCCCAAACCCTAAGCCACCCTAAACCCTAAACTCGAACCCACTTGGGGTTTAGGGGCTTTGGTGGATTTGGCGGCTCCATCCCCTGAAAGGTCTGGCGGGCCCGGTTTGCCAGCCCTGCCCCGTGGGGCTATGGGGTGACGGCGAAGGACGCGGCCTTTCAGTGTTGGCATAGGATTCGTTTCGCAAGTTTCTAGGGTTTGGGGTTTTGGAGGGTTCAGGGTTTGGAGCAGGATTTCAGGCTTCGAGGTTAAGGGTTCAGGGTTTACAGGTTTCGAGTTTCTGGTTTCCAGGGTTTAGGGGCTTGTTAAAGGGTTCAGGGCTGTAGGGTTTAGGGCTTCAGAAGGGTCCAGAAAAACTCCTCGGGCCGGCCCTGCCGCCGCGCTCAGAAGGGAATCGGAGTGTGGGTACGGCTACGTACTGTGCGCAATGCGGAGAGGGAAGGGGGGGGTTGATGGTTTAGGGTTTAGGGTTTAGGGTTTAGGGCTTAGGGGTCTCCAGGAACCGTGAACCCTAAGATGAAGCTTCCAAACACTGAGCTCTTGTTGGCCAATGGTTTTCGGCTCATTTGGGTTCTAACCTCTTCAACCCCAAGCCGTAAAGCCCGAACCCTACGGAAACAGGGGTCTTCCTGCACTCGAGGCCCTAAGTCTGGGACGCCCAGCAGTGCGCCGGTTCTTCCCTTATAAATTGACAAACCCTAGTAAACGTTTAAACCCTCAACCCAGAAGCCCTAAACCCTCAACCCATAAGCCCTGCAACCCTTTCCCCGGGGCTTGAACAGGCACCTGTCAAGAGTGCACCAACCATCTCGGCAAACATGGGATCTACACCACGGAGGCCCTACACTGGCTTATAATTATAGGGTTGAGGGTTGTGGTTTTAGGGTTCAGGGTTTAGGGTTTGGGTCCTACACCCCACATCCCCCATAGGAGCTTGGGGTTTAGGGTTTGGGGGTACCTGGGACTCAATCCCCAAAAACAACCCAAAAGCCCCAAAGTACCACAAACCCCCAAACCCCCTTTTGTGGCTTGAAGGGTGTTGAGGGCCAGAGAACTGGCCAGATGTCCAAAGCCAAGGCTATCAGAGCTGTGCAAGGGGTAGCTTGGCCCCCCACTGATTCTCAGCTTCGAGGTGTCCTCCCCGAAGCCCTAAACCCGAAACCCGAAACCCTAAACCCTAAACCCTAACCCCTAACCCCTAACCCCTAAACCCTAAACCCTAAACCCTATACCCTAAACCCTAAACCCTAAACCCTAGACCCTGTCCATAAGCGCAGTCCGCATCCTGTCATAGTCCAGGGTCAGGAGCTCTTAGGTCTTCACAGCACTGATGCTCCTTTAAAGCTTGAGCTCCAGCTTAGGGTTTAGGGTTTAGGGTGTAGGGTTTAGGGTTTAGGATTTAGGGTTCAGGGTTGTGGGCTGTTCTCTACTAATCCCTTCTGAGGTTCTTAACATACTTCGCGGAGCCTGGATTCGGGGTTTGGGGTTTAGGGTACTCTAAACCCTAAACCCTAAACCCTAAACCCTAAACCCTAAACCCTAAACCCTAAACCCTAAACCCTAAACCCTAAACCCTAAACCCTAAACCCTAAACCCTAATCCCAGTTCCGGGTTCAACAAAAAGGGCATAGGGCAAAGCGGGGTCCCGGAAATCTGGGACCCAGCCATGCGCCCGGAAAGGGTTTAGGGTTTAGGGTTTAGGGTTTATAGTTTAGGGTTTTGGTTTAGGGTTTAGGGTTTAGGGTTTAGGGTTTAGGGTTTAGGGTTTAGGGTTTAGGGTTTAGGGTTTAGGGTTTAGGGTTTAGGGTTTAGGGTTTAGGGTTTAGGGTTTAGGACCACGTGCAAGCTTACCTTGTTGTTGGGAGGTGGACCTTTCGTGGAGGTTATCTGTAGCTACATTGCTTGACGGTAGGTGCTGGATCCTAAGCCCTAAACCCTAAAGCCTAAACCGGGCGACGTTATTTAAGGCGTTGCCGCTGAGTTCGGTCCCTAAACCCTAAACCCCTACCCCCTAGACCCTAAACCCGAAACCCCTACACTGTTGATTTGAAAGGTTGAAATGAAAGGGTCATCGATTGTAAACCCCTAAACCCCTGAACCCTAAACCCTAATCCGAAACCCTAAACCCTAAACCCTAAACCCCAGGGCTGGGCCAACGAGACCTGCCCGTACCAATGCATCCCGGGCCTTCCTGCGGTGCAGATCAACCCCGCGACCCGGTGGCGTCTGAGGCTTTCAGGGTCTACGGATTCCCTGAGGGTTTAGGGTTTAGGGTTTAGGGTTTAGGGTTTAGGGTTTCGGGGCCCTTGAGCCAGGGATTCAGAACCTCAAGAAGCTCCGATAGTTAACCTTAAACCCTAAACCCTAAGCCACCCAAAGCCCTACGTAGGGAATGAGGGAAATGAGGTACCCTACACAATCCCTTAAAGGGTATTCATAGGGCCCTACTTGGTGGTTCATTGTACTTAGGAACCCAATTGTAACTGCACGTATAACCCTATTGGGGTACTTTATGGGCTTTTATGTGGATTATAGCTACACTGATCATGGGTTACTAAGTACCCTGAACCTCCAGGTATAAGTCCCAGAAGCTGCAACCTGCAGCAGAATGCCCCCACCCCAACCCTTTCTTAGGGCTTAGGTCTGGGGTTCGTGCGGTTCTCTACCGGTGTTTGGCTGGAGCCGTGGGGTTTAGGGTTGGCCACAGAAGCCCAAGACGAACATGGGAGTGTACCAGGGCCAGCTATCTTCGTCGGAGGGGGGCATTGGCGCCGTAGGGCAGACATGCAGGACTTACTGAGACGTGCCTAGCGGAAAGTCGCTTCCGCGAAGACCCTCGTGCATAGGGCCCCTAAACCCTAAACCCTAAACGCTGCAGTGAGGGGCCTCCTGGTTGCATGATACAGTAAAACATCTTACATGAGTTTGAGGGCCCCAACTTAACCTTGAGGCCCCTCAATACACACAGCAAGGTGCACCCCTGGTTTACGGTTTAGGGCTTTGGGTTTAGGGTTTTAGGGTTTAGGCCCCCTCGCAAGCATTCCAGGACTGTCTGAACAACATCGACTTCGCCGTGAGCTTCTTCGGAGGCAAGGTTGGGCCCTTTGGCCTGGTTTAGGGCTTTGGTTTTAGGGTTTAGGGTTTAGGGTTTAGGGTTTAGGGTTTAGGGTTTAGGGTTTAGGGTTTAGGGACATGAGGAGCGTGTGGGGCCTGAGCTTTACTTGGAGGTTTCAGGGGGTACTTAGTGACCCATTGTAAGTGTAGTCAGAAATGCAAGCCCCTTAAGCACCCTGAAAGGGTTATAATTGGGTTCTAAGTAAGTACAGTTATTATTGGGTTACTAAGTACCATGAACCTCCAAGTACATTAGAACATAGTTTACACTAGGTAGGCCGGGTTTAGGGTTTAGGGTTTAGGGTTTAGGGTTTAGGGTTTAGGGTTTAGGGTTTAGGGTTTAGGGTTTAGGGTTCCTTGTGGGGAGAGGATCATATGCAGGCAAATTGTTCAGAGGTTTTACAGGGCCATCCTCGGGCGGGATTGGTTTTGCTGTTTAGAGTAGTCCAAGAGTAGGGTTTAGGGTTTAGGGTTTAGGGTTTAGGGTTTAGGGTTTAGGGTTTAGGGTTTCTAGGGTACATCCAAAAATCTAAGTCCCTGCAGTGTGGGGCAGGGTTGCTGGCCGGGAGATACTGGGGCTGATGGGCTCGGGGGTCTGCGTGGTTTGTGCGGTTTAGGGTTTAGGTTGAATTCTGCTACCTGTAGGGTTTAGGGTTTAGGGTTTAGGGTTTAGGGTTTAGGGTTTAGGGTTTAGGGTCTAGCAAAAAGCAGTTTATTCCACCCCACATATCACAGCATTGCGTACTGCATGAAGGTTCGCCGCGTGCTTATCTAATTACACGGGCCGCGAGCAGCGACATTCATGTTAAACCCTACTAAACCCTAAACCCTAAACCCTAAACCCTTACCACAAGCGGCACCCGCTTTTTCAGTCCCTGGACTTGACAAGCTCCACCTCCAGCGATGAAAGACGATGTGCATCTGACCCCAAGACCCTGAGCCCCAAGACCTGAATCACGAATTGACTGGAGGTTTCCACAAGTTCGGGTGCCCCTTCAAGAACCCCCCCCCCCCCCAAACAAAAACACATCGAAAGTCAATTAGAATGAGTTTTTCTTCACAGGGCCCCAGATACGTGGTCACCAATGTTCAGAAACCCCTCAACACCCCATAGATCTGAGGGGTAACCCCCGCCCTAAGCCCTAAACCCTAAGCCCTAAACCCTAAACCCTAAACCCTAAACCCTAAGCCCTAAGCCCTAAACCCTAAACCCTACACTGAGGTTCCTGGCTGCAGTTGCCTGCCCCATCCTGATGTTTATGGGGGTCCGGCTCCTTGGCATGTGGGGTTTTAGGGGTTTTGATTATAGGGGTTTTCTGAGGGTTTAGGCTTTAGGGTTAGGGTTTTGGGTTAAGGACTTTAGGTTTCAGGGTTCTGGGGGGGCGTTGGGTTGAGGTTTTAGGGTTTTGGGGTTGGGAGGTTCCATGTGATGTGCCCTAATCCCTTCGACCATATTCCGTGCAAGAATAATCCTTACCCTGCGGGCTTGAGGAGGTTGCAAAGCTGCGGCTTCTACATCATCTTGCCATCAAATTAAGCGGAGAGGATCGCGTTTACCATATGTCCATTTTTCGTAACATGTGCGTAGTACCCCTCGTCTAAGGTAGCCGCACCGTCGAACCCCAAGCTCCAAAACCCCAAGCTCCACCAGACCCGAAAACTAACCCTGCTGCTGTACTGGCATCAGCCCTAAGCCCTTAAACCCTAAACCCCTAAACCCCTAAATCCCTAAATCCCTAAACCCCTAAACCCCTAAACCCCTAAACCCCTATAACCCTAAACCCCCTTAAAACCGTGCAACCGAAGTGCCAGGCTGGCACATCGCTGGCGGCAGCAGCGGAAGAGGCGAGTTTCATCCGTGGACGGATCCACCATGATCCTCGGATCGGGTTTGGGGCCTAGGGCTGCCGGTTAGGGTTTAGGGTAAAGGGAAAAGGGTAAAAGGGTAAAAGGGTAAAAGGGTAAAAGGGTAAAAGGGTAAAAGGGTAAAAGGGTAAAAGGGTAAAGGGTTAAAGGGTAAAGGGTACAGGGTAAAAGGGTAAAAGGGTAAAAGGGTTCAGGGTCTTCTTGACCCCTCGTTCCTCTAGCTTAGCCCTGTGCAAGACAACAGCAACAGAGACACCAGCAACTCGAAGCAAAAGTTCTTTTGGGAAGCCGGCTAGTCAGGTGTCAGGGGCTAACTCCTACCTAGCCACCGATATGCAAACGCCTCCCCCCTCAAAACGGACACCCACACACACACATGCACAAATAAGCAGCACAGTAAGCAGGGACATTGCCTGAATTGGGTTCTACTTCCCCTCCCCGTACAAGTATATCTAGGTCTCCGTCCTCCTGGCAGGGCCCAAAGTCCTACATCGTATCCTGGGCTTGAGAAGCTGGCAAGACCCTAAACCCTAAACCCTAAACCCCAAACCCTAAACCCTAAACCCCAAACCCTAAACCCTAAACCCCTAGTGCAATCCGGGGCCCTGGGCTCCGAGCCTTGCGAGCCGCCCAAGGAATGGCCTGGATGATGCCAAAGCGCTCGGTGGTGACCGACTTCCGGCGAGGGGTTCAGGGGTTTAGAGGTTAGGTTTAGGGTTTAGGGTTTAGGATTTATACTTCAGCTCCCCGAGTCACAATAGGGTTTATATAGGGTTGAGGGTTTTGTGGTTTGGGGTTTAGGATTTATACTTAGCTCCCCGAGTCAAAAAAGGGTTTATACAGGGTTTAGGGTTTGTGGTTTGGAGTTTAGCGGTTTAGGGTTTAGGGTCACAAGAGTGTCGTATTTAGTAGCATGGGGTTCTTGGGAGGTTTACAGCGGCCTCAAGGGATTCGGGTGTTCATATGCAATTGTTTTTTGCTTTAGTTTCGTGGGGGGGGGGAGCTGAACCCAAAACGTTTTTCAAGGCTCCCTGCCATCGGTCTGGTCCGTTGGGGCTTGAAGTGAACTTAAAACCAAACCTCAGAAGCAAGAAAGTTGCTGGGGACCTCTCCAACCTCACACCCTCCAACCTTTTTGCACCCACTGGGAACCATAAAGCCCGAGGGGCTTAGACTTTAGGGCTTCGTGGTTTAGAGTTTAAGGGTTTAGGATTTAGGGTTTAGGGTTTCAAGTTTACTGAACTCGCCGACCTAGACTGCGGCAATGTTGCTGGGCACCCCTAGAGGCCTACGCTCTCAACCCCCCGCCGCACCCTAACCCCTGAACCCTAAACCCTATGCGCTGGTCGCACTGGCTCCCCCGGAACCCAAAGCACCCTAAACCCCAAACCCTAAACCCTAAACCCCAAACCCCAAACCCTAAACCCTAAACCCCCTGAACCGCTGGAAGCCCTCAACCGGACACTGCATGCACGAAAGAGCCCCTGTTTCTTAGTAGGGAATGGCCCTATGCAAGCCCTTTAAGGGATCATACAGGGCATAGCCCTATGTAATCCCTTTAAGGGACCCCTTTAATATTTACAGGTATATATAGGGTACCTCGTAAACCCTAAACCCTAAACCCTATACACCAAAACCCTAAACCCTAAACCCTAAACCCTAAACCTTAAACCTTAAACCTTAAACCCTAAACCCTAAACCCTAAACCCTAAACCCTACATAACCCTAAACCCTAAACCCTAAACCCTAAACCCTAAACCCTAAACCCTAAACCCTCCCTACTAGGAACCAGCCAGAAGAGCTCCTGAGGCGGTCTGTGGCACTTTCCCCCAGAGCAGCTGCCCCTTCACGCAGCTTTGGCGGCACGAACTCCTAAGCCCCAGGGTAGGGTTGAGGGTTTAGGGTTTAGGGTTGAAGGTTTAGGGTTTAGGGTTTAGGGCTTCAGGGTTTAGGGTTTAAGGGGTTCTAAGGAAAGATGGCGTGAACGAAGACAGCTTCGCGTCGCCATGAAGAGATAGTGGATGAAGAGCAGACAGGAACAGAAATTTCAACTTGGGCACGACTTCTTCGAGGCCCGTTTTGTTTTGAGTACTTTGCGCGGAGGGTTAGACGAGTTGAGGGTTAGACGACTTCAGGATGTTTCAGATTTAAGGACCCCCCCCCCTCCACAAAAGTCCTAGTATGTTCAAAAGGGTACGTAGTCGGAACGGATTCAATGGTAATAGTAACGCAAATGGACCCTTTCTTATGCTAAGGAGTGTAAACTCATTAAGTGACAGCAACGAGGAGCCATAACATTTTGCATATTCTGCCCGAAACTGTAAGCCCTAAACACAGGTGGCCCTTTGTGCATAAACCTCAAACCCTAAACCCTAAACCCTTCTGGGGCTTAGAGGGTTTAGGGTCTGCTGCTGACCCATCTTGGCCAAGATTTGCCTTAGAGGCTCGCGAGCGCGTGCGCGCGCGCTCGCACAGCAAAAAGAAAGAGATGGCATCCCAGAGGCCAGTCGCATGAAGTTGAACCTCCGGAGGAAGCTTAAACCCTAAACCCTAAACCCTCAAATCCCTCAAATCCCTAAACCCTAAACCCTCAAATCCCTACAGCAGGAAGCAAGCCAGGGTTGGATTTGCCTGTGGCTCCAATGTCTGTGGTGGCCTTATGGAGCCTGCCTGGTCCATCCAAGTCACCGGCTTAGGTTGTAGGGTTTCGGGTTTAGGGTTTAGGGTTTAGGGTTAGGCTTTAGGCTTTAGGCTTTAGGCTTTAGGCTTTAGGCTTTAGGCTTTAGGCTTTAGGCTTTAGGCTTTAGGCTGTAGGCTGTAGGCTTTAGGCTTTAGGGTTTAGGGCTTAGGGTTTAGGGTTTAGGGTTGAGGGTTTAGGGTTTAGGGCGTATGGCAGTCAGCAAGTCCAGCTTCAACAAAGGGTCTAGGGTTTAGGAGGCCCCTCATCCCAGTCTTTGGTGGTATTCGTAGTGTACCTCATGATTTGGGTGACAGACGGTGTGCCAAACTCCGGTAAGCCCTCAGCTAGAAACCCACTCAACCCAAAGCCCATGAAGCCCTTTCATCTCCGATCCGCTTCCTAGCACCACCCCCGGCCCCCTAAACCCGAAACCCTAAACCCTAACACCCCCGCCCCCCCTGCCCCGAAAGACCAAGATGACGAACCCTCATCCTCCATAGCTCAGGTTCGACGCATCTTCCTCCAGGGGCACAACTCCCCAGAGCTCCTTGTCAGCAGGTTTAGGGTTGAGAGCTTGTTTAGCGGCGGGTTTGTTTGGGGTCCGGGGTTTGGGGTTTTTCCAGGGCGGGGTTGTTGGTTGTAAACCCAAAACCCTAAACTGTACCCTCAATCCTACCTAAACAGGGAATACTTGGGCCTTAAGAAAAGTACTTAATATGTAATATATATATATATATATAAATATATATCGGGGCTTTGGGGCCCAAGTATGTAATTACAAGGTGCATGGACCCTTAGGGGAATATGTGGTGCGTGTGTGGCTCGTCGGCCAGTAGAGCTGATCCGGTCGTGCATGTTGTTTTTTCCTGGCATCCCCTCCCAGCCCAGATAGGAAACACGTTTAGGGTTTAGGGTTTAGGGTTTAGGATGGTTTAGGGTTTAGGGTTAGGGGTTTAGGGTTCAGGGCTTAGAGTTATAGGGGTTTAGGGTTTAGGGGTTTAGGGTTCAGGGGCTTAGGGTTTAGGGTGCCAAGAAAAGCGCCCCAAAAGGGAACTTTAGCCTCTAAGGGGACCCTAGGGTTTCAGCCTCCAGCAGGTGGGGGTGTCCTACTTCACATGCATGAAGGTCATCGCAGATTAAGGGCGGGCTCTCCGACAAGCCCCTTCCCCCTCTCCCCCCCCCCCCCTTCCGCCCCCCCCCCCCCCTCCCCCGCGGTCTAGCAAACCATCATGCTAACATTGGGGTTTCCGCAAATAGGGGTACCGTTTTTGGGGGGTCCCTTCAACAGGATTGTATGCTATTTGGGGTAAAAAAAAAAAGGGGTACCCCTATGTTGGGAAACCCCACATAGTTTGCTACAGCCCATGCATCCTTTTGGGGTTGAGCGCCTCTTGTGTGTGCAGGGTATACAGGTCTCCTGGCCATAATCTCCGTGTTTCCACAACTTCCCACCCAAGGCACCCCAAACCCTAAACCCTGAGCCCTGGGCCCTAAACCCCTAAACCCTAAGCCCTAAACCCTAAACCCTAAGCAGGCTTCCATGGACTCTGCCTGGCAGTGGGACAGAAGCGCCACTCTGGACCCAGAGGGTATGTTTGGGGTACGCTACTGAACCCTAAACCCACTAAACCCTCAACCCTAAGCCCTGAACCTTACTAGACCCTACTAAACCTTGCCAAGCCCTACGAAACCCTACTAAACCTACTAAACCCCACTAAACCCTCCTAAACCCCACGAACCCCTAGTAAACCCTAAACCCAAAGTCCCTGTTGATTCCCATTTGCTATCCCCTGATACCCCAAGCGCCCGTTGGATTGGCGGGGAAGATTCGGGGGCCGCAGGTTGGGGTTTTCAGGGTTTAGGGGTTGCTCCAATTATCGGATGCAAGTCACCACACCCTAAAGCCTAAACCCTAAAACCTAAACCCCAAACCCTAAACCCTAAACCCTAAACCCTAAACCCATTCCCGGCCGACTCCCCAAGCCCGGATGCAAAAGGGTGTAGGGTTTAGGGTTGCATGTTTACGAGCACCAGAAGGGCGAGTTGTAAGGAGGGCGACTGTATTCAGAGCACTAAGGAACTCAAAAGAAGCCTGCAACTTGAGAACCCTAAACCCTAAACCCTAAACCCTAAACCCTACTTCCCCTTCAGAAAGGCTCGAGGGGAGACTTTCTTCACCCAGATGGAGAACCCGGGTAGCCACGTGCTCCGTCTCAGGAACTCTGCCGTGTTGGTTTCTGCCATTCCAACCCTGCTCCAGACCAGCATCCGGCCGCATGGCACCAAAGAAAGGGTTTAGGGTTTAGGGCTGAGGGTTTGGGGTTGAGGGTTTAGGGTTTAGGGTTTCGGATTTTACCTGGAGCCTTCAAATGACGTGACAGACGTGCCTTTCCATGAAAACAGCCTTTTTCAGGACATGGACCCAAAAACAGCCCGTGAGGCGGGATTTGGCTAGGCAGCCGACAAAAAGGCTACGTTGAAGCTTATGACGGTGTTCAGCTCGAGGACGTTTGCTTGCTACATTTTCTGCGGATTCTTGCTTGTTGAAGCAACGAAAGCATGAAGCCGCAAGCAGGAACCCTGAATTTGCAAACTCAAACAACAACCTGAAGCCAAGCCTTGAAAGCCTGAAGGGCCCCAATTTGGTGAGAAAGACCCGGAAGCTTTAAACGTGCAAGCGCCCCGCTTCTCGAAGCCATCACGCCCCAAGCCCCAAAGCTTTCCGAAGGCGGCTTAGAACCTATGGGTTTAGGGTTTAGGGTTTAGGGTTTAGGGTTTAGGGTTTAGGGTTTAGGGTTTAGGGTTTAGGGTTTAGGGTTTAGGGCCTGAAGACCTGACCGACCGCGCTAGCTGGAATCCGATGGCTCCCCCGGCCTGTATGCTGTGGAGTTGTACACACTGTACGGTTCTAGGGCTTAGAGATGTGTAGGCCTTGCAATCGTTTGCAGTAAACCCTAAACCCTAGACCCTAAACCCTAAACCCTAAACCCTGAACCCTAAACCCTAAGCCCTAAACCCTATAAATAACTCACTGCCTATGCTTCCAGAGGCCCGAGAGCTGGGCCGAGTTGGTCAAGGAGCTGCGTGGACGAAGGGGTTTAGGGTTTAGGGTTTAGGGTTTTGGCCTATTTTGGTTTTGGTGTTGGGGTGCGCAATCGGTTGTAGAAGGACTTTTTGCTCCAAAGGGGCAGCAAGGGGTAGGACGTCAGCAAGAAGAGCCCCATAGCAAAGAACGGCAAAGCAACGTTCGCAGGTTCAGTCAAATCTGCTCCACGCAAGACATGCCAAGGGGTTTAGGGTTTAGGGTTTAGGGTTTAGGGTTCAGGGTTCAGGGTTTAGATGGGTTTAGGGTTTCTGAGCCCTGCTGGTGAAGCCCTAAACACCTAGAGTTGCTGGGCCCGAGGTTGACGAAAACCATGACTCCGCCTCGGAAGGAGCCTGGGCCATTTTTCGGAAGCTTGTTTCTTGCACCTCTGGGGTTTAGGGTGTAGGGTTTAGGGTTTAGGGTTTAGGGTTTAGGGTTTGGGGTTTAGGGTTTAGGGTTTAGGGTTTCAGGTGAATTGCAGACAGTCAAGGACCCTTGAGTCTTCTTAATGGTTTCGAGGCTTTCCGACCATGCAAACGAGTGACGCATAGGTCAAGTTCAAGTTTTTCCCTGCAGCCGCAAACCCGACCGTCAACCCTGAACTTTCAGGGTTTAGGTTTAGGGTTTAGGGTTTAGGGTTTAGGGTTTAGGGTTTAGGGTTTAGGAGCCCCCTTCAGCCCTACCCCCCCCCCCCCTCCCCCAAAGTTCGTGCAATACCCCGGCGCAGACAAGGAAAAGTGGTCCTTGAACGTCTTGTGGCGCCTTTGCTCGAAGAGGGTATCAAGGGCTTCGAAGCCTTAGTCCCTAAACCCTAAACCCTAAACCCTAAACCCTAGACCCAGAGGGTTTTCGAGGGACTGCTTCAAACTGTGTGACCTGTCTGGCTTGAAGTTCTGCACCTTTCGTGTGGGGGGAGGGGTGGCGACAGCGGGAGGGCCGAGTAGTGCAGTCCTTAGAGCGTAGGGTACCAAAGAAGCAACCCTATAAACCCTTAGGGTCTTGATTATAGTGTAGGGTACCGCAAGGGGGCCCTCAGAGTTTCTACAGATCCAGGGAAAGGACAGGCAGGACCTTGGGATACTGGGTTTCCAAAAAAAGGGCACCTCATTCGAGGGTTCCTAAACAAAAAAATTGGGGGTTCCTTAAAAAGAAAACGGAGTCTCCGTACTCTTGGAGGCAGAATAAGGGGGGTCCCTACTTGGGGAACTCCCCGGGGCTTGAAATCGCGAACATCCAATTCAATCGTACCAAACCCCGAGCCGCGTTGCAAGAAGCTTGGGCCATGGGCGAGGTGCTGCAGCCCACCTCTCTGCGAGCTGATGGCCTGGATTTGGCGGCGTTCTTGGGCAGCCTTGGGTAGGGTTCCGGGCTTTTTTAAAATTTAGTGGGGCCTACCCTCAACCATAAACCCTAAACCCTAAAGCCTAAACCCTCAACCGTAGTAGGGTTTGATTCTGGACTTCGGCGGCTCTACCGCGGGGAGGTCTCTCTGCGTGCAGAGTTGCTTTCGGACGTTGTTCCCTGTTTCGATTGTTTGCCCCTCCGGGGGGCCAAATTTCAAGACTTTTCAGCCACTGACCTGGGGATGTTCCCCCTTATGCTAACAGAGTCCTTAATAGGGATTGTAGTCCCGAATTAAGGACCGTTAGTGTAAGGGCGAACATCCCAACACTAACCTGTCCTGTCTACGAGTATGCTATTGTCAATCCGTTGAGGTCACGGGTGCCAGTGGAAACCTTAGTCGTAGAGTCGTACCCTGTCTCTTTCCCCACAATCTCTGAAGCCTAACTCCTGAGTTTTCAAACATCCCCACACATGGACCCTCCGCACCTGAGGTAGACGTGCAAGAGCTGTTGACCGTCAGTTGCGAGCCTTCAATCAAGGTTCCTCGCCGGCGGAGGAGGTACTGCAATGCTACGTTGTCACGCTTCCTCTGAGCATTGCGATTAAGATTGCTACCTGGAGTCTCCTATGTGGTCCCTTTTTGGGTTAGCTATAGGGGATTCTGGTATACTACCCCCAAAAAGGTACTACATAGGAGCCTCTAGGTAATGTTCTCCATGCTAGTCATATATGAGTAGAGTCGTTGTCGGACTTCCTCTTGGCATTGTATGCGGCTTAGGGTTGGACCAGCAACTGCCGCGACTGCAATCACTCACTGAGCTTGGACCCGTAGCTTGATCCTCGAATGGTCCACCGTGTAATGTGGTGTAGGGTTTTAGGGATTAGGGGTGGTGTTTTTGTGGGGGTTTGAGGTTTCGGAGGGTTGAGGGTTTAGGGACAACCTACATTGTTCGCAAACCCCGAGGAGTGCGTCGCCCGAAAAACGACAACCCGATAGCCTGGTCCAAGAAGCTTTCGGTGAGGGCCGGGATCGGTTTGCTGGGATCCGGCCTATTTAGCACCAAAGTCCGCAGACGCAGAAACCCCTAAATCCTAAACCCACAGCCCTACACCCTGCACCCAAGCCCTCAGACCCTACAAACCCTAAATTCTAAACCCCAAACCCTTACAAACCCGGCAAACCCCAAACCCTAAACCTCAAATCCTAAACCAAAATCCTAAACCCTAATCCCCTAAAACCGATATTCGCTCTTCGGAGATGGTGAGAAGCCCCAAACCCCTACAAACCCTGAACCCCAAACCCGAAACCCAAACCCTAAACCCTAAACCCCCAACCCTAAACCCTAAACCCTAAACCCTAAACCCCTAAACCCTAAACCCTAAACCCCCTAAACTCCCCTTCAAGCCCCTCAAAGGCCTCCTTGGCCGTGGTGGCCTCTGGAAACCGGACGCCCGCAACGCGGCGCGGCCCGACGTCCGCTTCGGCTGCGACGACAGGGCCGCAGCCTTCAAGTGAAGGTTTAGGGTTTAGGGTTTGGGGTTTAGGGCTTGGGGTTTGGGGTTTGGGGTTTAGGGTTTAGGGTTTAGGGTTAGGGTTTAGGGTTTGGGGTTTGGGGTTTAGGGTTTAGGGTTAGGGTTTAGGGCTTGGGGTTTGGGGTTTGGGGTTTAGGGTTTGGGGTTTGGGGCTTGGGGTTTAGGGCTTGGGGTTTAGGGCTTGGGGTTTGGGGTTTAGGGTTTGGGGTTTCGGGTTTAGGGTTTAGTGTTATAGGGGATAGGGTGGGATAGGGTCTGGGGTTCAGGGTTTGGGGTTGAGAGTGGGTTTCGTGATGGGCTTCAGGGGTTCTGTGTGCAGGGTCTTTGTAGGGTTTTCTTGGCTTTGAGTCTTAGGTCTTAGTAGTAGGGTGATAGCATGAGGATCCTGGTCCTGGCTTCAGTCCTTTGTTTTTTCCGGCCTCCGTGAAAAGGCGACCGTTGGCTACTTGGATATCTTCGACCACTCCAGGTCTCCGCTTGACTCATGGCCCTGCACAGGGAACTTGGGGGCTCGGAAGATTTCAGGGATGTGGGCTTCGAACAGTAAGACTAACTGCAGCAAGACTAAGAGTGCTGTAGTGATCGTGATCATAGCAGTAGAAAGGGAGAGCAATGATAGTGGCAGAGGAATCATGGTCGCTATGAATACTGTATACTGGAGACATGCAACTGCAGGGCCTGTAGGGCCAGGCGCAAGCCTGTCTGCGCCAGGCTTCAACTGCCCCACAAGTCCTGGCGCAGAGCCGCCCACGAAGTAAGCAGCCCAAAAAGGCCCTCAAAACCCTGAACCCTAAAATCCCCTAAACCCTAAACCCTAAACCCTAAACCCTAAACCCTAAACCCTAAACCCTAAACCCTAAACCCTAAACCCTAAACCCTAAACCCTAAACCCTAGTCTACCCTAAATCCTGAAGCCACAAGCCGCGAAGTGTGGAAGCAGGTGCAGGCATCCCAAGCGTTCCATTCTTCAGAATCAGTTTCAAGCCTAGTTGAGCACCCCATGCTCTTTTTAAACATGGTGCACGGTTCATCTAACCCTAAGCCCGCAAACCCTAAAACCCCTATCAACCCTTATCACCGCAAAGCCTGAACCCTAAAACCTAAACCCTAAACCCTCAAAACCCTGAAGCCTAAACCCGAGAAGCTAAACCCTCATAACCCTAAAGCCTAAACCCCAAACCCCAAACCCCAAACCCCAAACCCCAAACCCCAAACCCCAAACCCCAAACCCTAAACCCTAAACCCTAAACCCTAAACCCTAAACCCCAGCCCCTAAACACTAAACCCTAAACGCCTATAGGGACCATGCTAACCACCAACCCCCTTAGAACCGCAGAAGCAACTTCCAGGACTGGGCTCCAGCGGACCTGCGGAAGAATGAGTGGCTTGGCTTAGTTTAAGTATAGGGTTTGGGGTTTAGGGTTTAGGGTTTGGGGGTTCAGAGTTCAGGGTTTAGGGTTTAGGGTTTAGTTTTTAAGTATAGGGGGCGGGGGGCGGGAGGGGGGGTGGGGGGGTGGGCTAGGGTTTGTAGGGCTACGAAAAGGTTTTTAAGAGAGAGGGTTGGAGGTTTGTCCCACAAGGAATTTAGGGGTTTAAGGTTCAGCGTTTTTTTCGGGCTTCAGCAAGTACTGGCTTTATGGTGTACTGGGGACGTCTTTTAAAATCCCGAGCTCCTCAATTTCCCCCAACCTCAAAAGCCCTCACTCTGTTACCCTAAGTGAGGGCCTCATGCCTGCATGGATTCAGGCAGGGGGTCATGCAGGGCGCATGTAGTGCGGCGGTGCCCCAACAACGCAGAGCGTTTTACACAATCGTCGAGCGCATGCTAGCTGGGCCTTGGACGAGGCTACAGGATCGTTGGGATTTACAGGGTTGTAGGCCTATGATACTTCGGCCCTCCCCAGGTAACTAACAGTTCATGCTGCAGTCGAATTCTCGTGACAGCCGCATCTCGCAGCCATTCAACGGCCCGGATTTTGCCGCAGCTGCAAGAGATGGCGTCCGCAGCGGCGTCTGATGAGACCCGGCCGTTTGTGGACGAACCCTCCCTGTTGAGCCTAAACCCTGAACCTGAAGGTTTAGCCCTAACTTAGTTGTAGCGTAGATAACCTTTAACCTTTTTTGGGCAATAGAATCCCCTTATAATCCCAAAGGTTAACCTTTAGTTCCCCTAGGTACTGGACAACTAGGCTAACCTTTGGGCATGGATTTGTTGGTACTGGAGAAGGGCTTGAGAGGAACAAAATGAAGGCTTGGCTTTTTGGGGTTTTGACGTCTTTCGGCTTTCAGCTTGCCATGGGGATACAATGTCAGCCGGGTTCAGGAGGGGACCCTAGCCCCTATATAGCTCGAAACCCCGAAATCCCCAACCCCAGAACCCCAGCACAGAACCCTTCACCCTGAAATCTTTAGAGCCGAACAGTAAACATCATACCCAATTTCCTGAAGCCAAAAATGCCTAAACCCTGCACCCCAAAAGCCGAAAAGCCTAAACCCCTCAAAATCCAAAAGCCCTAAATCCCAAGCCCCGACAGTCCTGAAGCCCGAAACCCCAGACCCCAAACCCCAAACCCCAAACCCCAAACCCTAAACCCTATAAACCCTCAATCCTCAACCCTAAACCCTAAACCCTAAACCCTAAACCCTAAACCCGCAACCCTAAACCCTAAACCCTAAACCCTAAACCCTAAACCCTAAACCCCAACCTCTGAGGCGACGGTGCTCTCAGTCAAACTGGCCAAACCACAACGAGAGCGCGCGCGCAAGCTTCCACAGGCCTGGTCCGGCTTAGGGTCTTGTAGGGTTTAGGGTTTAGGGTTTAGGGTTTAGGGTTTAGGGTTTAGGGTTTAGGGTTTGGGGTTTGGGGTTTGGGGGTTTAGGGTTTAGGGCCCCGGGAACCCGAAGCCCTCAACCCTATAAGCCCTAAACCCCTCTAAACCCTTGACCCCTCAGCGCTTAGGGGCCTTCGATTCTTTTGGGGGTTGGGAGGTTTTGGAGATTTGGCTTGTAGGGGGTTAGGGCTTCGGGTCTAGGATGCATTGGCTTGTAGTAGCTTGAGGTTGCAGAGTTAAGGAGGCGAGCTGAGCTTGCCAACGAGTTGGGTTGAAATGTGCAGAGCCACCCCGAAATCCCAATTCCTAGGAGGGTCTCAGACAGGTTGCACGGGGGGTCCGATAGAGGTTACAGGCGAGGGCAAGGGCGCAGAGAAGTTCCTGCAAGTTAACGGGGGGTCCTGGTTTTGGGCATAGGGATACCCCCTCTCCGGTATAAGGGAGAGAACGACCCTAAACCCTAAACCCTATAAACCCTAAACCCTAAACCGGCTTGGGTACCGGGCCCATCGTGGGTGCCACCGACCTAGGGTTTGGGGTTAAGGGTTTAGGTGTGTAAGGGTGTTAACAGTGAAAGGAGTAGATGACTTTAAGAGGTGATACATGGTTGCAGGGGGTCCAGCTGCGCTGTTTTTTTTTTGGTCTTTCTCGGAGAGAATTCCCTGGCCCGAAAGCAGGTTGACGATGGCTCCCCGCTTGTGAGTGGCAACCTCAAGAAAGAGCAGGCCAGCTGCTGCAGCATCTGGGATTGGGTTTGAGATTTGGTTTTTGCGGATTACCCCTAAACCCTAAACCCTAAACCCTAAACCCTAAACCCTAAACCCCTAACCCCCTAAACCCTAAACCCTCAAGCCCCAAACCCCGGGTCTGCCGACTCAAAACCCGGCAACCCAGGAATTCTGTTTGGCCTGATGCATTTGGCGGTCGTTCCTAGTCAGGGGTTTAGGGTTTAGGGTTTAGGGTTTAGGGTTTAGGGTTTAGGGTTTAGGGTTTAGGGATTCCTAGTTTTCTTTTATTGGCCCCAAAATTCCCACATGGGTAGTTCTCTAAATTAGTGTACCTTTTTGGGGGAGCTTTTTAAAGGGTGCCGCCTTATAATGGGTACCCAAAAGGGACCCTATTTAGAGAACTACCCATATAGCCCGTGTGCAGCCCATAGGCATGTTCTGTGATCGGAGCCCCCAAATCCACCCCAGTGAGTAGGGAAATTGGGGAGTTAGGGTTAGGGTTGCTGGTTAGGGAGGTGAGTGCGCGACGTCCCTTCAAAGAGGAATGTAGGCACCGAATTCCTGACCTGCCCATTCAGAACGAATGCGTATAGCGTTTGGGAGTCGGTTGGTGTAGAGTTCCCCTAAGCCTCAAACCCTAAACCCTATACACCCTAAATTCATGGGATAAAGGAGGGACCTTGGGGGTTATTTAGGGGCTACTTAGGTATATAGGGACTATATAACAAGGTATATAGAGTAAGATAGGGGAAGAAGATGAAGGGTTCCTTCTAGGGGTCCCGCCTTTTTCCCCGTAATGGGAACTCCTAGACCCCCCAGCACCTTCATGCCAGACGGGACAGGACAGGACTGGCACGTCCGCCACAAAGCTAGCAGTCAAGCAGGAGCTGCAACTTTGGGGGTTTCGGGTTCAACCCTAAACCCCAAACCCTGCATACAGAGTAGGGCTTAGGGTTTAAGTTTAGGCTACTTGGTCGAATTCAGGGTGCTGACTCGCTGCCCTGGCTATGAATTGTAGGCGGGGCCCCAGGGCCACCCTAAACCCTAAACCCTAAACCCTAAACCCTAAACCCTAAACCCTAAACCCTAAACCCTAAACCCTACCCTAAACCACATGGTGCCCGGTTCAAATTTCAGGTTCACCTCGGGGTGAAGAATCCAAGGTATGGAGAGCTCCAGGCCCCGACTTTTGTGGAGCTTTTTACACCCAGTTCCCTAGACCCTAGAAACTATAAACACTTTGTAAAAAACATGCAAACCTTAAATCCTAAAGCCCTAAACCCTAAACCCTAAACCCTAAACCCTAAACCCTAAACCCTAAACCCTAAACCCTAAACCCTAAACCCTAAACCCTAAACCCTAAACCCTACTTTCAAAAAAAACCACTCTCAGAACGCATTCTTCCCCAGCTTCTCGGTTTTGGCTTGGGGAGTTTAGAGGGGTTTTGCGTACGCGCCTTGGGTTTTGGGAAGCTCTCCCGATCTGCAGCCTAGGGTTTAGGGTTTAGGGTTTAGGGTTTAGGGTTTAGGGTTTAGGGTTTAGGGTTTAGGGTGTAGGGTGTAGGGTGTAGGGTTTAGGGTTTAGGGTTTAGGGTTTAGGGTTCAAGAAATATCAAGAAGTACAGAGTCGCCATGGCCTAATCGCTTCTAACACATCCGCCACACGTGCGTTGGATAGCTTCTCCAAGTTATGGGTTGCGAATCAGGGCTTTGAGGGTTTAGGGTTTAGGGTTTAGGGTTTGGATTACACAGGGTTTCGGGACTATGGCATGTGTGCAGGAGCTGGCAAAAGACACCAAGATGGAGCCGGAGAAAGGGGCAGTGCCGGTAAAGAAAGAAATGAAGCAAGAGGAGGTGGCAAGATGCTTTGCTTCTTGTGAATGGAGTTGGGCGAGTTTCTTCCTAAGGGGTCGCGGATCTTTCCCGGTTGCTTTTGGGGTTTAAGCATAGGGTCTTTGGATGTCTTTTGGCATTCGTTCGGTGCTTGCCGGCCGCAGGTGCAATGCCAGATGCAGGAGGAGGCAGCAAGCGTCACGAAGAACAGGTCGAGCGTGGCTGTTAAGCAGGAAGTAAGGATCGAGACATGCAAGATGGAACAGGAGACAAGGAAGGTGACGCACGAGGTTAAGGAGGAGAGCGAGCCGGGTTTAATAAAGGAGGTCAAGGATGAGTTGAGGGAGCATGCGAAGGAGGAAGTGAAGTTCTTGAAGGATGAGGTGAAAGAAGAGCTGATGGACGACGTGAACCAAGTTAAGACGGAGGTCAAGGAAGAGGTGATGGATGAGGCGCTTCAAGCACAACCTTTGCGCCCCTTATAGCTGGCATGAGCATGACCATTGCGTGGGCCGTGCGTAAGATTGCGGGATGTTGGGGCACAATCCTCGAACCTTGCGCTGCATGCTCATAACGAGACACCTGTGTTGCTCACGTTTGTTTAGTCCGTGTGGGTGATATCGACGACGTCTGGGTGAGTACAAGAACCTCGTCCGTGTCTTGCGTGCGACGGTCACGGATAAGACACGCAGCCTGCATTACCTGTTACGCCGCTACGCGACCCTGCTCAAAGGAGATGGTGCCTGAGAACGAGGTAAAGCAAGAAGCGAAGCGTGAGATCAAGCGGGAGGCTGCCTGCTAGCTTGCGTCGTGCACCCTGCACTTTGTATGAAGCACAGTCGTAGAGAGCTAGCCTCGTTCCATTGCACACGCATTCCGATGTGGGTCCTGGAACAGAGAAGAGATACAGCAAGTTGCTGTCTTTGGTTCTCTGTGGACTAGCATCAGATAACATCAGTCGCAGGCCGCAAATCTGACAGAAAGTCCAAATCACCAATGCCTGTTCCGAGATGCAGATAAGTTTTGTTGCGGGCTTGTTGCAGGCCCTTACCTGGAACAGCCAGACGCTGCTCAGCTTTGTGACGTCTTAGTCTGGGATATTGGGTGCGCAGGGTTTGAATTGAACTTGGCAGTTCTTCTGAGTCCCAAAAGTTACGGGTGTGCTTGTGGATGTTGCTGTGTTCTTGACCTTTGCAGACATGAGTACTGCAATCCGGACTGTCCGAAAGCTGGAAAGGTATTATAGTACGTCAGAGAAGTCAAACTGTCTGAAGTTCCTCTTAACCCCTAAACCCTAAACCCTAAACTCTAAACATCTCTAAACCCTAAACCCTAAACCTAAACCCAATTCGCCCGTCTAAGCCATGATCCCCCAAGCTGGTGCACACTTCAAGCAGTGGTCCGATCCCTCCTGGGCGAAGCATAGTCGGAATTCTTCCAAACCCTAAACCCTAAACCCTAAACCCTAAACCCTAAACCCTAAACCCTAAACCCTAAACCCTTGCCCCCGCTATTGAAAGCAGCCGGAATCCACACAAGCTGCACCTACACCTTGCATGGCATCACGTGTCGCAAGTTAGGGCTATTTGGCTAGCCACGTACACTGTGCATTCGCTCAGGACCAGATTGAAGCGGGAGTTTGTGGAGGAAGAAGAAGCCGAAGAGGCTCGGCAGGTTCGTCCCAGCAAGAGGCGCCGCATCAGTCACAAGAGGCCAGGCATCTGCCCTTCGTCGTTCGAGTCGCGACTGCCAGAGTGGGCCGAGAAATGCCTAGCATTTCAAAGCTCTGGCAAGACGTGGCTGCCCACGAAGCCTTGCTGCCCAGCAAGCCCGTTCCTCGGACTGGCAGCTGCACCGTGGGAAGGGCGCCCCAAAAACCAGGCAACGGCGTGCGTGCGGCGCCTCAGCAAGGGGCAGTTCTGTGAGTTCAGGAACTTCTTCCATCAGAACCCGCACCATGCCCTCTTCAACGATTTCGGCAAGAACCCCAGCAGAAAGGCGAACGGTCCCAAACCTGAGCACTTGCAGGATCCAGCTGCGAAGCAACACCGCGCAGCCGAGATGATGAAGATGTGGCCCTGGATGCACGACCTTCCGACGCGGGCGTGGGCCGGCCACGGCTGGCTGGTGGAGGAGGACGGCATGCGCCAGCTCTCACCCACGGGCGGCGGCTCGGCCATGAAGGGCCTCGAGATCTTCGAGGCCTTCGGCACCCAAGCCTCGTCTCCGACCTCAGGGGCCGCCCCGGAGGTCGGAGCCCAAGGCCAGGTTCTTACGAGGAGCTTCCGCGGCCTGGACCGCCAGAGCGGGGTGCAACACATCAGCTGGCACAGATTGGGCCGCTGGCAGCTCTCTGTCCAGGAGGCCGGCAAGCGCCAGCGGATCAACTTCCCCATCTCCAAGCACATGGCGGAGGGCCTTCCTGAGGACGAGGCCGTGGGGGCGGCACTGGAAGAGGCGAAGACGCACCGCCAGGAGCTGGTGCGCCAGGGCAAGCTGAAGCCCCCGAAGCCCGTCGCCGTGAAAACCGCCGGTTCCGCGGTGAGGGGCGTCCATGCCCACAAGGGCTCTTTTCAGGTGAAGCTCACGAATCCCCGCACCAAGAAGCGAGAACTCGGCGGCACCTTCAAGACGCTGGCGGAGGCCGAGGCCAAGGCGCGCGAGCTGGCCGAGAAGCTCGGGCTCCAAGCCGAGGGCGGGGTGGTGCCGGTGGACCGGCTCGCGGAGGCCCCGCACTTCGAGCCGCTCGGGCCGGAGAAGGGGGTGAGGTGGGTCCTCGGAGAGAAGGCCTGGCATGCGCAATGCAGTGTCGGAGGGAAGAAAAGGCACATGAGGTGCCGGCCCAAGGATTTCTCGGAGAAGGAGGTGGAGAAGGCCTGGAAGCAGGCGGTGGCCTGGCGCGAGCAGCAGGAGAAGGAGAGGGAGCAGGCGGAACGGGCTCAAAAGCGCTGAAGGCCGAGGAGGGGCGTCCTCCTGACTGGCGAGTTGCCGCACTCTGGGCTGCCACTCGTGTAGCAGCTCGAGTTGCGCATCTAACATATCTCTCACTAGGATCCCGCCTTGCATGGCCTCCCTTAGGCAGATAGACTCGATCCACATTGAGTGCAAGCGCAAAAAAAAGGCCGGGATCCTGCATGTCACTATTCAGCAGATGGTACATGCCGGTGCCACTTCGAAAGTCTACACTTCGCAAAACTGAATGATATAAATACTCCCTGAGCTCCGACTCAGTTGTTTTGAGGTTTGTGTCTTTAGAAGCCTGAGCCTTCGGCGTGTAGGGAGTGGCATCGGTGGTGACAGCTGATATTTTGGCAAAGTTGCACCCGAAGCACCGAAGCCTCAAACCCTTTACTAGAACCCTAAAGGCCCTAAACCCTCTAAACCCTTCAGACCCTTAAAACCCTCTAAGCCGTAACCCCTACGCCCTCAAAGAATCGCTCTCAAACCCGTCAACCCTTCAGTCCACAGACCCCCGAAACTCTCCCCGGCGAAGCCCGAGACCCTACAACTTAAAACCTTGCAGCCCAACAGTCCTCTAGAAGACCTAGCACCCAAAACACTAAAGCTAACAAACCTTCACCCGAAACCAGCAAATCCCTCCAAACAAGAGGCCCCGACCCCTGCCATCACCGCGTTTAGCACCCGCTGAACGCCCCTGAAAGCCCGTTTTACGATGGGCTTATGGGTCGGAGGGAAGATACTAGGTGTCCTATTGGGGATACTTGCAAAGAGACCTTGCTTCATTCATTTAGACATGTGGGCACTAAACCTCATAAGCCTTCGGCTTAGTGTCTGTTAGCTGTCCCCCAGTTCCGCTCACTACATAGGGCATAGCGTCGAACAGGAGGATCTCCAGGTTTAGGCTTGAGGAATACTTGCATGGACATAGGTGGGCTTTAGGGTTCAAGGGGCTTGTATGCCCGAGAGTGTTTGGGGGTGTCAGCTTGGCAAACAGACCCCTAACGCCTCAAACTCCGCAGCCAAAACTCTGCATCTACCACAGCCGGTAAGGGGCGGGCGGATGTTTCAAGTTTGAGTTTTTGCGCCTCTTAAGCAGAATCCTTCTGACCAGGTCTCCCGAAACCCTATAAACCCTAAGCCTAAACCCTAAACCCTTAACCCTTAAACCCTTAAACCCTAAACCCTAAACCCTAAACCCTAAACCCTAAACCCTAAACCCTATCCCTAAACCCTACAACCCCCCCCCCCCCCCGTGGGCGCCCTCACTGCCAAGGCAGCGATTCCTAGCTGCGGGCCATGGCACCTGGACGAACCCGCCCCTTCGAACTTAGGGTTTGGGGTTTAGGGTTCAGGGTTTAGGGTTTAGGGTTTCGGGTTTAGGGTTAGGTTATAGGGTTTAGGGTTAGGGTTTATAGGGCTTGGGGCTTAGGGCTTAGGGTTTAGGGTTGGGTTTAGGGTGTAGGGTTTAGGGTTTAAGGTTTAGGGTAACCCACCCCTTTGGGCCGTTGAATGCGTTTAGGGCTTAGGGGGTTTAAGGTTTAGGGTATGGAAGTCCTGGGTTAAAAAGGGTTTAGGGTTTAGGATTAAGGGCTTACGGGTTTTAGGGGGTTTACGGGGGTTTACGGGGGGTTTACGGGGGTTTAGGGTTTATCGTTTGGGGTTTAGGGTTGGAGGCTCCGGATTCTGGGTTTAGGGGCGTAGGGCTTAGGCAGCAAACTTCAGGTTTCGGGGCCCCGGTGACAAACAAAAGCTCTCCACAAACTGTAAACTCCAAACCCCAAACCTAAATCCCAAGCCCTAAACCCTAACCCTAAACCCTAAACCCGAAACCCTAAACCCTAAACCCTAAACCCTGAACCCTAACCAACAAAAGGTTCGGGATCCCAAACTCCCAAACTCGAAACCCAAAACCCCAAAAGATCCTCGCCCAAAAACCCTAAACCCTAACCTCCCTGAAGCCTTAAACCCCAAAAAGCTTACAAAACCCTAAATCCCCAGTCCCCTAGCCTCCCTAAACCCCAAACCCCAAAAGCCCTAAGCCCCCCTAGTCCCCCAGCCCCCCCATGAACCCTAAACCCTAAACACTAAACCCTAAACCCCTAAACCCTAAACCCTAAACCCTAAACCCTTAAACCCTAAACCCTAAACCACAAGGTTCGAGCTCCCTGTGGTCGATCCCCTCTTCCAGGGCCTCGCGCAGACCCTGGGGCGCCCCGGGCACGGCTTGGTTTTTTTAATTTTGGAGTAAGGCTATTAGGGGGAATAAGGGCTTAGGGCTATTGGGGGGAATAAGGGCTTAGGGCTATTAGGGGGAATAAGGGCTATTAAGGGTTATCAGGGGGAATAAGGGCTTCATTTTTAATGTTGGAGGCTTAGGGCTATTAGGGGGAACACGGGCTTTAAAGGTGAAGGAAGCTATATAGGGTTTAAGGTTTAGGCTTCATGTTTAATTTTGGAGGCTTATAAGGCTATTAGGGGGAACAAGGGCTTTAAAGGTGAAGGAAGCTAGGGTTTAGGGTTTAGGGTTTAGGGTTTAGGGTTTCGAGTAAACCCCGAACCTGTAGGGTTTAGATGGGGCACAGGTTTTTGGGTTTGAGTGTGCAGGGGGTTGAAGCTTTGCCGCGATGGCGTAGTCGTTGGGCTGGACATGGCGGTCCCTTGAATTCTGCGTCGAGACTTCGGGACTTGGTTTGCTTGGGATCCTCAGAAAGGCTAGGACCCGGAGTAGGCCCTTATTCCTGTTTGTTAGGGGCACCCTTTCTCTCCTAGGTGACTCCTGGGTCTAGAAATAAAGGGCAGTTACATGGGCCCTGAATATGGTCCCTAACCTCCTCTTTAAAGGGTTCTGATGAATCGGCCCTTGTTTTGTTCGGGTATATAAGGGGTATATAAGGGGTCCCCTTTAAAGGGCCCATACTAAGGGACCATGCAACTACCCCAAGCTATAAGGCGACCTGAAACCCTCAGAAGGGTCAAGGAGGACCTTTTGGAGCTCTTGGTGAAGGGCTTGGGGGTTTACTGTTGATGCGCTGAGTGGGTTCGGTTCAGGATTTGGGGTTTGGGGTTTAGGGTTTAGGATTCTATCAGGTTGCCGGCAGCTTCCTCAGTCCGTGCTCAAAAAAGGGTTCGATTTTATGTTTTTAGGTGAATAGGGAATCCGGGATATAGGGTACGTTATGCCCCTGCACCCTCTATCGCCCTGTGAGGGCCTTAGGGTTTAGGGTTTAGGGTTTAGGGTTTACGGTTTAGGGGGCCTTATGGGAATTCCATCTTCGGTAAGTTATCGGAGCCCCAGGAGCAGAGGAAAAGCTGGAGTCGAAGGGGCCAAGGGGTCCCACGAAACCCTGTACAGTTTCGGGTTTAGGGTTTAGGGTTTAGGGTTTAGAGTGTAGAGCATCTAGAGCCTTGAGAAACCCTAAACCCCCGAAGCATGGGCTGTGGGCCCATCCCCAAGATATGGGCTCGTCCCTAAACCCTAAACCCTAAACCCTAAACCCTAAACCCTAAACCCTAAACCTGTTTGAGAGCTCAGATCAGAGATCTCGAAACCCGACTCGCACCTCAAACCCTGAGGCTTGGGGTTGTGGGGACCCAGGGATGGGAGAAGGGTTCAACCCTAAACCCAAAATCCTAAACCCCTAAACCCCTAAACCCCTAACCCCTACCCCTCCCCCACGGTTCAATCCTGGGGTCACAGGGTGCCCGGAAGAGCGAAATCTGCAGCAGGCACAGCGGCTCTGGCGGGGCGCAGGTCCTCTTCTCTCTGGTGTGCGCCCGGGATCAGAAGATGCCCCAGATCTGAGGGTTTAGAGTTGAGGGTTTGAGGGCAGGGTTTAAGGGTTTAAGGGTTTAAGGGTTTAAGGGTTTGGTTTAAGGGTTTAAGGGTTTGGTTTAAGGGTTTTAGAGTTGAGGGTTTGAGGGTTTAAGGGTAGTTTCATGGGCCACCCGAGGGCGTCCTCAAACCCAAGAGGGGTTTCGAGTTGTGGTGTAAGGTTTCTAGGGATTTTGGTTTAGGGTTTACAGGGTTTACAGGGTTTACCGGGTTTTTGTGGGTTTATAGGGTTTATAGGGTTTACCGGGTTTATAGGGTTTATATGGTTCAAAGGGTTTAAAGGGTTTAAAGTTTAGGGTTGGGGTCTGGGTGATGCCCGGGAGTTGATCTGAACTCTAAGCCCTTATTTGGCAGCCCCACATTATCTGGCAAGGCCTGGCCTCGTAGAGACAACAAGGGCCGGAGTCACCCTAAACCCTAAACCCTAAACCCTAAACCCTAAACCCTAAACCCTAAACCCTAAACCCTTTAACCCTTTAAACCCTAAACCCTAACCCCCTAAACCCTAAACTCTAAACCCTTGCTTTCTGGGTTGAAGCAGAAAAGGTCCTCAAGCCCCCAAAAGCCCGGAACCCTCAGAGTCTCAGAGCTGTGAAGTTGAGGGTTTGGGGTTCAGGGGTTTAGGGTTTAGGGTTTAGGGTTTAGGGTTTAGGGTTTAGGGTTTCGGGCTCCGACTTTAGGGTTTAGGGAAGCCCTGCCCGAGACCCCTCTGACCCAAAGCCTCAAGCTCAAGCCCAAGAGCTTGCCTTAGCGTAGTTACATGGCTTCGGGTTTAGGGTTTAGGGTTTAGGGTTTAGGGTTTAGGGTTTAGGGTTTAGGGTTTAGGGTTTAGGGTTTAGGGTTTAGGGTTAGTTTAGGGTTTAGGTAAGAGAGCCTGCATACCCCTTCTCTACTGGCACATACTTCAGAACCCTTTAAAGAAGGTAAGGGAACATATAGTGAGCCTTAAGTAGAGCTTAAGCAGACGACTAACCGGTCCAAGCTTCTGGTAGTAGGATGCTTTGTGAAAGAACCCCTTCTCCGAATTGGCCACGCAACCTTAAACCCCGAATGTCTGCAAGCCGTATGGGTCTCTAGGGTCTTGGTTTAGGGTTTAGGGTTTAGGTTTAGGGTTTAGGGTTTAGGGTTTAGGGTTTAGGGTTTAGGGTTTAGGGTTTAGGGTTTAGGGTTTAGGGTTCAGGGTTCAGGGTTCAGGGATCAGGGTTTAGGGTTTAGGGTTTAGGGATCATGTGCTTTTAGGGCTGTCTAGGGGGTTCAATTCTTCGAGGCACGTTCAACCTCTTCAGCCGAGTCCTCCCGGCGGCAGAGCTGGAGGCCCTGTAAACCCCAAGGTTTAGGGTTTAGGGTTTAGGGCTTAGGGCTTAGGGTTTTAGGGTTTAGGGTTTAGGGTTTAGGGTTTAGGGTTTAGGGTTTAGGGTTTAGGGTTTAGGGTTTAGGGTTTTAGGGTTTTAGGGTTCAGGGTTTCGGGCATAGCGGCTCACAGCTGGACACCTTACCAGATGACGCCGGCACCCACTCGCGCCCAACACGGGTAAGTGCAGTCTTGCCAGAATTTCGCGTTTCGGGTCTCAGCCTCTCGCTGGACGTTGTTTCGCCCCAAAACCCCATACCCTAAACCCTAGAAGCCCCAAACCCTAAACCCTAGAAGCCCTAAACCCTAAACCCTAAACCCTAGAAGCCCTAAACCGCTTAGAAAGCACATCTCGAAGGCTGCAGCCGCCGAGGCTGCTGACAGCGGAGAGCTGGGCAATGCAACGCCTGCTGGTTTGGAGCATCATGCGGCTTCGGGATTTGGAGGAAGGCTGTTTGAGGTTTTATAGGGTTTAGGGTTTAGGGTTTCGGGCTTAGGGTTCTGTATGTGGGAGGCGGAATTCTGGCCACTCTAAAGTAGCGCACAAGCACGCGCGCCATGTTGTCTCGAGCCTGCAGCCGAGGGGAGTTGCTATTTTGGCGGCCTCGGGTCTTATTGGCGATAGAAAAGAAATCAAAAGGGCCTGCAGGGCTTTAGGGTTGAAAGGGCTTCTGGTGATTTGTGGTTCTGTGGCTTCTGGGTTTTGGGGCTTCTGCGGTGGATTTTGGGTGTGGAAACCCTATATAAACCCTCAGCCTAAACCCTATAAACCCTGTAGACCCTATAAACCCTATAAACCCTATAAACCCTGTAAACCCTATAAACCCTATAAGCCCTATAAACCCTATAAACCCTATAAACCCTATAAACCCTATAAACCCTAAACCCTAGCGAGTTTGCGGCTTCAGCTGAGGACTACGCCTGCCCTCTGCACGCTGATCCACGAGGCTTCGGAGCTTCGGGGCTGGGGGTTTCAGGGAGTTTCGGGTTGAGGGGTCAGTTTAGGGCTTGATTAGGGTGTAGAGTTAAGGGTTTCGGGTTTAGGGTTCAGGGTTTAGGGGTCAGTTTAGGGGTCAGTTTAGGGCTTGATTAGGTTTAGGGTTTCGGGTTTAGGGTTGAGGGTTTAGGGCTTTTGGACACTTCGGCTGTGTGGGGGGGGGGGGGGGGGGGGGGGGGAGTTGAAAGCTTAAGTAGGTTGTGTCAGGGTTGACTTGACACGCTGAGGCTTGGCTTGCGGTGCAAACCCGACCCATCATAAACCCTAAACCCTAGACCCACAGTTGCCCCGTGGAGCATGGCTAGACGTGCGGCAAAAAAAACCTAAACAACCCTATCTCCCAAATCCTAAACCCTAATCAAGCCCTAAAAGGGCCTAAAAGGGGCTCGGTTCTTTGATATGCCGCCCATGAACTCAGAGCCACGAGATGCACCGCGTTGCCGGACTCCGGCAGCGGCAGCAGCCTGGCCTCTCCTTGCTTGCTTAAGGGTTTAGGGTTTAGGGTTTAGGGTTTAGGGTTTAGGGTTTAGGGTTTAGGGTTTAGGGTTTAGGGTTCGGTACTGCAAGCGTAGCTGATCACCCATGGAAGAGGAGGCCCATGGAAGAGGAAGCCGGTGATGTTGGTTCGGATGCAGAAGACACGGGAGTAGCAGCTGGCGTAGTTGATGCAAGTTTAGGGGTTTAGGGGTTTAGGGGTTTAGGGTTTAGGGTTTAGGGTTTAGGGTTTACAATGCAAGTGCCTCATTGGTCTGGCCTCTTGGAAAGTCCGCCACATGACCAGACAGGTGCTGCTTCAAAGCGGTGGTGCCGCCGGTAGAAGGGTACCCTTTGGAACGTGGCCGTGTTGGCGGATACACGCATATGGGGCAAAAAGGGCACTCAACCCTAGCAGCCTCCCAAGCCCTGATCAACCCCTAATCCCTTGCAAGCCCGAACCCCGGCCCCACACGGTGCTTTACTGGCTGGTTCTTTGTAGGGTATGAGGGAATGAGGAACCCTATTAATATATAATCCCGTAAACCCTAAACCGTAAGCCCTACATAATCCCTTAATGCGTATATATGGTTATCTAGGGCCCTAGTTTAGGGCATGGGTTGCTGGAGGGCTGCCACCTCCCTGCGGTGCAGGTCGAGAGGTGCAGTCACCAGCATGGCCTGCAGGGCTCCGTGGAGGCACGCGACTGAGGCATTGTGGGTTCCTCAACCCTAAACCCTAAACCCTAAACCCTAAACCCTAAACCCTAAACCCTAAACCCTAAACCCCAAAAATGGGTGCCCTTGTTGCAATAGGGTTACCGCGTTACCAAGATACCGTCAGGGTTTATGATAGGGGGGAAGCCCACCTAGTCCGCTTCCCTCCCAGACTCGAGACAAAGCAAGATCCGGTTACCCAAATACTTCCCAAGGCTCCTTGAGGGTTGAGGGCCTGGAGGGTTTAGGGTTGAGGTTTAGGGTTTAGGGTTTAGGGTTTAGGGTCTAGGGTTTAGGGTTTAGGGTTTAGGGTTAGGGTTTAGGCTTCAGGGTTTAGGGGGAGCTCTCATTCCTTGAGGTGCAGCTTGCGAGCGTCGCGCGGCCGAATGGGAAGCCCTCTGTTGTGCCAGGCCTGGTTCGAGATTGCTGTTTATGAACCGTTTCAGGTTTACCCGGACTCCCAAAGTATGCAAACAAATGGCCCAAAACGCATAAACAAGGGCCATGGTTTTGCACATTTTGGGGGTTAGGTAGGTGCTCAAAGCTTCAAGCGTTTAAGGGTTCAAGTGTTGAAGGTACAGGGCTTAGCTTTGTTCAGGCTTTTTGCTGGGTTGCTTTGGGTCGAGCGTATACTCTATAGGCCCTAAATACCAGCCCTACGCCCCCAGCCGACTGGCCCTGGAAGCTAACTTTGAGAACCCTACCCTAAACCCTAAACCCTAAACCCTAAACCCAAAACCCTAAACCCTAATGCTTGCAGACGCCCCAAAAGTCCCGGTACCCCTGAAAGAAGGGCCCCCTTTTGGAGGTTTCAATTCTTTTCGGCTCCAAGTATAGGACTGCTTCCTTCATCGGGGTGTTCATGTTTCAGGGCTGGCACTACTCTTCCGCCTCAAAACAGAGGTGTGGAGGATGGTTAGAGCTTTGGGGTTGGGATGTTCCCCTTTATACTCGCAGTCCTTTCTGGGGATGATTCTGGGGGGTACTATATTCCCTACTAAGGACTGTTAATCTAAGGGGGAGCATCCCAAATTTGGGGTTTAAACTGCTGGGGGCTTATAGATCAGGCTTGCTTTGGGGGTTAGTTGTGGAATTTGCAGGGCCCTAAACCCTAAACCCGAAAAAATCCCTAAACCCTAAACGCTCACAGCCCTCCTTCCGCAGGCCCCTGTAGATTGCCAGTCCCTGAGCCTTACGCCCACACCCCAAGCCCTGCACGCAATATCTTCGGCCCTAAACCCTAAACCCTAAACCCTTAACCTCAAGGGACTCAAGGAGGAACCCTTGTAAGGGACCTTTATTTAGGGGCTACTTAGGAATATGGGGACTATTTAAGGTTTTATGGTGTTGCGCTGTACGTTCTCGGCACCCCCTCCCCGCCCCCAGGCCCCCATATGGTCTACGGTCTCCCCTAAACCAACCCTACACCCTAACCCTAAACCCCAACCCCCAAACCCTAAACCCTAACCTCTAAACCCTAAGCCCTAAGCCCTATAACCCTAAACCCTAAAGCGTAAAACCTTAAACCCCTGTACCCTTACCCTCAACCCCCCTTCCGCCACTTGACCGCCAGGGCCCTCAAGACCCTCCGAGCCACTCGTGGCCGATTCCTTTACCGATCTGGTGAGGCGCACCGCAGCTAAAGGGTTTAGGTTTGGGGTAAGGGTTAAGGGTTAAGGGTTTAGGGTTTAGGGTTTAGGGTTAAGGGTTTAGGGTTTAGGGTTTAGGGTTTAGGGTTTGCGATCTGCCGGAACTGAGGTCGAAGCTTACTTGCGGAGTTGGTAGACTTTGCGGCGGCTGGTGGGTTGCAGACCATATGCAATCCCTCCCCTGAGTCCCTAAATCCCTAAACCCTAAACCTAACCCTAAACCCTAAACCTAACCCTAAACCCTAAACCCTAAACCCTAAACCCTAAACCCTAAACCCTAAACCCTAAACCCTAAACCCTAAACCTCCCGAAGCCTTCAACTCCCTCGTTCCCTCCAGGCAAATGCCCGCCACATTTGGCGACCCTTTGCCGGACGCCGACAACGCGCTGGAGCCAGGAGTTCGGGATTGCAGTTGAACTCATCAGTCCGCCCAAAACCGCCAAGTGTAGGGTTCACCCCAAACCCTAAACCCCAAACCCTAAACCCTAAACCCTAAACCCTTCAGAGTTTAGGGTTTAGGGTTAAACCCCGCACCTTGAACCCATCATTCCTGAACAGTCCTGTATGAGAGGGATTGGGCTCCCCAGCGACCTATCAAGAAGCAAAATGGCGTTTAGGGTTTAGGGCTTAGGGTTTAGGGTTTAGGGGCAATGGTTCCGGAATTAGGGTATTCCAGACAAGTACTGCATGATCCTCTTGGGTGCGAACTTCCAGAATACTTTCGCAAAAAGACCATACCAGGAACGAGGTTTGGGTGGTTGCTCAAGAGAGTCCTAATCCCTACTTAGTTACCACAAGAGTACTACCCTCTAATTCCTGGGTAAAGAGGATGTGTGTTGAACACCCAGGCCCCAAGACCCCAAAACTTAGGGTTCAGGGTCGAGAGTTTAGGGTTCAACCCTAAACCCTAAACCCTAAACCCTAAACCCTAAACCCTAAACCCTAAACCCTAAACCCGCTTATTCTCGAGGTTTTGGGCAACCAAGGGTCCATGTTCAATCGCATGAGGCCTCCGAACTACACAGGCAACCCCACGGCCTCGAGATCAGGATGGCCTTTCGGCCTGGTAAATCCCCAGAAATCAAGGTTTAGGGTTTAGGGTTTAGGGTTTAGGGTTTAGGGTTTAGGGTTTAGGCCTTCATTTGCAGTGGGCTATGGACTACTTGGAAGAGCCCATCCTGGTGTGGGGGTTTCCGACAACAAGGGGCCCCTTAATAGACCCCTACTTATATAAGATTGCCCTAAGATAGGGACGTACCATAGGGTACCCCGAATTTCGGAAACCCACAAATATCTCGCAGCTTGGCAGGTGAGGACCTGAAGCTCTGCTTGGTCTTCTCCGGAGCCTCGAAAAGCCCTAGGGCTAAGAGAAGAAACCCTGGAACTCTGGGTAGCCCAGAGGTGCCCTTTACCCTTTTTTTTTTGGGTTCTGGTTTTCCCTTATAAGTTAACCAACCCCAAAGAAAGGGTGCCCTTATTATAACTATGGTTACTGGGGTACCAAGGAGGCCAACAGAAGACACCCTGGAACTTTACATTTTTGACGTCAGAATACGTGACCCATTCTGTTCCATCGCCCATAGGAGGCTAGATGCAGAAGGGTTTAGGGTTAACCTGGACTGAGCCCACGAAGAGAGAGAGAGAGAGAGAGAGAGAGAGCGAGAGCGAGAGTCAAATAAGAAAGGGTGCTATTCTGAGCCAATGTCATGATCTCGGTGCACTTAAGCAAGCGGACCTCTTTTCTACTTCGGAGGCCAGCCGGAATGTTTGAGCCTTCACGGCACCTTTATTTGAGATCTAACCCTTAAAGCCCTAAACCGAAACCCTTGAAACCTTCCCAGAAAGGGCGCCCCCAAAGCCACAAAACTGTGAGGCCTGTCAGTTACCAAGTCTCCAAGCTTCTGACGAAGTTTTTGGGTTGCCGGTACCACGCCCGCCCCCCCCCCCCCCCCCCCCCCCCCCTCCCCAGGTGTAGAGCTTGGGTGTTTAGGGATTTCGGGGAGTTCTGCCCTAAACCCTAAACCTTTTTAAACCCTAAACTCTGTAACCCGAAATCCCTAAATGGCCCGTATTGCGTGGCTAGACCGGTGGCAAGAATCCCTAAAAGGCCTCCTTAAAAAAGATGCCCGAGGATGGTCTCAAACAAGTGTTTGGGAGGTTGCTCTTCGTGTTTGGGGTTTAGGGCTTAGGGCTTAGGGTTTAGGGTTTAGGGTTTAGGGCCCTAGGGTTGAGGGTTTAGGCACTCCGGACTCTCCAAGAATGGCAGCTCAGGAAAGCACCATGCTGGCAGGGGTCTCCTCTACTCGGCGCCTTGCTAGGGTTTAGGGTTTAGGGTTTAGGGTTTAGGGTTTAGGGTTTAGGGTTTAGGGTTTAGGGTTTAAGATAGGGTTTAGGCTTTAGGGTTCAGGGTTCAGGGGTCAGGGTTCAGGGTTTAGGGTTTAGGCTTCTGGCACTCCCTTGCATCCGAGCCAGGCAGTCCCACAACACCTTCACTAACGAGCACACCTGAACTCATAAATTCACGGGAAACTTTGGCTCTTAGCGACCGGAAATGTTGGAATGCAATTTTGCGACCTAGGAGGCTTCGAAGAATTAGGGCTTAGAGTTGAGGGTTTAGGGGCCAGAGCTTGTGCTGGCAGCCCCAAAGTCCGTTGCTCAAAAGGGTTGGAGGTTCAGGGTTAGAGGTTTACCCTCAACCCTAAACCCTAAGCCCTAAACCCTGATTTTCGGGCGCACTGGGGTTCGGCATTGAAACCGGGGGGGTTACATGTGGGCTTCGCGTTCAGGGCCCCTTGTAGCCCCTGTAACCCTTGGAGCTTTGGCCCTGGAACCTTGCGGCTTCTAAGGGTTTGGGGTTTAGGGTTTAGGGTTCAGGGTGAGGCTTCTCAAGTCTTTATAAGGTTTAGGGCGCCGGATGCATCTCAACCCAAAACCCCCGGACGCCAGCGGCCGAACATAAACCAATGTGGGAGCTGAAGAAAGTTTTTTCGCATATCATCCCTGCCAGGCCCTGTGCGCTGGGACATACTCAATACCCATTCAACAAGAGGCCCCTATATGGACTGTGAGCGTTGCGGGGAGTGGGATGCCCTGAACCATAAACCTCAACCCTAAACCCTAAACCCTAAACCCTAAACCCTAAACCCTAAACCCTAAACCCTAAACCCTAAACCCTAGCCCTATAAACCATGACACCTAAAGTCTGCAGGTCTCTGACCTACTTTCCAGCCCCCGGGACGCCGCGCTGCAACCTCTCGCGAGAGCTTCTGCTGTCGGGACAGGTGGGGGTTAGGGCTCAGGGGTTTAGGGTTTAGGGTTTAGGGTTTAGGGTTTAGGGTTTAGGGTTTAGGGTTTAGGGTTTGGGTTCAGGGTTTAGGGGCTTAGGGGTTTAGGGGTTCAGGGTTTGAGTAAGGGACGCAACCAAAGCCTTAACCGCAAACCTCGAGCTGGATACCCGGCGAGTGCCGCCACAGCTTTCCGCCAGCTCTAAACCCCAAACCCTAAACCCGAAACCCTAAGCCCTAAGCCCTAAGCCCTAAGCCCTAAGCCCTAAACCCTAAACCCTAACCTCCTACATGTTTTTTTTTTTTTTTTTTTTTTTTTTTTTTTTTTTTCCGAAATTCCTCCTGAAACCCTTCCGCAGGGGGATAGGACCGAGGGTTCGTCCCTATGAACCCTATAACTACTTCCTAAAAACCCTATAAAACCCTCGTAAATTGGGATGTTTCCCCCTATACTAACAGTCCTTAGAAGGGATTTAGTAGGGGGTACCATCATCCCTATCGAGGACTGTCAGTATAAGGGGGAACATCCCAACCCATAAACCCTAAACTCCCAAACCCTAGAAGAAAACCCTTCTCCCCCCCCTAAACCCTACACCCTAGACCCTAAACCCTAAACCCTAAACCCTAAACCCCTAAACCCCAAACCCTAAACCCTAAACACCTAAACCCTAAACGCCTAAACCCTAAACCCTAAACCCTAAACCCTAAACCCTAAACCCTAAACCCTAAACCCTAAACCCTAAACCCTAAACCCTAAACCCTAAACCCTAAACCCTAAACCCTAACCCTAAACCTCAAACCCCCCCAAAAAGCATGAAGGCCTCCACCCTCGCGCGCAGCTTCTCAGCCTCCACGCGGCATTTGCCGGAGTTCAGGGCGCCCTATAACCCAAAACCCAAGCCCTAAACCGTAAACCGTAAACCCTAAACCCTAAACCCTAAACCCTAAACCCTAAACCCTAAACCACACCTATAAACCCTAAACCGTTTGGGGTTGTAAGGGGGTTTGGGTTAACAAGGAAACCAGCAAAAGCGGGTAGTATAGAGGGGGGTGGTAGGAAAGCCCATGAACTTCTTTCTTTTAAGGGGTATAAGGGGGGACCCCGAAAACGGGGAGGGAGCCTTTACCCTACTCCCCATATGACCCTATAACCCCTGTTATATACGTTATATCGTCCCTATATGCGGTCCCCTCCTTTAGTCCCTTTGTTGTTCTCTCTCGTGGTAGCCCAGTGGTACTCATTTTTCCTTTTTTCGGGGTTCATGGTCCCCTTATCAGGCTACCAAGTTCTTGACATATAAAGGGGGACCTGCTGGCAAATTGTTGGGCGGCTGAGGCAGGTTTAGGGTTTGGGATTTATAGATTCGGGTTGGCTTGCTGCTGTTCTGCTGCCCCCGAAGCCCCAAACCCTAAGACAAACACTACCTGAAGCGTGCTGAGGCAAAAGCCTCGAAGCTTGAAACAAAAAGCCCCGAAGTCCCTAGTGCAACGATCCCCCCAACCTCCAAAGTTGACAAATAGTAGAAGCCCTCAACATCTTGAGGGTTTAGGGTTCAGGAAAATGGGTTTAGAGTTTAGGGCTATAAAACCCTGAACCCCTAAACCCCTAGACCCCAAACCTGAACCTCGAAACCCTAGACCCGAAAGCCCTAAACTCTAAACCCCTAAACCCCAACAGACCCTCGTGCTTTTCCACTACTATCTGCTTAAGAACCCCCACCCCAACAAAAAGCAAAAATATTTTTCCTTATAAGAGCAATATGGGGAATTTATGCTTTTTTGGGGGGATTCTTAAGCAAGCGGTGGAAGCATTCCCCTAAACCCTAAAGCCTACACCCTGGGTACTCCCTAAACCCTAAACCCTAAACCCTAAACCCTAAACCCTAAACCCTAAACCCTAAACCCTAAAGGTCTGGGCGCCCGCCTGCGTAGGGCCTTGATCCGCTGGCGCTGTCGTGCGTTGCTGCCCTGGACCTCGGGTTTAGGGTTTATGGTTTAGGGTTTGGGGTTGAGGGTTTGGGGTTTAGGGTTTGGGGTTTAGGGCTTGGGGTTTAGGGTTTTGGGGTTTAGGGTTTAGCGTTTAGGGTTTTGAGGTTTAGGGTTTGGGGTTTTGGGTTTAGGGTTTTAAGGTTCAGGGTTTTCCGCCTGTCCTTACTTGAGAATCCGAAGCCTTCGTTTCTGAAGGGTTATGCTTCTCAAGCCCCCTAAAAAGTAAGGATTCGTAGGCAACCGAAGCATCCGCTCAAGCGAAGTTTTCTCCAGACTTTGTGGTGCTTACTGTAACTTTAGATCCCTAGCCTTTCTGGGTTTATGGGGTTTCCTAAAATGGCAGTCAAAAAGAGTGCAGCCAAGTAGATTCCTTATGAACCCGTAAGTTCAGGGGTTTAACCCCCGAAACCCTGTTTCTGAACCCTTTGTTGGAGGGCATAGGGTTCAGAAACACCAGGCCATCAGGGCCCTAAACCCTAAACCCTAAACCCTAAACCCTAAACCCTAAACCCTACGGCCCTTGTGGGCAAGGCAACTTGAGAGAGACGTCCTGAAGTCAGGCTGAAACCCTAAACCTTACAGTCGGTTTAGGGTTTAGGGTTTAGGGTTTAGGGTATTACACCCTAAAACCCTATACGGCTTGCACTCCCAACTTAGCCCCTTGGGGGTTAGGGTTTAGGACTAGGGTTTGGGGTTTGGGGTTTAGGGTTTATGGTCAGTCCAGTCTGGGTTCAAACAAACCCTAAACCCTAAACCCTAAACATTGCAAAACGCGAAACCATACCGCGATCAACAGGACCTGCACCGCCCAGAACCTGCAACGTGGCATTGGAAAGCTTGACAAAAAACACAGGGTTTAGGGTTTAGGGCTTAGGGTTAACTAGGGTTTGGGGTTTAGGATGTCTCTTTGATGCTTCAGGGCTTTTTGGGGCTTAGGGCTTAGGATGGTTATTACTCTTTGATGCTTCAGGGATTATTGGGGCTCCGGGCTTGGGGTTTAGGATGTTCATTTGCTAAGTCGTTGCAGGTTTCAGGTTTGGATAACTCAGGCATGATTTGAATAGCGTGGCGGGAAGTGTGGCCCAGTTCCAGGTGCGCATCCATAGGCGACGTTATTTCGGGCCTCCACGTTCCAAGTTTTCGTGGGGCGTCCTTCGTGCAGCACGGCCTACATTGCATCGACAGTCCTTCCTTCGTTGGCTTTTCTTGTACCTTCGGTCAACAAACTGCCCCCTGGGATGTTTCTGGGTTGGAGGCACAGGGCTTTGGAAAGTTTCACCGGCGTCCTCAACACGAGGCATGTGTCCTACTTGCTCTTGGTAGTGCTCTTCTTCACGATGATCCTGCTGAACGCCATGGTCTGTGCCGCGAGGCAGAATCAATCAGGCGTACATGCTGAGCAGTCGAGAAAAGACCTCAACACACCATTCACCTTTTGGGTAGCAGGATCCCTACCAAGTTCGAAACCCTTGACGGCGAGACTCTAACCCGTACACCCTGAAACCTTCGGCACTCATGTGTACTGAAGACTGAAACTGCTTCAGGCCACTGCATATAGGCTGATGTCATGCATACTACTCAAGAAGTGCAGTCTTGCCTCATCTTCCAATTTCTTTCGTCAAGACTTATTCATGATCTTCCGCCTGAACTCGGTAACGCAGACCCTTGACCTCCAGAGCCACATGTCAAAAAGGCTGTGCGCAGCCGTGTAAACCTACACTCGCAAGAGCCCTGTTCCCTTTTTGTTGAGGGTCTTCAGGGGTTAGGGTTTCGGGTTTAGGGTTTAGGGTTTCGGGTTTAGGGTTTAGGGTTTCGGGTTAGGGTTTAGGGTTTAGGGTTTAGGGTTTAGGGTTTAGGGTTTAGGGTTTAGGGCCCAGAGTCGAGTGCCCAACCCCTGTAAACTCTGCAATCTTGGGATGTTCCCCCTTCTACTTACAGCCCTTAAGAGGGGGTTTAGGGTTTAGGGTTTAGGGTTTAGGGTTTAGGGTTTAGGGTTTAGGGTTTAGGGTTTCGGGTCTAGTATAATTCCCGTTAAGGACCGTTAGTATCAGGGGGAACATCTCAACTACGAACCTGAAGGCTGCTTCTGAAGGGCCTAGAGGGGGGGGGAGCCTTATGCAGGACCTTAGGGGTTAGTTAGGGGCTACTTAGGGATATAGGGACTCTATAAGGTATATGTAGGGGCTCTATAGGGGAATAAGATTAAGGCTCCCTTCTAGGGGTCACCCTAAACCCTAAACCCCAAACCCCAAACCCTAAACCCTAAACCCTAAACCCTAAACCCCTTAAGCTTCAGCCCAGGTCGTGCTTGGGTTTAGCTTGTGCCGCATCTCGTCCTCGCCCTATGCCGCCGTGGCGACGTGGCTCTTGCTGCTTGCCTGATTTAACCCTAAACCCTAAGCCCTAAACCGATCTACAGGGAGGGGCGCCCCAAGTTATAAGTAGAGTTATAGGGGCCCGAAACGGGTTTTAAGGACCCTAAATCAGGTTCGGGTTCTAAGTCCCTGAACTATGGCAGAGTAAGGGGGGCCCTCCTTGTAGGGTTCAGGGGGTCACAAGCCAAGTTTAGCCCACACCTCCCCCCCAAATTTTATGAAGACGTGTCAACAAGTTCTGCCTGCTGTGTTGCAGTTTTAACTAAGCAAATTCGGGCCTGCCTTTTCTTCTTCATCTTTTTCGTTTTATCAAAAAGCCTTTGTGTTGAAAAGGCGCTGTATATCAATGTTGCTCCGATGTCAGCTTCAAACACAGAGCCCTGCTTCAAACCGTTTTTTTGTTTTAAATTTTGTGGTTAGATTCGCGCAGTTGAAAATTAAGTAGAGGTGTTAATGGGGTTTAGGGTTTAGGGTGTTTGGAGCTCCGCTCGGCTGAGAGATGGCCCTGGACCCATCAGCCACAGCACATCTGCTCCAATCGTCTCGGCAGGTTGTAGCGAACCGCAGATTCTCCCGAAAAAAACCTTTAAACCCAAGAAAAACCCTACAAGCCCTATAAGTCCCATAACCCCTTATAGACCACCCTATAAACCCTATAATTAAGCCCGATAAGCCCTATGAACCGTATACGCCCTATTGGCATCTTCAACTACCTCTAAACCCTAAACCCTAAACCCTAAACCCTAAACCCTAAACCCTAAACCCTAAACCCTAAACCCTAAACCCTAAACCCTTTCGTTCCTCTTCAGTTCATGGCTCGTTGACTTGCAGCCTTGCGTTGCTCATCTCCTATATGAGGTTCCTTTTTTAATATTGGAGAGTGTATATATTGGGTGTCCTTTTTAGGGGTACAAGAAATATAAATATAAATATAAATATATATATATATATATATAAACCCTATTTCATATAGTTTCTTGTTGTTCCTGGTTGCGTGCTCTGTTTCACTTGCCCACTTGTCCCTCGTGCGTTGGCTTCCCGTCGCGATGCTCAATCTCGTGCGTGTCTAGGAGCAGCCACCTGACTTGACGACTGCCCATAGGCCCAACCTCCTTTTGCCGGAACATGCTGACCACAGTGTTACCTGCAATGTCTGGTTGGTTCAGAAGCATTGGGACTTCCAGTGCTGTGCTTTCCGGCGTTTCTGAGCCAGCATTACATTCCCAGTTTTCTGATTTGTTTTTGCGGAGTGCATCGAGAAGCCGTGCTAACATGTCTCGCGGTGAAGCAAGTCAAAGTCACTTCGATTCTCTGTCCCGTTGTTGCGTTCTGTCGTTTGCGCAACGCAGTCCTCCGAATCATGCTGTGGTCGCAAGGGAACAATTACAAAGACGGGCGCTTATCCCAGCAAAGTTCAGAAGGGGAGCTCGTCTGTGGGGGGGAAGAACCCTAAACCCCTAAACCCTAAACGCGGCAATGTTCGTGTTATGTGAGCGGGCAACAAAGTGGAAGTGAAATGGAACGCAATCCTAAGTCCTCCAAGAAGAGGTACCCAACGTAAAAAAGGTAATCACTTAGTTATATACGGATACTTAGGACCCACGTTGGTGCTACGTAATCTCCTGCAGGGCAGACATCTACCTTTTTTTCGTGCTTTCTGGCAACAGTTGCCAAAGGGTTTAGGGGCCTAGCCCAAAATCTCTTATTCTCCAAGTTACCCTAAACCCGTAAATCATGAACCCTAAACCTTAGACCCTAGCCTAAACCCTCAACCCTGAACCCTAAACCCTAAACCCTAAACCCTAAATCTTGCCCAACATCTCGTAAGCTTGAAGCCCCCGGTGAACAACTGAGGCTTCCGACACCCTTCGCGCCGGTACTGTCGCCCTGCATAGGCTCCTAGGGTTCAGGGTTTAGGGTTTAGGATTTAGGGTTTAGGGTAACTTGGGGGATAAGGCTTAGCCTAGAGTAACCCATCCCCTCAAAGGGGGATCCGACACCCGGGGTTGATGCGCACGGACTTCCCTCATGCCCAAATTATACATAGCGTGGAAAAGCGCAGCCGTTCGAGGTTACTTTCTGGCTGAGCATGGTGATCGGTGTACCTGCCTCCCCCTTCCCTCCTTTATCACAGCAACCTGAACGGGCAAATCGTTGCAGGAGTTCAGAGACCAAGAACGACCCTTGAAGCAGCAAAGAAGTTCTCCTGATTCCCATGTTTCTTCTTTAATTAAAGGGTATGAAATATACTCAAGGTATCCCGAAACCCTAAACCCTAAACCCTCTGGTGCATGGTGAGGCTTCTCGGCGTTGATTCTCAAAGAGCCCTCATGGGGCCGGATCCACTCGGAGATTGCGTGCCCGGGTGCGCAGTCTGTGGGTTCGGCTTTCGTGCCCTTTTGCGCCGCTGTACCCTAAACCCTAAGCCCTAAGCCCTAAACCCTAAACCCTAAACCCTCAGCCCTAAGCCCTAAACCCTAAACCCTAAACCCTAAACCGAAACCCTAACCCTAAACCCTAACCCTAAACCCTAAAACCCTGAACCGGGGTTAGGGCTGGTGAGTGATCATTCCGGGCCGTGAGACGAAGCTTGTTACAGAAGGCTTGGGGGAGGACACAGGGTTTGGGGTTCAGGGTTTAGGGTACGGGTTTAGGGTTTTGGGTTTAGGGTCTAGGGTTTCAGGGTTAGTAGGGTTTAGGTTGTATGCCCGGCACTGTTCCATGTAGGCCGATGAGTCCTTGCTAATAACGATTGGCGTTACAGGGCGCGTCGCCTGCTAGGTAGTTTAGGGTCTTTCTTAGTAGAGTAGGTGACCGTTTAACCTTTTTGGGGTAGTAGAATCCCCTTATAAACCCAAAGGTTAGGGGTTAGGCGGTAGGGTTTAGGATGCTTGTGAAGCCCAAAAAGACAGCAAACAGTGGGGATTCCGTAAGCTTGAAGCTCGAGCAGACACCCGAAGTATAAGACCCCAGCCTAAACCCTAAACAGCATACATGCGTGGGCGGTTTGTTTCTAGCACGTGACTCAAAGTGATTGCATGCCTCCATTGTGCGCATGTGAGCCTGGACACCCTAAACCCTAACATACCTTGGGATGTTTCTTATACTAACCGTCCGTAATAGGGATGAAAGAACCCTAAAAAAGAATCCCTACTAAGGGCTGTTAGCATAAGGGGGAGCATCCCAATATATACCCTCATTAAACCCCTCAACAAAAAGACCCTAGGATCCGAAGCTTCGCGAATGTGCTGCTGACCAGCGTTGCGTTTTGGCAGGCGCTCTTCGGGCCTGTCGTCGGGGCAGACCCACTACTAAGCCCTCAACTTTAAACATCCGAAACCCTAAGCCCGCAAAGTTCCCAACTTGGAGCACCAATACCCTACAGACCCTATACCTCTACGAAGCGGCTTAAATACCATACGCGCCGTACAACATAACCCCCCGGAGGTCTCAACCCTTCGTGACCCTGCAAAGGCCCTGCAAGCCTTCTACTGAGCTCTCAACCCTGCATATCTATAAGCCATGTAGGCCCTACTTGGAGGTTCACGGGCACTCAAAGCCCGAAACATCTTATCAGTCCACTTATAACCCACGCAGAGGACCTGGAGGGCTTCTGAGTACAGTTGTATTTGGGGTTCTAAGCTCCCTGAACCTCCAAATCCCCCTAAACCCTAAACCCTAAACTCTAAACCCTAAACCCTAAACCCTAAACCCCCTAAACACCTTGCAACCCTAAAGGCGCCATAAAACCTCGACCAAGCTCTCAACCCTTAACCGCTACCCCTGGGCCCAAGGTCCTATCTCCCAAGTGTCCCATGTCATACCTCTAACCTCTCTACCCTAAACCCTAACCCCTAACCCCTAAACCCTAAACCCTAAACCCTAAACCCTAAACCCTAAACCCTAAACCCCAGGAAAGCCCCGAGTTCTGAAGCCAGTTGGAGCTGGTCCTTCCCCTGGGCATGGCCCTGCTCTTCGACGCCCTCGTGGGAAGCCCAGAAGAGCGTTTGTGTTTTGTAGGGTTTAGGGTTTAGGGTTTAGGGTTTAGGGTTTAGGGTTTAGGGTTTAGAGGGTTTAGGGTTTGGGTTTAGGGTTTGGGTTTAGGGTAGTTTTGTTCTCTACCATTTGCTTAAGAACTCCCCCCCCCCCCCCCTCCCGCATCAAAGAAGAGTAAAGAATAACTACGAACCCCGAGCCGTTGGTGGGAGTGCTGCCCAAGTCACCCTAAACCCTAAACCCTAAACCCTAAACCCTAAACCCTAAACAAGAACACCTGAGAGGTGGGCTCTGGTGCGGCGGTCTACGCAGGCCATTCAGGGTGGAGGGTTTAGGGTTTAGGGTTTAGGGTTTAGGGTTTAGGGTTTAGGGTTTAGGGTTTAGGGTTTAGGGTTCGTTTTTTTCAACCAAGGAGGGCTGTTCGAAGGTTGAAGGTATCACCAAGACCCTGAACCTTACACCCCAAGACCCAAACCCTGACCGCCAACCAGCACTGTCAAGTTCGTTTCGTTTCAGCTTGGGACCAACTGGGATTCTTCCATGTCAGTGTCTCTGTTGGTACGTTTTCTTGTTTGGGAAATCCTCTCATGAACGGTGCCTTAAGAGCCCCAAACCCCCTGTGTTGTAGGTAATGATAGATTAGAACTCTTCGGTAGCAGCCTACTTTAAGGCAAGTCTGGGCTCATCACAGGCACGTAGGGACCCTACTTTGTGTTTAGGGTTTTTTGGGTTTAGGCTTAGGGCTTAGGGTTTCGGAAGAAATTCAAAGAAGGGCCCGGGGCTAAACCCCGAACCGAGACACAGACAGTGCCACATCCTTGATGCCCTAAGCCCCAACCCCTTGAACCCTGAACCCTCCTTAGGGTTTAGGGTTTAGGGTTTAGGGTTTAGGGTTTAGGGTTTAGGGTTTAGGGTTTAGGGTTTAGGGGTTTCAAATCCAAAAACACTGCACCGCTTAAACAGTAACGCGATCAACCTTGCAAGCCTCCTGCCCTAGAGAAATCATAAGCCTGTTCCCTCTGCCTCGCCACCGCCACAAACACCCACAGTAGCAAAGATGCCTAAACCCCAGATAATGCCCTCATCCTTACAGCCAAAACACTAAACCCTAAACAAGCGAGCGTGAGAGTCGAACTCTCCAAACCCTGAACCCTAAACCCTAAACCCTAAAGTCCTTCCAGAGCATGGACGAGTGGCGCGCCAAGGACGGCCCCGCCATAGTTCGCAATCTTCTGGCGCGGCGGCAGATGGTCTTGTTGTTCAAGCCGACGTACGGGCGGCCGGTGCTGGTCACCAGCCCGTCCATTGGAGTCCGCCCGTATCCTCAATACATCGTGCCGTGGCAGTGCCTCAATGCAGACCTTCGCGACAAGCCGGTGAACCCTGACTCCCAAACCCTAAAACCCTAAACCCCAAACCCTAAACCCCGGACCCTAAAACCCAAGCCCTAAGCCCAAAACCTCAATTCTTGCTTAACCCTTAAGCCCAAACCCTAATCCCGAAACTCTACTGTAAACCCTAAATTCTTAATGCGGAAACCCTGAACCCCACAACCCAAACCCCCCCCCCCCCCAAAAAAAAAAAAAAAAAAAAAAAAAAACACCCAAGCCTTAAACCCCAAACCCTAAAACCCTGAACCCTAAACCCCAAACCTTAAATCCAAACCCTAAACCCTAAACCCCAAACCCTAAACCCTAAACCCCAAGCAGGCCTAGAGATGTCTTCCGCCGACCTCGCAGCAGCCGACGACAGCGTTGGAACCTCCCTGGAGCTTCAGGCGCCCGGTTTTTGGGGCAGGGAGCGGGTTTAGGGTTTAGGGTTTAGGGTTTGGGGTTTGGGGTTTAGGGTTTAGGGTTTCGGGTTTAGGGTTTGGGGGGCAAACCCCGGACCCTAAACCGCTAAAACAATGCTGTCAGGTCAGTGGCGGCTCGAGGGGGCCTGGGTCGTACTTCGCCCGCTCGTCCACGCAGGCCCGGGTTTAGGGTTTAGGGTTTAGGGTTTAGGGTTTAGGGTTTAGGGTTTAGGGTTTAGGGTTTAGGGTTTAGGGTTTAGGGTTTAGGGTTTAGGGTTTAGGGCTTAGCGGGCCAGCATCCATCGTGCTTGGAGTGTTCAGTGGCTGAGGGTTTAGGGTTCAGGGGTTGAGGGTTTAGTATTGAACATGGGTTTGGGTTGCAAGGGTGCAGGGGCTTCGGGTTTAAGGATTGTTGGGGCGCAAGGCTTTCTAGGCTTCAGGGGGCTTTGGTTGACACGCTTGACGCCTTCAAATTTCAGTTCGCCCGCGCACGCACCATATTCCATGCAGCCTGAACCCTAAACCCTAAACCCCAAACCGTGGATTTCTTAGAGTCGATGCGGCCTGGCAACGCTGTTTGTTTCTTCGGCGTGTGGCTTCGCAGCCGGAGACGTGGAGCATCACTTGGGGGTTTAGGGTTTAGGGTTTAGGATTTAGGGTTTAGGGTTTAGGGTTTAGGGTGGGCTCTCCAACTGGCCCCCTGGTCGTTTGGACATGGCCGGCGTCTCGTGCACGAGTCACGAGAGCTGCTGCGAAACTTTAGGTGCGACCAGCCAGACCCCATGGCAGGCGCGCGAAGCCTAGCCTAGCAAGACAGAATAAGCCTGCGAACCTGAAACTCCCTATTTAGGGAGTTTAGGGTTCAAAAGGGTCCCTGTCCCTGCCTGCGGTTCGGCCAGATATGCGGGAGCGAAAACAAAGCCCTGTTGAACTAGGTTAGGGAGTAAGGGTAATAGGGAACTCCCCCCAACCCGGGACCCGAAACCCTAAACCCTAAACCCTAAACCCTAAAGCCTAAAGCCTAAACCCTAAACCCTAAACCCAAACCCTAAACCCTAAACCCTAAACCAGCCGGGAACCGTTGAAACCCTTCACCTCTAAACTCCACAAACTTCCAAGGCGGCGCCGGCCAAGCCGAGAGAGATTTCGATGATTCTTGCACTTAACCTTGTGTTGAGGGTTTAGGGTTTAGGGTTTAGAGTTTAGGGTTTAGGGTTTAGGGTTTAGGGTACTTATGACCCCAACTATCACTGTACCTACAAGCCCCCTAAGTCCACTAAGTAGGTTATAAGTAGACTTATAATTGGGGTTAGAGAAGTACCCATGAACCTCCAAGAAGGGTCCATGTAGCTAAATGGGGAATACTTGGGCCTTAAAGTACCTCCTTTCTCGGGACTTTGGGGCCCAAGCACATGGGGTTTGGGGTTTGGGTCGTTGGGTGCATTCGCCTCCCCCCCACGCCCACTTAAAACCAAGTCACACCCAAGGGCAAACCTGTTTGCCATGTTTCCCATGTTTCCCTGTAAGAAGCCCGTCGCCCCCTCCCCCTCCCCCCCCTCCCCCCGCACCCTCCCCCAAGCCAAGACCCGAACCAGTGCCGACCGACAAGTTCCATGTTTAGGGGGCGGTGAATATCCGAAGGAATCCCGAAACCCTAAACCCAAACCTCTTTGGGGGGGGAGGGGGGAGGAATGAGCCGGGGCTTGGTGCGAAGTTTAGGGTTTACAGGTATTACAGCAGAGTTTGGGGATCTGAGTTGTGGATCTTCAGGAGATCTCGGCCACCAGTGCCGGGGCTTCCCTAGAAACACCAAAGCGATGTCAGGGGCTTCCAGGGGAGCCAAAGTCCCTTTTTTTGTTGGCTCTATGCAGCCTAAACCCTAAACCCTAAACCCTAAACCCTAAACCCTAAACCCTAAACCCTAAACCCTAAACCCTAAACCCTAAACCCTAAACCCTAAACCCTAAACCCTAAACCCTAAACCCTAAACCTGAACCCTAAACTCGAGGAGCATGAATCAGTCCAGTGCTCAGGTGGCGATTGCACCCTTGGGGCTTGGGGGGCCCCTAACCCTAGGCCTCAACTCTAAACCCAAGATATTTAATGACACAGAGATGATTTCAGCTTTGCGGTTTAGGGTTTAGGGTCTAGCCTAGGGTTTAGGGTTTAGCGTCATACCTGCAGAAGAAAGGAACAGCCGGAACAGCGTTATATTATCATCACATTCTTGTACAGTAAGATGGTATTGCCCGAGCTGAGCTGCACCTGCCCGAACAATCTGAGCATGAATCCAAAGCTCGAAAACCGTCTTACCTCCGCGAAGGCTGAGCACCTCAACCAGAATACGAAAAACACCAAAAAAAGACTTCAGTTTAGGGTTTAGGGTTTACGGTTTACGGGTTTACGGTTTAGGGCTAGAGTTTCAGCTAGGGCTTAGGGTGTAGGGCAGATCTGCATATTTGACGTCGAAGGGGCGTTTGGGCTTTCTAGGGCTTCCCGCTCAGGACTGTTCTGCCCAGCATGGGGTCACCGAGCCCCTTGTCTACCCAGCGCAGCTCCCTTAAGGTTTAGGGTTTAGGGTTGAGGGGAAACCCTATAAACTTTTATGTTTAAATCCGCCCTAAGAACCGTAAACCCTCTCCAAACCCTAAATCCTGTATAAACCCTAACGCCCTCGTACAGCAGGGTCGCTGGGGCTTTAGGGTTTAACAGGTCTGGGGAACCCTAACCGCAAGCCCTAAACCCTTAGCCCCTTCCTCAAACAGGCGGGTGACAAAAAGAACCCTAAACCCTCCCTAAACCCCTCCCTTAACCCTTAACCCTTAACCCTTAACCCTAAACCAAATGGCTACGAGCTGAGAGCGCACCAACCGGCTTTCTATCGGCACCTATCGGCGCTTTTACGCTCACATCCCCACACCCACAGCCTTCGCAAAGTCCGATGGCAACTGGCCGCGAGTTGGGATCGATCGCGCGACGATCCAGGGCACGCACAGGGCCGGCCCCCGCGCCCACTGCGGGCGGAGGGTTTAGGGTTTAGGGTTTAGGGTTTAGGAGCCCTCCGGTTTGACTCTATTGCCGACAAGCTGGTCAATGCAAACCAAGGCTTCCTCACCGCAGGCGCGGTCCCGTTGGACGTTTCTCGTCTGACTTTCGCGCAGAAGTTCTGGACCCCGCGCTAAGACCAAAGCAGCGACTACCCCCAATTAAGGGCGTCTTGTTTAGGGATTAGGGTTTAGGGTTTAGGGATTGGGGTTTAGGGTTTAGGGTTTAAGGTTTAGGGATTGGGGGGTTTAGGGTTTCCGGTTTAGGCTCTAGGGTTTGCGGTTTGAGGTGAAGCCTAAAGCTCTAAGCCCGCCCTTACACCCGCAAATCCCTACGAGCACCGCAAATTGTCATCCCTTCCAGACGGACTCCGAGGCAACGAAGCGAACTTATTCGGACTTATTCGGTTTTATTCGGTATGACTTGTTTGGCGCCTATTTCTGGAATGGTATTCCCAAACCCTATAAGCCCTACGAAGCTCAAGCTATAAACAAAAATGCCATCAGGCCACCTTCAATGCTAAACCCCAATTGCAAACAAGAATGATGCACTTAAACCCTAAACCCTAAATCGCTAAACCCTAAATTACTACCACCCTAAACCCCAAACCCCAAACCCCAAACCCTAAACCCTAAACCCTCTGAGGTCTCCGGAGCACACCCCGAGCGCGGGGGGAATCTGCGGAGTCAGATTTCGGAGTAGCCGAGGCACCAAGGGTTAGTCTAGGGTTAGTCTAGGGTTTAAGGCTTTTGGGTTTATAAGGTTTAGGGTTTAGGGTTCAGAGTAGCCTGGGCAATTACCCTGAAAAACGGGACAGATGCCAACAATAAGCACTACGAACCCTAAACCCTAACTTTAACCCCTAAACCCCAATCCCTAAACCTTAAACCCTAAACCCTACACCCTAAACCCCGAAGCCCTAAACCCTAAAGCCTAAAGCCCGAAGACCTAAGCCCTGGGTGTAAGGGGACACCCGGAGTTGAGGGCTCGGCGGTCTTCATCCCAAAGTAATCGAAACAGTGCTACATAGAGGGACCGATAACCCTAAACCCTAAACCCTAAACCCTAAACCCTAAACCCTAAACCCTAAACCCTAAACCCTAAACCCTAAACCCTAAACCGCACCGAAAAAAAAGTGCGAAGAAAGGAGTGCACCTTCGTAAAAGGTGTGGGTCCCTTTTTTGGAGGGTATCATATGTAGGCGACTCTTGGTAGGGTTGAGGGTTTAGGGCGACATGCTTTTGTGGCTCACAGTGACAAGGGCAAAACCAGGCTTAGCCGTCTATTGTGTTCTTAAGAGAGGGGGGTTCAAGGGGGGTAGGTACCTAGGGAACCTTAGGGAAGCTTAGGGAGCCTTAGGGAGTAGTAGGTGGTATTAGGGAACATTAGGTTGCATGCCCCCCTTGAACCCCCCGTATCCCTAAACCCTAAACCCCAAACCCTAAACCCCAAACCCTAAACCCTAAACCCTAAGCCCTAACCCCCCCAAAGAACCCTAGAAACCTTGGGGCTGCACTCCAGGTCACCTCCCCGTTCTAATCGGTCGAGAAGTTGGTCCACGTCTTACGAGTTGAGCGCAGGCGCAAGGGTGTAAGGTTTAGGGTTTAGGGTTTAGGGTTTAGGGTTTAGGGTTTAGGGTTTAGGGTTTAGGGTGAAAGTCACCGAAATTCCGGTTAGCCAGCAAGACTTTTGTGCGAGGGCATCGGCTTGCCTGGGCTGTTGATGAGACTGGAGTTGATGCTTTACAGACAAAACAGACAGCCCGACCAGTATTAGCCCGACCAGTATTGACGCGACGCACCCACATGGGTTTGCGTCCGAAGCCCAACCTTTGTGCATCTTTCCAAATCATTCAAGCAGCGCATGCTAAAACGCAAGCCCTAAGCCCTAGTCCGAGGAAAACGAGCGAGAACCCGAAGTGAGACGAGCAGTATCCCGGTCGTGAACTGAGCGCGCGGCTCCCACGACATCGTGGCTACCCTCTGCCTGTTGAAGCTGTAGCGTCCTGCTTCGCATGCTCTTCGGTTAGGGTGTAGTGTGTAGGGTGTAGGGTTTAGGGTGGGTTTTAGGGCCAGTACGGGTTGTCTAGGACCCAGAGTAGGCCAGTATTCCCATTATTTAGGGTTTGGGATCCTTTATAATTAAGCCCCTTGGGTCTAGTTTAGGGGTTATACAGCAGCTGGAGCAAGTTGGCACCCACAATGACCAATCTTCAAGCACTGCCACAGTGGTTGGTCACCCAAGACCCCCCTAAGGCCTTGACGGTCCCGAAATTATCGACCCCACCACATGTTTAGGGTTTGCCTTAAGAACCCAAAACCTTATTTTTGGAGGTAACCTAAGAATCCAACAAGGGACTTTATAAGAAGAACCTACCAAAAAGGGTAGGTTTTAGGTTCTTACAAGGGGCTTTATAAGAAGAGCCTACCAAAAAGGGAGGTTTTGGGTTCTGAAGGTAGGGTTTTAGGTGTCGCCGCGGTTACTCTCAAAACCCGAAACCCTTAACCCCAAACCCTAAACCCTAAACCCTAAACCCTAAACCCTAAACCCTAAACCCAGTTTGCAGCGCCGGTGCGGAGCTGAAGTGGTGCTGGTGCTCGAGACAGCGGACGGACGTCAGAGGTGAAGAAAAAGTGGCTATTCAGCCCCTTAACCCCCCTGTAGGCCCCAAAACCTTGAATTCTAGAGCCGGCACCCTAAGCCCTAAAACCTAAACCCGAAACCCTAAACCCTAAACCCTAAACCCCTGCCTTCAACTCGAAAACCCGATAGACACCCAAAACCTGAAACCCTCAAGCCCGAAACCCTACCCCCGAAGACCCGCTTTAGGCTTGGGATCTCCTACATCTCATCTCCCGACCGAGGTTTTTGCTTGCTGGGGTCGCTTCTCTCTCTCTCTCTCTCTTTCTCTCTTGCTCTCTTGCTCTCTTCCTCAACCCCAAACCCTAAACCTTACGCCCCAAGCCCTAAACCCGAAACCCGAAACCCGAAACCCTAAACCCTAAACCCTAGGCCTTCGCCCCGCGGCAGAGGTGGGCCCACGTTGCACGCGACCTGTGTCGCTGCGAGGGTGTCAGGCTTCGAGGAGGCGGTCCTTGGAGCCTCAAGGGTTTCAGGGGTTTAGGGTTTAGGGTTAGGGTTTAGGGTTTAGGGTTTAGGGTTTAGGGGTTTAGGGGTTTAGGGGTTTAGGGTTAGGGTTTAGGGTTTAGGGTTTAGGGTTAGGGTTTAGGGGTTTAAGGTTTAGGGTTTAGGGTTTAGAGGGCTGGATGCTAAAAGGGTATAGGGTTTGGGGGTTTAGGGGTTTAGGGTTAGGGTTTAGAGGACCCTGAATCCTAAACGTAGAAAGGCAGATTTGACAGACACCCCCAACCCCACACCTGGAGAGAGCAGCCCTAAACCCTAAACCACTAATTACAGACTTTTCAGGGTGCCCCGCCGCATCGCAGGACGCGGCGCATTGCGAGAGGCGCGGACGCTGTGTGCCGAAGCTGGCCGGCATGAGGGTTTAGGGTTTAGGGTTTAGGGCCCTTCATATGGTCCCTTACCTCCTTTAAACCTTTAAAGGGTTCTGAGGTAGGGGCCCGTGGGTTGTACAGGTTTTATAAAGGGTATATATTAGCCAGCCCTAAGCGACCGTGTAACTACCCGAAGGTGAAAATACCAGAAAGCCCGAGTGAAGGGTTTAGGGTTTAGGGTTTAGGGTTTAGGGTTTAGGGTTTAGGGTTTAGGGTTTAGGGTTTAGGGTTTAGGGTTTAGGGTTTAGGGTTTAGGGTTTGAACCCTCCTGACCGGTAGTTTAGGATTTAGGGGGGGGGGGGGGGATCGGAGTTGAAGAACCGGGCGCAGCTGCATGATGTTTGCCTGGTGGGAAATTGTGTGTTGAGGTCAAGATAAGCCATGACTGAAAGCCTAAACTGACAGTCACCCCTACTGGTACTGGGGGGTTGCAGTGCGTGGAAGCGCGAGTTATCTGTAAGCCTAGGCCATTTTTCGTGATAGGTCTTGGGGTTCTGCCTTACAGTAGGTGTGCCATCAGAGTAGACTGCACAAGGTCTTGTGGGCCAGACCCTGCATTATCGGTCCTGTTTCGGTACCCTGCGCAATGTGGTAGATTAGGGTCAGAGGTGGCCGATAATCTGTGATTTCGCGAAAGAACCCCCCCCCAAGAATAAAACACGTTCTTCTTTTTAAAAGGGCAATATCGGGATTTTCATTTTCCATTTTTTACTTTTGGGGGGGTTCTTAAGCGAATACTAGTACTGGACAGGCACAAAGATTTTGTGGCGGTCTTCCCAAAGTTTTCAGATCTAGTCTGGGGGTGGTTTAGAGGGTTTGGGGTTCTAGGGCTTCTTTCCCCTTGCGACAGCCCCCAACCCTGCAAGCCCCAAATGCTCGATTTTCTGAGGAGAACTTTCCTGATAATCGTGCTTCTCCGGTACATCTCGCCCTTTATTGGGACGTATATAGGCTGTGTCTTGCTCTCCCCCCCCCCCCCCCCTGGGGGTCAACGATAATAAGGGAGCCCTTACATAAACCCCCCAATGCAATAAGGTTCCCCTAATATCGTAAACCCTAACCCTAAACCCTAAACCCTAAACCCTAAACCCTAAACCCTAAACCCTAAACCCTAAACCCTAAACCCCCAAATAGTCAGCAAAAAAAAGACGCAGGACTGGGCACTGGCATGCCAAAGGAGGCGCCTAGTCGGCGACCAAGAAGCCGCGCGCAGGCCGCCGATTTCAAAGAATCCCAGTGGAAACCCCAAGGGTTTAGGGTTTAGGGTTTAGGGTTCAGGGTTTAGGGTTTAGGGTTTAAAGTGAGAAAGCATCCTAATGGGAACCCCAAACTGGGAACCTCAGGAATATAGTGGGGAAGTTAAGGAATCTTCTAAGAAAGACTCAACATACCTCTTGGGCATACCCTAAAGAGCAATTAAGGGGATATGGTAAAATCCTTCCGCAGATTCTCCTTTATTTAGGTTAAGGAGTATGGGTTTGGGATATATGTGGACCCGTCCTAAACCCTAAACCCTCAACCCTAAACCCTAAACCCTAGACCCTAAACCCTAAACCCTAAACCCTAAACCCTGCTATGTCCTTGGGGTTCCCCTGCTTGGGGTTTCCCACGAAAGTCCCTGTACTTATTGAAGGGCACTTCGCGGTTCGGCGTGGCAGCTTCAGGGTTTATAGGGTTAGGGTTTTGGGTTTAGGGTTTAGGGTTTTGGGTTTTGGGTTTTGGGTGTTGGGTTTTGGGTGCTGGCTTTCTGCATAAGCCCTAAACTCTTGAGGCAGGGCAAGCGCCTGGAAGCATGTATCTCATACTGGGGCTGCACTTGATCCAATATCCCCCCCCCCCGCTTTCGGGGCCCAATTCCTAAGCTTAAGCCCTTACCGCAAAGCCGTTTTAGTAAAAGAACCCCCCCCCCCCCCCCCCTGAAGCCCATCATTGCCCGAAAGCCGTTTTATTGAAACCCCAAAAAGCGCGACCCACATTCCTGCAATGTGGCATCGAGGGAGACCCTGAAGCCCTAAACCCTGAAACCCAGACAAGAACCTCCTAAACCCTAAGGCCTAAGAAGCGTTTTTCACGTCTCGATGCTCGAACAAGCATCCTCGCCCGCATTTCGCCAGCGTGAGAGTCGAAACCCTAAACCCTAAACCCTAGCAGCCCCTAAACCCCAAACCCCAAACCCCAAACCCTAAACCCTAAACCCTAAACCCTAAACCCTGAACCCTGAACCCTGAACCCTGAACCCTAAACCCCAAACCCCAAACCCTAAACCCCAACCCGTGGCAGGCCTTAAGAGCGAGGGCCGGCGCGGCAGCCAGCCCCTCTCTTCCGGAAGATGGGGGCCGACTGTTTGGGATGAGGTCGGCGTTTTGGGGTTTAGGGTTTAGGGTTTAGGGTTTAGGGTTTAGGGTTTAGGGTTTAGGGTTTAGGGTTCAAAGTTTAGGGAGGAAGGGCGGCCGACTGTTGGGATGGGGTCGAAATTTAGGGTTTGCAGGGCTTAGGGTTTATGGTGTGTCGAAGGGTCGTTATTGGGATGTTCCCCTTGTGCTAACAGTCCGTAATTGGGATTAGAGTACCCCCTAGTGTAATCCCTACTAAGGGCTGTTTATATAAGAGGGGGACATCCCGAGGTAGTTACGCGGTCCCTCAATATGGTCCCTTACCTTCTGTAAAGGGTTCTGAAGTATGGGCCCTTGGGTTTTATAGGGTATATACGGGGTATGTAACCCCATTCAAGGGCCCATTATCAGGGACCCCTAAACCCTAAACCCTAAACCCTAAACCCTAAACCCTAAACCCTAAACCCTAAACCCTAAACCCTAAACCCTAAACCCTAAACCCTAA